GCACTCTACCACTGAGCCACCTTCCCAGCCCCTGTGTATTTGATTTTTTTAAAAAACAATCTTAGATGTCTAAGTCAGAATTTATTGATGACATAAGACATTTAATTTTTTTTTCTTCTGATGGTTGAATTCTTAATTCTGTGTGTGTGTGTGTGTACATGTACATACGTAGGTACATGTACATGTACTGGAGCTTGAACACTCAAGGCCTGGATGCTGTCCCTTATTACTCAAAGCTGATGCTCTGCCATTTGAGCCACAGCTCCACTTCTAGTGGAGGTTAATTGGAGATAAAAGTCCCACAGACTTTCTTACTTGGCTGGCATCAAACTAATTCTCAGATTTCAGGCTTTTGAGTAGCTAGTATTACAGGCTGCATACCATCTTAAAAACCTTCTCATAGGGTTCATATTTGGATTGCCAATAAGCTGACAGTTAAGAGTAAGAGTTGAGGGCTGGGAATGTGGCTTAGTGGTAGAATGCTTGCCTAGCATGCATGGAGCCCTTGGTTTGATTCCTCAATACCACATAAACAGGAAAATCCGAAAGTGGTACTGTGGCTCAAGTGGTAGAGTGCTAGCCTTGAGCTAAAGAAGCTCAGGGACAGTGCCAGGCCCTGAGTTCAAGCCTCAGGACTGGCCAAAAAAAGAAGAGTAAGAGTTGAGCCAGATGTCGGTAGCTCATGCCTGTAATCCTCGCTCTCACTCACTAGGCTGAGATCTGAGGCTCTCTGAGCTAGGGCAGAAGTCCAGGAGACTCTTATCTCCAGTTAATCACAGAAAAATCTGGAAGTAGAGCTGTGGCTCGAGTGGTAGAGCGCAAGCCTTGAGCAAAAAAAAAAAAAAAAAAAAAGGAGCTCAAGGACAATGCCCTGGATCACCTTCACCACCGGCCTCAAAAAAGAGTAAGAGTAGAACTTTAGCTAGAACCCATAGGAGTGATAGAAAGTCAAATGAATTGGATAGACTCTGACAGACAAATGGCAGTGCTCTAGCATATTTGAAAATTTTGCTTTAGGCAAACCCTGTTTTTCACTGCTGTTAGGCCATTTTTGCAGGCATGTTAGGCCAGTATACATTTCTCACTTTAATTCTGTTACTAAGCTCCGCTTCTGACTTTTTTTTGGTGGTTAACTGGAGATGAGAGACTTAGCTTCAAGCTATGATATTCATATCTCAGCTTCCTGAATAGCAAGGATTACAGGCATGAGCGGCCAGCACCTGGTTCATTCACGTACTTTTGAGCTAAGGTCTCAATATGTAAAACAGGCTGGTATTCAACTTTAAACCTTCTCTCTTAGCTTCCCAAATCCTGGAGTTACAAGTGCATGCCACCATACCTGGCTTCTGTTTTTTTCTTAAATCTAGTCATTTTGGATTGAATTGTTGCATGGACTATTTGAATATTATCTTTAGAAAGTCTAGGTTTCTGTTACAATCCCCTGAACAGCTAATTAAAAAAAAAGTTGTATACTAAATGCTTAAAACTCTCAATTCATTCAGATTCATTCAAAATTATCTATTTACATCTTGACCTCCAGTATGATGGTATTTGAAGTAATTAGGGATAATGGAGTAATGAGAATGGGGTTTTGGTCTGATAATATTCTTAGAAAAAGACATACCAAGGAGCTTTCTCTCTCTCTCCCTCTCTCTCCCTCGCTTTCCCTCTCTCCCTCTCCCTCTCTCTCCCTCTCTTCTTCTCTCTTCCTCTCTATCCTTTCCTCCCTCTCTCCTTCCTTCTTTCCCTCTTCCTCCTCCTCTCTCTCCCCTTTCCTTCCTTCTCCCTTCTCATCTCCCACTTTTTTCCTCTCTTTCTAACCATCTGAGAACAATGTAAGGATGTAGTCATCTACACCCCAAAAAAGAGATAGCCTTTATCAGACTAACCGTGTTGGTACCTTGATCTTGAACTTCTAGTCGGTGTTTAGAACTATGAAAAAAAAATTGATTTATTTAGGCCTCCAGGTCTCTGATATTTGTAATGCAGACAACTGACTAAAACAGTCCTTAATTAAGGTGCCATAACTCTAAACTTTGCTCCAGTGGGTAGCAGATATACATGTTATTTATCTGTGTACTTGAAGTTTACTCCCTTTATACATACTTCATCAATCAGAATTTGGACAGAGGTAATATGCAGTATTTAGGGCTCTCTTTCTGTGATTCTCTTCTTTGTAAAAAAAAAAAAAAAAAAATTCCATCACTTTTTAGATGTTTTTCTCACTTTGAACTTGGTATTCTGGTTCTTTAAGTGAGACTGAAACTTGTATTACCTTCAAAGTCAGGGAAGTCACTCACTTTTTATTTCAAATGTTGATTCTATCTAGTTTCTTCGTGTTTTTGGTTACTCTTTAATGCTTTTAAAAAGTTGTCTTTTTTAAATCCTTTTCTTTTTTTCTGGCTGTGGGGCTTGAACTCATAAAGTCTGGGCACTGTCTCTGAGCTTTTATGCTCCAGGCTAGTTCTCTACTACTTTGAGCCTCGGTGCCATTTCCAGCTTTTTGTAGTTAATTGGAGATAAGGGTCTCCTGAACTTTCCTGCCCAAGCTGGCTTTGAACCATGATCGATCCTCAGATCACAGTATCCTGAGTAGCTAGGATTACAGGCATGAGTCACCAAGCACCTGGCTCTTCACTCCACCCTCTACCCCCCAGCAGTGGCCTCTGAACTCAGGACTTTTATTTTGCTAGGCAGGTGCTCTCCCACTTGAGCTATGCCTTTAGCCCCTTTAGCTTTTCTTATTTTTGAGATATGGTTTTGCTTTTTCATCATGGAGTAAAGTGGGGGAGTGTATAGTTGTAAGAATAGATGGGAAATTGTCCTGAATCAGAATTGGGTTTGGTAGGTGTACAATATGTGTAACATGATTTCTGTTAGAGTAAAGCTACAGAGTTCTGCCCCCTACTCCCACCCCAAAGATATAAGAGAACCAGATTCTTGTTGGAATAAGTAGGGACAGAATAAGCTTTGAATATAGGAAATTTTGCTGATGAAAGGCCTTAAATTCGAGAGAGCATTGTGTGATTATGACTGTATGGTCATGGTGTAATTTGTTCCTACCTAAGTGAGTCTATTTAAGGGAGAACCTTTTGCTAAGTAAATGGAAATTTGAGTGAAGGTAAGGAAAGACCAAATTTTGGAAGCTGAAGAGGGTTGGAGACAAACTAAAGTTTACCATTGGGGTACCCAAAGAACTCAAAAGAGGATATAGTGAAACTTCACTCACAATGTTGTCCAGAGTGTGTCACCTTCTGTAGCTTTCCTTTGGTAACGAAAGTGCTTTCATGCTATGCTTGTGGATTGTATTGGAAAGGAGAACGGACCCTAAAATCTCCAGTATTAGGGTAGATCTCTTTATCTTAGTACATAATACTCCCCTCCCCATCCTGTGGTTCTCTTTTCTGATCAGTTACCAATATAAAGATAAGTTTCACTGTGGAGATCTAGTTAGAAGCCTGAACTAGAGATACAAAAAATTAATTTAAAAAACTTTCTAATTTGAAAAAAATTCAGATTTTCTGAAAAGTTGAGAAGATAGAAAAATTCTTACGAACTACCAACTGTCAATCAATGTACCCTGCCTCTGTGTATAATCTTCCCCCCTCCCCTCCCCCAACTGTTACATTTTCCTAGAATATGTCTATTTTACATATTTTGGAACACTTTGATAGGAGTTGTTGATCTCTTTTTTTCCTTCAGAGTTATCTAATATACTACATGCATATACATATGCATAGAGAGTACATGTCGGTTGTTTTGTTTGAGATAGTCTCAAATATAATCTAGATTGTCTTGAAACTCAAGATCCTTTTTGGGGGGGGGGGGCGGTTGTGGGGTCTGAACTTTGGGCTTGGGTGCTGTCCCTCAGCTCTTCAGCTCAAGGCTAGTGCTCTACCACTTGAGCCACAGTACCACCTTTGCCTTTCTTTTTTCTGCTTACGTAGTGCTGAGGAATGGAATCCAGGGCCTCATTTATGTAAGGCAAGCGCTCTACCACTAAACCACCTTCCCAGCCCCTCGAGATCCTTTTGTCTTAATGTCCCAAATTACTGGGATTATAGATTATCTAACACTCTCCACAGCTTCAGTATTTTTTAAAACTAAATGCTTAGCTCATTAACTTCCACTTAATTTAAGGCTGTACTTTCTTCCTTGCCATTTGTACTGGGTTTGAAATGCATAGGATTTTCACAATTCAGTACTAAGAATTTTAATTTTTAATTATTTTTTCTTTGACTTTTCAAGTAACTTAAGTAGTTTGAAATATAGAAGGATAATTTTTGTACATTATATTAATTATGATCAGTGAATATGATCTGAAAGGATACTATTAAGTGAAAATTAGGTGAATCTGGTTTTATGGTCAAGTACATGATCAGTTTTTATAAATGTCTTAAGTGTGTTTCTGAATATAAATATATGTCATATATGCAGAAATATGTATATGTTCATTAAGTCTAACTTGTTCATTCTGTGTTTAAAACCTTACTTACCTTTCCTGATTATGTTTTGTTTGACTTTTCAGTAATTGAGAGAAATGTGCTGAGTCACTAGATTGTCTGAGTCTCCCTATTAAAAATTTGTTGTAGGTATTTTGAGGCTGTTTTATTCGCTTAATCTTTCTTAATAAGGTGGTCACAGAAGTTTGGTAGATTGGATATTTGTAATCATGGAATACCTACTGGTTATCTCCTTATTGATACTGACTTGTAAAAAGTAGTCTATATCCTAGAATCACACTAGCCCCTGTTGAAGTTTTTGACTCACAAGGAGACTTATATTGTTTTCCTTCATTTCAAGTCAAGCACCATTCAGTCACATTGCATTTAAATGGGTTTATCCTGATATTACCAGTGTGCTGTCATCATTAAGAGTGTACACTATACTACCTGCTGAGCAGATCAAAACAAATAGTGCAGAACTATTTTTGTCTATTCATGGAATTATTTTCTTCCGTTATTAACTTATAAACCATCCTTTAAAACTTTTTGTTTTAGTCCCAGAAATCCTGGATAGAAAGCACTTTGACCAAGAGGGAATGTGTATATATTATACCAAGCTCCAAAGACCCTCACAGGTAAGCATAATCTTTGTTTCGTTTGAGATCTTAGAGAAGGTCAGATGTAAAACATTTATTTGTTTATTTATTTATTTATTTTGGGTCCGGTCGTGGGGCCTGAACTCTAGGCTTGGGTGGTGTCCCTCAGCTCTTCAGCTCAAGGCTAGTGCTCTACCACTTGAGCCACAGTGCCACTTCTGGCTTTTTTCTTTTGCTTATATGGTGCTGAGAAATCGAACCCATGGCTTCTTGCATGCAAGGCAGGTGCTCTACCACTGAGCCACCTTCCCAGCCCCAAGATGTAAAACATTTATTTAAAACAAAAATCAATGAATTATTTATAGTTAGTATTTTGGAAGTAGGAAGAGATAGTGTTAGCAAAGATACTGACATTTGCAGTTCAGTAACATTTGTGGCATAAGCCTTTCTCAAAGTATTCTCTCAACTCCAAACTCAAACCATGCTAGTGTATTACAGAGATACAATATTTAAAACTGTTGCCGGGCGCTGGTGGCTCACGCCTGTAATCCTAGCTACTCAGGAGGCTGAGATCTGAGGATCTCGGTTCAAAGCCAGCCCGGGCAGGAGAGACTGTGAGACTCCTATCTCCAATAAACCACCAGAAAACCTCAGCTGAAGAGCTGAGGGACAGCGCTCAGGCCCAGAGTTCAAGCCCCACGACCGACAAAAAAAAAAAAAAAAAAAAATATTTAAAACTGTGTGTGTTAAAATGTTTATGTATCTGTTTATTGGGTCTCTACTGAATACCTAACAGTATGGTTCATGTCCTAGATTTGTTTTTTTGTCTTAAGATGGTAAGGTATGTGTTAAGGATGTTTCACTGTGTAATTGGATTTTGCTTTATTAATAAAACATAGATTGTATTATCAGTAAGGAGTTTATTTCATATAATTTTCTCTATAACAATTTGCAGTAGAAATAATGGAAAAACAAGGTGTTAAAGAAACCTAAGTATCTTCAGGTGGAATCATCTTATGAAACGTACTTTACATAGTTAAGTGGTGACTTTTCTATGCTAGTTAAATTAATTTTGTATAATTATATGTGATATACAGTATAACATGCCTTGACATAGTGCTGGGATTACAGACATATGACATCATGTCAGGCTATATTTTTTGTTTTGATAAAAGTTGTCAAATTGCCATTAGAGTTACTCTCCAACTGACACAGAACAGACACTTTTTTTTGTAGTGTAAGCCCTGAAACTTTACTTTCATCGCCAATTGTGCTAATTTTATACTCCTTCCCCCCCTTCCCCCCCCCCCCTCCCAGTCCTGGGGCTTGAACTCAGGGCCTGGGCACTGTGCCTAAGCTTCATTTGCTCAAGGCTAGCACTGTACCACTTGAGCCACAGTGCCACTTTTAGCTTTTTCTGTTTATATGCTACAGAGGAATTAAATCTGGGGCTTCATACATTCTGAGCAAGCACTCTACCACTAAGCCACATTCCCAGCCCTGTCCGTTTTTCTTTAGGTTGTTAATAGCAGGTTTTTGCCAGTATGAATGTTGTTTAATATAATTAAGTCTGTTAGACTTTTCCGTTACAGTTTGTACATTTTGTGTCAAACCTGACTTTAAAATAGTTATGAGTTTAAAATGATTATATAAATATAAAAATCAATGTCTACATGATGGTTTTATACTTAAACTACGCACATTTCCTTTGTCTCTTTTTGTTTGAATAGTAGTTTACTTACCCTTTATGCTTTATAGATGCCTTCCAGGATGTCAGATTTGTCAGCAGCTTGTCAGGTGAGTGTACTACAACTAAATAGCACAACAATTGAAGAAATAAACTAGCAGAAACAAGGGACATACAGTGGGGTAAAATCATATGCTGTTTTGTTTTGTTTTTTGCTGGTGGTAGGGCCTAAACCTTGGGCCTAGGTGTTGTCCCTCAGCTCTTCAGCTCAAGGCTAGTGCTTTACCACTTGAGCCACAGCGCCACTTTGGCTTTTTCTGCTTATGTGGTGCTGAGGAATTGAACCCAGGGCCTCATGCATGCAAGGCATTGTGCACTCTACCACTGAGCCACCTTTCCAGCCCCATCATATGCTGTTATATTTGAAGGATGGTTTTCCTAGACCTAGGAAGTGAATCATCACGTACCTCTATGTTGGAACTCAAGTGCAGTTACCTGAGTGGAATTCTAAAGTTGAATATAGTTAACTGGATAAGAAATGTTGGAAAGGGTTTTTAAGAAAAACTTGACTTTTTTCTTTTTGGTAGCATCAGGTTTAGTAGTGCTCAAGGCTATATGCTTAGTAGGCAGGTGATCTACCACTTGAGCCACATCTTAGCTTCTTCTGTTGAAATGTTTAGTATTAGTGGACCCACTCGTCAGATTTGGGGGAAAAAGATGTTTCCAGTATGTTTTCATGTTTTTCTTTCCATCATTTTCTCTTTGGAACTTGAATTACATGTATGTAGAATTTCTTGGTTCTATTCTCTAGTCCTTTCTGTGTTTCATCAAGTTTACTGATTCAGCCTCTCTCCATTTCCTCCTTGATATCCATTACAAACCTCATCCCATGATTTTCACTTCAGATATTGTATGGTTTATTTTTAGATGTTTCATTTAGGTCTTGGTTAATTTTGAAATATCTTCCGATTTATGTTAATAGTTGGCACTTGTTCACAATACTTAAGTGTGTGGGGATTTTGTTTTGTTTTTGGTAATTACATCATCTATTTCTTCTTTTTTTTTTTTTGTCGGTCATGGGGCTTGAACTCTGGGCTTGGGAGCTATCCTTCAGCTCAAGGAGAGCATTCTACCACTTGAGCCACAGCGCCACTTCTGCTTTTCTAGTGGTTTATTGGAGATAAGGGTCTCACGGACTTTCCAGCGCCTGGCTTGCCTGAGAAATTTTGAGGCTTACTTCACATTGGATTCTGGGTTCTGTTGTATTCCATTTGTACTTACCTAGCAAACAGGTTATTTGGTTTAGTTTTGTCCTTTCAAGTCTTGCCCTACATTTAGGGCTTGTTCTGTCTAGATCTTAATTTAATCCTTCTACAAAACTCTTCTGAGAATCGTATCTCTTAGGCCTTGTGCATTCTAAGACCTCCCCTTTTTGGCAGGTGGGACTGTCCTCTACTTTATGAACTTCAGGAATTGTTTGACCTCTTACCATGTAGTTGATCTGACCTTTGCCTTGGGTAGTTTATTTTTGTTTCATATCCCACAAACAAGCTGCTCTGATTTCCGTTAAGCTCTGATTCCTGCTTCTTACATTGTGGCCCAGTATGTACTTCTAGATAGAATGCCATCCTTCTTCCTACCCTGGGTCTCAGGCACCCAGTGTTCATTTTTGGTCATCATTTTGATTAGCTTTCACTGTTTTGAATTCTGTGTTCAGGAATCACATAAATATGTACCCCTTGATATCTAGCTTCTTTCACTCAGCATGATGGTTTTGTGTCTGTTTACAGTTCATTGCCTTCTTAGCCATGGCAGTATACCACATATTGTAGATGTTTATGCTGCATGTAGCCCCTTCATGTACTAATTTATTTATACTGTTTCAACATTATAATAAAGGTATAAAATCAAACTTTTTATCATCTTACTCTTCAGGTGTTTTTGTGGTCGTTTGGTCAAGCAACATGCTTGTTTTACTGCAAGCCTTGCCATGAAATACTCAGATGTGAAATTGGGTGACCACTTTAATCAGGCAACAGAAGAATGGTCTGTGGAAAAGCATACGGAACAGAGCCCAACAGATGCTTATGGAGTCATCAATTTTCAAGGGGGTTCTCATTCTTACCGTGCTAAGGTATGTCAAATAATTTGGTTTTTGCTTTTCAAAAATGTGACTGGTGGGGCTGGGAAGGTGGCTCAGTGGTAGAGTTCTTGCCTCACATGCATGAGGCCCTGGGTTCCATTCCGCAGCACCACATAAGCAGAAAAGCTGTAAGTGGTACTGTGGCTTAAGTGGTAGAGTGTGTTAGCTAGCCTTGAGCTGAAGAGCTGAGGGACAGGGCTCAGGCCCAGAGTTCAGGCCCCACACCGACAAAAAAAAAATGTGACTGGTGAATCCATTTGAACACCATTGGCTGTTTTGGTTTTGTTTTTAATGTGGTGTTGAGATCGAAATCAGGGCTTCGTGCCTGCCATGCACATGCTCTTCCTCTGAGCTACATCCCTAGCTGAGCCCTCCCATTTATCATTGGCTAAATTTCTCGATTGTTTCCCATTCCGTCAAAAGAAGGAAATTGTCATCTGTATTTAAAAGACCTTTAAATTTTTACTGCATAGTCAGTTTGGTCACAAGTGGTCCAGATTTAGGTCATTGACAAAACATTCAAACACATAATTCTGAATTTTTCTCTCAGCAAATTTAGGATGTCTCTTTTTTTTATATAATTCTTCTATCTCCTCCTCCCCCCATTCCCATCATCTTAGCCAGGCTTATTGCTTCTAGTTTACACTGGTACTTACAAACACAACAATTAACTCTGGATAAACTCATAAATTAGTGTCTTACTGAGGCTGGGAAGGTGGCTCAGTGGTAGAGCCCTTGCCTTACATGCATGAGGCCCTGGGTTCGATTCCTCAGCACCACATAAGCAGAGGGGAAAAAAAAGCCGGAAGTGGCGCTTTGGCTCAAGTAGTAGAGCACTTGCCTTGAGCTGAAGAGCCGAGGGACAGTGCCCAGGCCCAGAGTTCAGACCCCACGACTGGACCCAAAAAAAAAAATTAGTGTCTTAATGTTTTTGAGTTAGAATGGCAGCAGTTCTATAGGCCTCATAGAATGATTTTTTTCAACGTTAAAATCATTTACTATTACAAGGAGTGTAAATATATTGAAAGTAGCTTATGAAATGTGTTTTTATATGATCTAATTAATTTCTTTTTCCAAAGTTAGGTAAAGTTGCTTTGTTAAACCTGTGAGTATAGTTATTTGGTCCTTTTAAAATACTTTTTGTTTTAGTATGTGAGGCTATCATATGACACCAAACCTGAAGTCATTCTGCAACTTCTGCTTAAAGAATGGCAAATGGAATTACCCAAACTTGTTATCTCTGTACATGGAGGCATGCAGAAGTTTGAGCTTCATCCACGAATTAAACAGTTGCTTGGAAAGGGTCTTATTAAAGCTGCAGTTACAACTGGAGCCTGGATTTTAACTGGTGGAGTAAATACAGGTAATATGAAGGTTATATCAATTTTATTAAATGTTTGAAAATTTTTCATAGTATCAATTAGATTTTTGAAATAGTCAATATTAAATCAATATATTTGGTTCTTCAGTTACATAAGCTATACCCATGCTACATAAAAGTTAACTGAATCTCTATGGTTTTTGTTTACACTCTAAAAAACAATACATTTGGGGCTGGGAAGGTGGCTCAGTGGTAGAGTGCTTGCCTTACATGCATGAGGCCCTGGGTTCGATTCCTCACCACCACATAAGCAAAAAGAACAAAAAAACAATACATTTAGAGCAGAAGTTTGACAAAGAGTCCATGTCCCAAATCCAGCTTGATCCTTGTTTTTGTGAATAGTTTTATTTTACCATACCCATACTCATTTGTTTTTATGTATTCTCTTTGACCCATTTTGTGCCTCCAACGGCAAAGAAGAATAGTTGTGACAGCCTAAACTACTTACTGTTTGCTCTTTGCCAGCACTACTAGAGAGCAGAATGGCTATTAGTAAATTGATGGGACAATGGTCGTCTCTTGCCTATGGAGTCATAAAAACTAATTTTAATATACTAAACCCTTTCTTTTCTTTCTTCCTTTCTTTCATTCGTTTGTTCGTTTCTTTTTTGGTTGATCATGGAGCTTGAACTCTGGGCCTGGGCACTATCCTTCAGCTCAAGGCTAGCTAACACTCTACCACTTGAGCCACAGTGCCACTTCCAGCTTTTTCTGCTTATGTGGTGCTGAGGAATCGAACCAGGGCCTCATGCATGCAAGGCAAGCACTCTACCACTGAGCTTTTATTCCTCTCAGCTTTTATTCCTTTCTTTTCTGTCTTATGTAAAGCTGAATATAAGGAGGGCAAGTTAATTTTGTCATCTAAAACTAAAAGTCTTTAATTTATATGAGTTGAATCATTTATTCATTTGGCATCAGCAACTAGATACTTTTTTTCTTGAACCCCATTAGCAGATATTCTTTGGGCTGCTGAGTATATTATCATTTCACAGAGCAGAGAAGATACTTTTATGAAGTTTATGCTGTACTGAGGAGATGTACATGACAAGCTGATAACTCAGTAATGTGTAGTCTTACATATGATGTGATAATTACTGAGATGAATAACATTTTGTGTGAACAGGTGTGGCAAAACACGTTGGTGATGCCCTCAAAGAGCATGCTTCTCGATCATCACGAAAGATTTGCACTATTGGAATAGCTCCATGGGGAGTGATAGAGAACAGAAATGATCTTGTTGGGAGAGATGTAAGAATAATTTTTTTTAATTTCTTATATTTGGATTTAATGTATTAACAAAGTTATAGCAAGAATAGTGAAGTTGTATTACAGTGTTTATTCATGATTATACTATACTTTCCGAATTCAATTTTAAAAGTATTTTCCTGTAGTTTTCTTCTGATCCTTTTGGAAAGACATTAACTAAATAATTTTGATTTTTTTTCTGTACTTTAACATGTTTTCAATATCTTTAATTAAATTTTTAATGGCTATATTGCATTAAGAATCACTTTTTTGAGGGACAGGGGATAAGGCACAGTGAGGAGACAAGAAGGGAGTAAGTTGAATGGGGAGCTTGCGCACGTATGGAAATGTGGCAATGCAAACACCCTTGTATAGATGCTAATAAAAATTTTTTTTTTTTTTTTTTGGTTCAGTCGTGGGGCCTGAACTCTTGGCCTGGGCGCTGTCCCTCAGCTCTTCAGCTCAAGGCTAGCACTCTACCACTTGAGCCACAGCGCCACTTCTGGCTTTTTTCTTTTTGCTTATGTGGTGCTGAGGAATCAAACCCAGGACCTCAGGCATACAAGGCAAGCGCTCTACCACTGAGCCACCTTCCCAGCCCCAAAAATATTTTTAAATGCATTCATCTTTTGTCACTAACAGTAGGAATGAAATGTTTTTACTTGAGCTTGAAGCTGTTTAGATACTTGTTAGAGACTACTAGAAAGGAGCTCCTAAATTTGTAGTAATCATCCTGAAGTGTTAGAAAATTTCTAATATCAAATGTAAAAGATTCTGTTTATGGCTAGAAAACTAACAAGACATTTTATTGCTCTTCTTAAGTGTGCTTTGTATATTACATCTTATTCATTTAACCTAATAATAGTTGATTAACACTATTCACTTATTTGCTGCTTTTTGCATATAATGATTAAAATACATATTTCTACAGTAAGGATCAAGATGTAATTACTTGGTTTAACTTATCAATTTTCTTCAGTTGGGTAAAAGCTTTTGCTTTTTTGAATATTACCTGTTATTTCTGTTTATTTCTAAATGTAAACTGGAATTTTAACTCTTTTGTTTGTGGACTATTTAAATTTTATTTTATATTATATTACATGTAATCCTCTGACTAACTCTTCTTTTGCTGTTGTTTAGGTTGTTGCCCCTTACCAAACCTTATTGAACCCCCTGAGCAAATTGAATGTTCTGAATAATCTCCATTCCCATTTCATATTGGTGGATGATGGCACTGTTGGAAAGTATGGGGCAGAAGTCAGACTAAGAAGAGAACTTGAAAAAACTATTAATCAGCAAAGAATTCATGCTAGTAAGGGAATTCACATACTTGTTATTGTTAAAATTTTTGAGGGCTGTAATAATAACCAGCAAATTCTGAAAAAGCATGGTGTTCTTTGAGGTGTTTTTTCCTCACATAGCAAGATAACTTATAAAGCAACTAAGAATGGCTGATCTTAGAAAAAATAATACTGAGGAAAAGAGGTCTCTCAGTCTTCAAAGTCAAAAAGTTGCTGTTGTAACCCAGGGTATTTACTTTTTTGTTTGTTTGTTTGTGCTGGGCTGGCCTTGAATTCTCCTCTAAATCTTAATTTACTGAGTAGCTAGGTTTACAGGTGTGAGCCACCAGTGCTTGGTGAGGCTGAACTTTTTTTTTTTTTTGCCAGTCATGGGGTCTGAACTCTGGGCCTGGGTGCTGTCCCTCAGCTCTTCAGCTGAAGGCTAGCGCTCTACCACTTGAACCACAGTGCCACTTCTGGCTTTTTCTGCTTATGTGGTGCTGAGGAATCGAACCCAGGGCCTCATGCATGCAAGGCAAGCACTCTTCCACTGAGCCACCTTCCCAGCTTCCCAACCTGAGGCTGAACTTTTATGGCACAACATCTAGATTCATTTCAATAGGACCCTGGGATACCAAGGAGATAAACTGCATGACCAAATCAAAAGTGAAAGTATGAAATTCCAGACTAGCACATTCAGAATACCAGGAGATCCAAGCATTTACAAAAATTAGGAATGTTTTATAACTGTACACTTACCATTATTTTTTGTTTTTGTTTTTGTTTTTTTGGTTGGTCTTGGGGGCTTGAACTCTGGTCTTGGGCGCTATCCCTGCACTCTTCAGCTCAAGGCGAGTGCTCTACGCTTGAGCCACAGCCACTTCCGGTTTTCTAGTGGTTTATTGGAGATTAGAGTTTCATGGACTTTCCTGCCTGGGCTGGCTTTGAACCTCAGTCCTCAGATCTCAGCCTCCTGAGTAGCTAGGATTACAGGCATGAGCCACCGGCGCCCGACTATTACCATTATTTTGTATTTCCTCACTATATTGCAGGTTATTACAAAAACAAAAATTAGTATTTCTGGCTAGATTTTTTTTCTTTTACTCTTGTAAATTCTGCTTCCATTAATTCCCATATGTTAGAAATTCAACCAGTACATATTAAGAAAACAAATGAAGCTGAATGTGGTAGGTGACACTCTGGAGGATCACATGCTTTTTGAGGGGTGGTGGTTGTTGTTGTTTGGTCAGTCATAGAGCTCAAACTCAGGGTCTGGGTGCTGTCCCTGAGCCTCTTTGTACTCAGGCCTACTGTTCTACTACTTGAGCCACAGTGCCACTTCTAGTTTTTGAGAGGTTAATTGGAGAGAAGAATCTCACAGCGCCTTTTCTGCCTTGGCTGGCTTTAAACCCTCCTCCTCAGATCTCACTCAGCCTCTTGAGTAGCTAGATTACATGTGTGAGCCACCAGTACCCGGCTACAAGACTTTTTAAGAGCAAACTAAAATTTGTTACTATACATTCCTTGTCAACTCAAATTTCTCATCAAGAAGGTAATTTATAAATTTTCATTGTGAATTACATAATGGATTTTCTGATTTTTGTCTTTTAGAACAGAGTTAATGACAACATAATTTATTTAGTACATTGTTTATGAGAGATTGTATCACCTCTAGTACTTGGTGTGAATTTCACAGTTTTATAGGAAATTATACTTTGACTTTCAATTTTTATTTTAAATAAGATTAAATTGTTGACTGTTGTCTGATTTTCTAATTAAACTGTTACTGTTTTTTAGGAATTGGCCAGGGTGTTCCTGTGGTGGCACTGGTATTTGAAGGTGGGCCTAATGTTATCCTCACGGTTTTAGAATATCTTCAAGAAAGTCCCCCTGTTCCAGTAGTTGTGTGTGAAGGCACAGGCAGAGCTGCAGATTTGTTAGCATATATTCATAAGCAAACAGAAGAAGGAGGGTAAGTATCTTGAGTGTCAGAAATTGAATAGCCTTATTAAAGAGGCTTGTGGTTTTCAGATATTCAGATTCCTTTGAGCATTTTATTAACATTAAAATCTCAAGTTTAATAAGATTTTTTTTTTTTTTTTTGGTCGGTCATGGGGCTTGAACTCTGGGTTTGGGCACTGTCCCTGTGCTGTTCAGCTCAAGGCAAGTGCTCTATGGCTTGAGCCACAGCACCACTTCCAGTTTTCTAGTGGTTTATTAGAGATGAGAGTCTCACAGACTTTGCCTGCCTGGACTGGCTTTGAACCGCGATCATCAGATCTCAGCCTCCTGTGTAGCTAGGCGTGAGCCACTGGTGCAAGGCTAATAAGATTTTTTTAAGGCTTACTGCCATAGTCTTGTATGTTACTGGAAGGATTGAAATATATATCCTCTTGGAAGGCAGTTGTTCCTTTAGAAGAATGTTGCTGGGAATTGTTCCTACAGATGAACATCTGTGGAAAAAAAAAATGTCAAAGTTTCTTGATACAGGATTACCTGTAAGAGTAAAAAATAAGAACAAAATAGGACATCTGTCAGAACAAGTGTGAATAAATAAATTGTGGTCTACTACACAATGGGACAGTTTGTAGCTGATTAAAGATAGGACCTGTATTCTAGATTTATGAGGGTTTCCAAAATGTCTTCATGGACAAAAGAATATGTTGAGCAATGTGTGTGTGCGAGGACATTTTTTAATGTAAAAACAAAAAGGATAATCTATGTAAAAAGATATCTTGAAAAATTGTACAAGTTAAAGGTGATTAAAGGTCAGAAGTAGAGCTATGCAGATGAAAAGACACTGGGAAGAAGACATCATGGTGAATTTTCATATTTTTTCTATATAGTTGAGCCTTGTAAGTGTATTGATGTTTATTAACCTTATAGAACATAGATAACTTTGGAATATAACCTTATAGAATGTAATACCTGAAATTTGAGTTTATGTAACACACACACACACACACACACACACACACAGTTTTGTTTTTTGGTTACTTGTGGGACTTGAACTCAGGGCCTGGGCACTATCCCTGAGCCTCTCTGTGCTCAAGGCTAACCACTTGAGCCATAGCATCACTTCCAGTCTCACAAGGACTTTTCTGCCCCAGCTGGCTTCGAACCATGATCCTCAGATCTCAGCCTCCTGAGTACCTAGGATTGCAGGTGTAAGCCATTGGCACCTGGTTATATGATATCTTATCTTTCGCACCTGGTTGTACAATATCTTATAATTACTAATACTACAATACATACTTTGTTAAAAACATTCATGAAGTAATTCTAGAGGAAAATCATTCCTTTTTTTTCTTTTTAAATCCCTTATAGCTTTGTAATGGGTATTCTTAGAGGAAAAGATAGTTTCATTCAGACAAATATTTAATTTTAATACAAAATTTCCAGGTCTTCAGGGACCTGCTTGTACTTCATTGGGGTCATGTAGCTAATGAGAGGTGAAATCGGTGAATTGTTGCATTTCCTCTTGTACCAGGAATCTTCCTGATGCAGCAGAGCCTGATATTATTTCAACCATCAAAAAAACATTTAACTTTGGCCAAAGTGAAGCAGTTCATTTATTTCAGACTCTGATGGAGTGTATGAAAAAAAAAGAGCTTGTAAGTAGATTTCAGATTAGTCATTTTATTTCTTTTAAAGTACATTCTACCCTGATAGGCGGATGTTAAATTCAAAATGCAAGGAGATACAACAAAGTAAACAGGACTCAAGAAACGAAGGACCTCTTCTTAATTTGTTGCATCAATTTTTTTTGTTGTTGTTGTTTTTTTGTTTTTTGGTCATGGAGCCTGGCCTGGGCGCTGCCCCTCAGCTCTTCAGCTCAGGGCTAGCACTCTGCCACTTGAGCCACAGTGCCACTTCCGGCCTTTTCTGCTTATGTGGTCCTGAGGAATCAAACCCAGGACCTCATGTATACAAGGGCAAGCACTCTACCCCTGAGCTAGCTTCCCAGCCATTGTTGCATCAGTTTTAGATGACTCCATGTTCCTGACATCACATATAGTATATACATTTGCGTGTCTGAGGGAAGCTAGGAGGAGGGTACAGAATCAGAGGGAAATGGATGAAAAAATAAAACAGAGGGCCCATCAGCAGCATTGGACATTGATGGAAATGAAAGCAACTCAAGGGCAGCAATGGCAGGGAGGGAAAGAGAGAGAAAGAGGGAACAGCTCACACTGAGCAAAAGGAAAGAAATGTACATAACACCCAATTTGGAAGAAATAGTTGTATTGTCCAAGTTTGTAGAATTCACAAGCTTTATAGGCCATGATAATGACAGATCGCCTTATGAAGGTTAAAATGTGTTTGTGACTTTAGCTAAGTATCACCATCCCACAATACTGTGGAATTTGTGAGATGTATGTAATTAATCTCAATAAAGAAAAAAAAAATAGGCTGGGAAGGTGGCTCAGCGGTAGAGCACTTGCCTTGCATGCCTGAGGCCCTGGGTTCGATTCCTTAGCACCACATAAGCAAAAAGAAAAAAGCCAGAAGTGGCGCTGTGGTTCAAGTGGTAGAGCACTAGCCTTGAGCTGAAGAGCTGAGGGAGAGTGCCCAGGCCCAGAGTTCAGGCCCCACGACCGGACCCAAAAAAAAAAATAAAGTACATTCTAAATTGCTGAAGTACTTTCATTTTTAATTTAAAAGTTTAGATGTTAAGATGTCATTTATATATAGTGTTCTCATACTGAGTGATGGCATAGGACTGTAGTTGTTTTTTGTTTCTGTGGGTTTTTTTTGTTTTGTTTTTTGCCATTCCTGGAGCTTGAAGTCAGGTGTGGGTACTGTCTCTGAGCTTCTTTTTTTTTTTTTTTTTTTGGTTGGTTGTGGGGCCTGAACTCTGGGCCTGGGCACTGTCCCTCAGCTTTTCAGCTCAAGGCAAGCGCTCTACTTGAGCCACAGTGCCACTTCCGAGTTTTTCTGCTTATGTGGTGCTGAGGAATCGAACCCAGGGCTTCATGCATGCAAGGCAAGCACTCTACCACTGAGCCACCTTCCCAGCCCCTCTCTGAGCTTCTTTTGCTCAAGGCTAGTGCTCTACCACTTGAGCCACAGTGTCACTTCTGGTTTTTTACTGTTTATGTGGTACTGAGAAATTGAACCCAGGCTTCATGCTAAGCAAGTACTCTACCACTAAGCTACATTCCCAGCCCAGGACTGTATACTTTATACTTCTCTTTCAGGAAAAGTTTCAAACTTAGGCTGCAACAGATGGTGTCTAGTATCAGTGAAGAAATGTAGAGCTAATCATGCCTTTTCCAACAAAGTATTTGGGAAAATATTTAAAACAATTTTACTGAGTGAGGTTTTAGGCTATTAAATAAATATCCGTCCTGCTTAGTTTCAGTCATGTAAACATCTTAAGTTTGTAGAGATAAAAGTTTTTAACTGCTCTATAAATAGATACCATGATTTGATTTGTTGTTTGCTTTCATTGTAAATTTTTTATACTGTAAGGTGGAGCTAACTGAATATTTTGCTTGTTTATAATTTTTTTGCAAATTAAAATTATAGACACTAGATAAGAACTAGTATTTCATTTCAAGTATTTTAAAGGCATATATATTTAAAAGATGGAACAAAAAATTTCTCATCCAAGAATATACATGTATATATGAGTTTGGGTGTAGTGGCTCTCCCCTGTAATCCTAGTATGAGGGAGACAAGTTCAACACCTGTCTAGGCTACATAAATAAGTGTTTACTCTGTGGAAAGAACAGCAAGAGGATTTAGCTGACAAGCAATCTATATTCTTATTTCATATGCTACTGCCTCTTATAACAGACAAATTTGTTTTTTTAAAAAGTGCCTATATGAGGAAACGAAGTAATTTGATAAATGATAAAGCCTTAATTTCCTGATATGTTTTTGGGGATTGAAATGAAGTTATTTCTAGGCTCTTTTCCTTGAATATATATTTATATCTATAGATTTATAAATCTATGTGAACACATATAAATATAAGTAAATAATTAAATGTAGTAAATAGTACATATATACATATATACACATACTTTGAAATTTCTTTTTATGATGCTTACCTCTAAATTACAAATGCATAATGTTATGAATTAATCTTTAAACAGATTACTGTTTTCCACATTGGATCAGAAGAACATCAAGATATAGATGTAGCAATTCTTACTGCACTGTTAAAAGGTAAGATTTCCAAAACTGGTATCTTTAATTTTTGGCCTATTTATTTAATGGAAGGACATTTTCATTTGCCTGAATACATAGGAAGTGAAGTTTTCATGTTTTCTTCACGAAAGACACAGTAGATGAATGTAATTGCTATAGATAACTTTATTTTTATCTTAGAGGTTTACTTAAGTTAACTTAAGTTTATAAAGGTTTACTTATAGTTTATAGTTTGTTCCAGATTTATTTAATTAAAATTTGCTCTTTAAGAATTTTCACATTCTTAACCAGCTGGAAATAATTGTCTAAAAGTAGTTTGATATTTGGTCAATAGATATATATATTAGTTACAACTTCTTAAATTTGCTACTTCTTTTCTTAAGGAAAAATCTGAAAACTAGTGGTATATTCAAGAACTAAGAAACTGATATATGTGCACAATGTACTGTTTCTTTCTCAGTAATTCACCAGACAATCAACTGATAGAACAGTGAAAAATCTCTTTAAAAGTTAGAAACAAAGATGAGGAGTTGGAGGCATGGCTTAGTTGGTAGAGCAGTAGCTAATGAATGAAAGCATCAGGTACCAAGTTCAACTCCTAGTCTCAGACCAAAAGAGGAAAAAGAAACATACTGAAAATTTGGCTCAGTTGGAGAGTGTTAGCCAGAGAGTGAAAGCAGCTGGTACTGAGTCCAAGTACTGGTCTCAGACCTTAAAAAAAAAAAAAAGAAGAAGAAGAAGAAACAAAAATGATGTTCCATAAGTCTGCTCTGAAGTGACAGGGGTAGATAGAGCAAGAGGTCATAGAAGCATTCCTACTCCACCAGCATGCTAAACGGGGAGTCATATTGGTAGATGCACACTTTCTGAAATATAGCAAAAGCCTTAAAGTGCATACTCTTATATTCTACAGAGTAATCCTACTTAAATCATTAAACATGTGAACTAAAATATAAGTGGCAAAAACTATAAAATAACCCAATTGCCTACTAATTGGAGTGATTGTTTAATAAATTGTAGTTCACCTTCAAAAAATACAAATACAGCTGAGCACCAGTGCTTTATTACTGTAATCCTACTCAGCCAGCTGAAGTCAGAGGATCAAGGTTCAAAGCTAGCCTAAGCAGGAAAGTATATATGACTCTTAACCTCTAATTAACCACCAAAAAGCTGGAAGTAGAACTGTGGCTCAAGTGCTAGCGTGCCAGCCTTGATCATAAAACTTCAAGGACAGTGCCTACGCCCTGAGTTCAAGCCCCTAGCACATAAGTAAAATAAAAAATAAGGTATAAACACACAAAATGAATCTACACTGTTTAGAGCTAAGGTCTGATAGAAAAGTGTGTAATTCAAGCTATTGAATACTTCATGTAATATGATGCTTTTTAAAAAATAAATAATTAAGTTTATGAATGAGCTTCTATATACACAGAGAAGTACCTGAAAAGATAGTTTTTGAATTCTATTAGTACTGTCTCTGTGATAGAAACAGATCCTCTTTGTTTTCTTCTCAGTTTCTGCATTCTGAATTGTTTGCAATGAGAGACTGTGTAGTTTCTGTACTTGAAAAACAAAAGTTCTCCATCCTGGGGTTAATCTTATCTCTTTGAGGCAGGCTACTTCAGAATGGTGGCTGGCACCTGCTGTGTAAGTTAAAGGGTGGTAGGGAGCTTTCAGAAGTGTTCTTGTATTAATGGAGAAAAACTTGACAATTATTTTCTTTATTCAATTAGGTACTAATGCATCTGCATTTGACCAGCTGATCCTTACACTGGCATGGGATAGAGTTGACATTGCCAAAAATCATGTATTTGTGTATGGACAGCAATGGTTGGTATGTAAATAATTTATCTATACAGTTAAACTAAGTACAGTGGTCCCTTCATATGCACAAGTTCCGTGTTCTGGACTCAGCTAGCCAAAGATTGTGTTCTATGTTGTTGCACTTACAATGATTGTGCTGAACTTGTATAGACTTTTTTTTCTCTTGTAACTTCCTGAATGATAACAGCGTTACTTACTAGCTATTACAAGTAATCAAAAGATGACTTTACATTACTGGAGGATATGTGTATGTCATTTTTGTTTGTTTGTTTGTTTGTTTTGGGGGGGGGCGTCCGGTGGGCCTGAACTTCGCCTGGGCGCTGTCCCTCAGCTCTTCAGCTCAAGGCTAGCGCTCTACCACTTGAGCCACAGCACCACTTCCGGCTTTTTTCCTTTTTGCTTACGTGGTGCTGGAGAATCGAACCCAGGGCCTCATGCATGCAAGGCAAGCGCTCTACCACTGAGCCACCTTCCCAGCCATGATATGTGTATGTCATATGCAGATACTTCACCATTTTATATAAGTAGCACCTTTGACTTTTGGTATCTGAGATCCTGGACCTATTCCCCTATAGATACTGACCAATTTCTTAATTATTTGCTAGAGCTGTATTTGCTAGAACTTCACATTTTACCTTTCTGCCACTAGTGCAAAATTAGATTACTTAACATTTCCATAATATCCAAAACATTTTGGAATTTAACAAAGTATTTTTGCTTCATAATACCTGTTTTTTTTTTTAATAGAATTTGCATATTCGCATGTATCTTCAGAACTCTTAGAACTCTTGCTATAACTGCAAGAGAACTCATTACTCCTTTGGATGTTTAGACCTCTCTCTTCTGCAGTCTCTCATTTACTACTTATGATTTTTTCTATCACGCAGAAGTAAATTTTATGAGTATGAAAAGTTTTGTTTACTGTATTTCCAGCCTTGTTATTAGTAAGTTTTTTATTACATGTCTGTGTCTGTTCATTTCATCTGTCCCTTAGAACATCACACCACCTTTACAGATATGATAAGCTAGATCTTTTTGTTTTAAATCTATGAAATAAATGTAAACAGCAAATTACAATAATTATGGGAAATTCTCTGAGTGCAGACCTCATCTATGTATATGGGGAGGGGGAAGAGTGAATTATTTGTATATAAGTACTATTTTGTCTTTGCCTGACTTGCATGGTAGTTGTGTCTGAAATTTGTGTGTGTGTGTGCTGGTCCTGTGGCTTGAACTACGGCCTGGGCATTGTTTCTGAGCTTTTGTGCTCAAGGCTAGAAGGTTAGTGTTCTAACACTTGAGCCGCAGTTCCACAGTTCTACTTCAAGCTTTTTTTTTTTTTGTATTTAATTGGAGAGAACAGTCTCATGGACTGCCCTGCTGCTGCTGGCTTCGAACCATAATCCTCAGATCTCAGCCTCCTTAGGCGTGAGCCACCAGCACCCAACCTTCAGGTGTATAAAGCAGAAGTCCCCATTTTTATTTATTTTTTTGTCAGTCATGGGGCTTGAACTCTGGGCCTGGGCATTGTCCCTCAGCTCTTCAGTTCAAGGCGAGCGCTCTACCACTTGAGCCACAGCGCCACTTAATGGTTTTTTGGTGGTTTATTGGAGATAAGAGTCTCATGGACTTTTCCTACGCAGGCTGGCTTTGCATTGTAATCCTCAGATGGCAGCCTCCTGAGTAGCTAGGATTACAGGTGTGAGCCACCGACGCCTAGCAAGGCCTCATTTTTTCACTCATGTGCCTCAGCAGGACACTGGAAGTTGTGTGGTTTGTGGGACACTTGTTGCTTGAATGATGTCCAGCATATTGCAGGATTTCTGGTATCCGTTAGCCCTACCCCATAAAAGTTAGTAATGGCTTGTTATTAGTAAAATTTTCATCTCCTTTTTTCAAAAATATCGGGAGCCTTTGTTCTAAAATATTTTTTTCCGAATTTAATTGATGATGGACTTCGTGGCCTTTTCCCTCACATTTCCCATTTGTTCTCTTATAGAAAGGACTTGAGAGAACGCGCGCGCGCACGCACGCACGCACGCACGCACGCACGCACGCACACACACACACACACACACACACACACAAAATCTTCCCTACCTTTCCGTTCTGTCTTTCTGCTTCTTTACATTTTATTTTTCTGATGTGATCTTGCACCACAATCTGCCTAAGCCTCCTACATAGCTAGAATTACAGACATAATCCACAGTGCCCAGCTTATTTGTTTAGATGGGGATCCCATTAACTTTTTTTTTTTTGGTGTCGGTCATGGGGCCTGAACTCTGGGCCTGGGCGCTGTCCCTCAGCTCTTCAGCTCAAGGCAAGTGCTCCACCTTTTGAGCCACAGCACCACTTCTAGCCTTTTCTGCTTATGTGGTGCTGAGGAATTCAACCCAGGGCCTCATGCATTCAAGGCAAGCACTCTACCCCTGAGCCACCTTCTCAGCCCCCTATTAACTTTTTTGCCTGGGCTAGGCTCAAACTGTGATCTTCCCCATCTCTGCCTTTCAAGTAGAGAGGATTACAGGAGTGATTTTACCACACCAGTTTCATCTTTTCTAATTTTGTCCTAAAATTGTTTAGGAACAAGTAGGTACTTTATAAAGACTTACATTTAGAAGTGAGCAATATCTGGGCACCAGTGGCTCATATCTGTAATCCTAGCTGCTCAGGAATCTGAAATCTGAGGGTTGCAGTTGAAGCCAGCAAGGGCAGTAAAGTCTGTGAGACTCATCTCCAATTAATCACCAGAAAATTGCAAGTGACACTATGGCTGAAAGTGGTAGAGCACTAGCCTTGAGTGAAATAGTTTAGGGAACAGCACCCAGGCCTCAAGTTCAAGTCCCATGACTGACAAATTAGAATTAGACCAACAATTAGAATATGTGAAATGTGTTAATTAGTTTTGATACTTTTTTAGGTTGGATCCTTGGAACAAGCTATGCTTGATGCTCTTGTAATGGATAGAGTTGCATTTGTAAAACTTCTTATCGAAAATGGAGTAAGCATGCATAAATTCCTTACCATTCCCAGACTGGAAGAACTTTACAACACTGTAAGTGCTTGAAAAAGTATTTCATCTTTAGGAAATGTTATTTTAACTGAACATACCTATTTCTGTTGGTAATGTCTAGCTGTATTATATGGGGCAAAGGCATCCAGTTTTCTGATGAGTTGGTTATATGACATTCTGAAACCTTTTTATGTTTGGAGAGCTCTCCCTGTCACCACAGCCGTATAAAAAGTGATAGAGGTGTCACTGTGGCTTGATTGGTAAAGCACTAGCCTTTGAGCACAAAGAAACTCAGGGATAGTGCCCAGGCCTTGAGTTCAAGCCCTACAAGTAACCATTAAAAAAAAAAAAAAGATACAAACGTAACAGTCCTAACTCACTTTCCCTCTCTTATACTCATTAAAAGTAGCAAGTCAATATTTGTGATTGTTGAGCAAACAATTTCCTGTCTATGGAAAAATTATACATAGTTTCTCTGTTTTGATTTTTTACATTGATGATTTGATATGATGTCCTCTTTTAGCCTACTCATTTTATTTTTCTTACATAGGGCTTGTGAAAACTTACCCTTCTTAGAAAGTCTTTCTTATAGCCAGGTACCAGTGGCTCATGCCTTAATCCTAGCTACACAGGAGGCTGAGAGCTGAGGATTGCGGTTCAAAGCCCGCCCGGGCAGGAAAGTCCGTGAAACTCTTATCTCCAATAAACCACCAGAAAACTGGAAGTGGTGCTGCGGCTCAAGTGGTAGAGCACTTGCCTTGAGCTGAAGAGCTGAGGGGTAGTGCCCAAGCCCTGAGTTCAAGCCCCACAATTGACCAAAAAAAAAAAAAATTCCATCTTTCTCTCTGAGTTATACATTGCATTTGAAGGAGGTTTATATATTTATTGCCTCCTAGATTTTTACTTTAATAGTATTTAGTGCAGTTACATTGAACTTGGGTAGCACTATGTTGTCTCTGGTTATCAGATGTGAAAATTAAAAGGATTGTTCATTATGCTGACGAGAAATTCCTCCCCAAAAAGTAAATGAAAATTGACTATATTAGTAACACAAGTAATTTTTTTAATTGTATAACTCAAAGTTGTTAAGGTAATAAGTACTTTCAGCATGAATTATTAAAGTTTTAAACTTTTTAAAATTGTAAAACAAAGTAGAGATATTTACAACAAAGAAGAGATATTCAAGCTTTTGTTAAGAACCCTTAATTTTAATAAAAATTATTGTGGACTTTTTTTTTTTTTGGGTCCGGTTGTGGGGCCTGAACTCTGGGCCTGAGCGCTGTCCCTCAGCTCTTCAGCTCAAGGCTCGTGCTCTACCACTTGAGCCACAGTGCCACTTCAGGCTTTTTTTCTCTTTGCTTATGTGGTGCTGAGGAATCCAACCCAGGGCCTCAGGCATGCAAGGCAAGCGCTCTACCACTGAGCCAACTTCCCAGCCCTTATTGTGGACTTTGAGGTACTGTTCAAATGCTTTTATTTATATGTATTGGCATTTACCATGCTAGAGTGTAAAAGAGAGATTTTTGAAATATCTGTTAATTTGTATTAAAATAACAATAATGAATTTATTACATATTAACATTTGCATTTTTTTGTGCATGCTGGGGATTATACCCAGGGCCTCAGGAAGTGTTCTGTCACTGAGATATACCCTAGCCAATAACACATTCTTAAAGAAGAACAAAATAGGTGAGGGAAAAAAAAACGACATTTCTGCAAATGTTTTAATGCCTGGCTTCATTTAAAAGCAGTGGCATTTTCTTACTTGCCTTATGAAGAAGGCTAACATTTTTTTTTGCCAGTCCTGGGGCTTGAACTCAGGGCCTGGGTATTTTCCCTGAGATGCTTTCACTCAAGGCTAGTACTCTACAACTTGAGCCACAGCACCATTTCTTGTTTTTTCTGTGTATGTGGTACTGAGCAATTGAACCCAAGGCTTTCATGCGTGCTAGGCAAGCTCTCTACCACTGAGCCACATTCCCAGCCCAATTTTTAACTTTTTGATAAAGACTGTGTCTTTATCATTGTTGTAATAACTCCAAAACAGCAAAAGCTTTTTATATGAAAATGGAAATAAAAGGAAGAATGTTTTAATTTATTTTAGAAGAAAATAATGCTCGGCTCTTAATGTTTTCTCCCTTCAGAAACAAGGTCCAACTAATCCAATGCTATTTCATCTTGTTCGAGATGTCAAACAGGTAAGAAATTATTTTTTGAACAATTTTTTTTTTTGTTAAATCATTTATACATGATTTGTTTACAAAAAAATTTCAAATTACCGGGTTAGAAGTGTCACTATTCATAGAACACCAGCCAATGAGTGATCAGATAGAGTTGGAGTCCTGATCTCAGACCAAAAAAAAAAAAAAAGCATTAAAATGACAGCCTTTTGAACAAGGTAAAATAAGGGTAACATTTGTGTTAACAGAAAAGTAGAGTATAATAAATCAAAAACAAAAAGAAGCACTGGGAAGGCAGCTCAGTGGTAGAGCGCTTGCCTTGTATGCATAAGGCCCTGGGTTCGATTCCTCAGCACCACATAAGCAGAAAAAGCCACAAGTGGTGCCTTGGCTCAAGTGGCAGAGCACTAGCCTTGAGGTGAAGTGCTGAGGGACAGCGCCCAGGCCCAGGGTTCAGGCCCCACGACCAACAAAAAGAAGAAAAAAACAAAAGCTGACAAAAAAATTAAGCAACAGAGTTTATGAAATGAATACTGATTGCCTAGACTTCTAGTCATCCAGATAGAGTATGATAGATTTTATGTTTATTGGTCTATAAACAGAAGATCATTGAGATTGACTTTCAGCAAAACTTGTTCACTAGAAATTTGTCCCCTTGTAAAAGATAGTGAATAATGAAATAGAGGGTTACAAAGTGGTGATCTAGATGGTTGAAAAGCTGAAATACTTCTCTTCTTGAAACCTTCTAGCACTGGTAGTGACTGAATTCATTGTTAGAGTCTAAAGTTAGTCCACGGTCACTAAATTGATTCTGTTCTTCTGTTTATATTCATCGTGAATTAATCATTTTAAATGTGTCTGTGCACTGGTGGCTTACAATAATCCTCACTATTCAGGAGACTTAAGATCTAAGGATCAGGAAAGAAATGTGGCTTAGTATTAGAGTGCCTGCCTGGCATGCATGAGAGATCCTTGGTTCGATTCCTTGGTACTGCATAAACAAAAAAATTAAATAAAATTATTTTTAAAAAAATCTGAGGATCATGATTTGAAGCCACTCTGGTCAAGAAAATTTTGTGAGATTTTATTTTCCCGTTAACTTAGTGGTTTTTAGTAAAAGCTGGCTTAAGTGGTAAAACTCTAGCCTTGAGTGAAAAAGCTAAGGGACAGTGCCCAGGCCCTTAGTTCAAACTCTCATACTAATACAAAAAAAAGAAAAAGAAAAGTTTTAAACTTTGTCACCAATTTTATAGTCAGTTAAATTACTAGTATCCAATACAGATTTACTTTTCTTTATGAAACAGTATTCATCTTGGTTAATTGAGGTGGGTATTGGTCGTAGTACATGCCTATAATCCTAACTTCTCATAGGAGCGCTTCAGCTCAAGGCCTAAGCCCCAGTGCCACTTCAGGTTTTCTGGTGTTTAATTGGAGATGAGTCTCACAGACTTTGCTGCCCGGGCTGGCTTTGAACCATAATCATTAGATCTCAGCCTCCTGAGTAGTAAGATTTCAGTCATGAGTCACCAGTGCCTGGCTAATCTCTTCTTGAAACAAACATTTCTCATTTTGAAGAGTAGACCTGCATTCTTGTGGGCATGGCATGTAAATATTATAGAATATTATATATCTGTTAAAAACTGATTTTTTGTTTCCAGGGAAATCTTCCTCCAGGATATAAGATCACTCTAATTGATATAGGACTTGTTATTGAATATCTTATGGGAGGAACCTACAGATGCACCTACACTCGGAAGCGTTTTCGGTTAATATATAATAGTCTTGGTGGAAGTAACCGGGTATGTAAAATTTTGGGGGGAAGCTGGTATGTGTGTTTTGGAGTTAATCCACACATCTTAGGATGTGAAAGTGATCTAGCTGCTTCTTCTGCCACCTGTGATCTCTAGGTTGATTGTGGTAATCTGGCTAGATAGACGTTTCCCCTTGTATCTTTCTCTGCTGAAGCTGCCCCCGTGGCTAGAGCCTCCAGATAAGCTCTCAAAGTCCCTTTGTAAGAGAATGTAAGACACTAGCAAGTGAGGTGCTACATGTTGCTATCTGCCTAACTTGTACAGAAAAATAGTAAAAAGTTAACACATACAATTTGGATGTTAGTTAAGAGGTTATAGGGCTGGATAGGATGTAATTAAGTAGTAAAACACTTGGATATTTTGTATGAGCATTTAATTTCAATCCCCAGCACCTCAAACAATTTAGAAAAAGAGCTACTTACATTAGGTGATTGGGTATAGTGGTTCATACCTGTAATCCCAACTGCTTGGGCAGTAGAGATAGGACAGTCATATTTCAAGGCCAGCCCAGGTTAAAAAAAGTTAGTGAGACACTATCTCAAAGAATAGCTAGATGTGGTGGTTCACAACTGTATTCCCAGAAAAATTGTAGTCTGAGGCCAGCTGGACAGTTAGTAAGACCCTATCTGAAAAATAAAGCAAAAACGGATTGGAGAAATGGCTGTAGTGGTACAGTGCTTGCCTTAAGGCCCTAAATACCATAAATTAAAATAGTGATTAAAAGTAAAATTTAAGAGATTGCATCCAAGAGGCTATTAAAAATATTTGATGTAAAAGGATTATTTGAGTCTACCCTGGACTATATCATGTAGTAGAAAGACCATGTCTCAAAAAAAAAAGGGGGAAACAAAAATGAAAAAGCATTTATGATCAAAATCTTAAGTCCTAAATATTTTGTTTATGAACTTATCCAGACATTTCTTCATATATATCTTGAATTTTATAATGTGTCTGTTACAAATCTGTAGCAGATTTAAATCTGTAAGTGCTAATAAGCTCTCATTTTCAGAGATCTGGCAGAAATGCTTCCAGTAGCACTCCCCAGTTGCGGAAGAGCCATGAATCTTTTGGCAATAGAGCAGATAAAAAGGAAAAAACAAGGCACAATCATTTCATTAAAACAGCACAGCCCTACAGACCAAAGGTATATTTGTTTATATTTTTCAAAGAGAATAGGTTTATTTAGTTCACCACTTGTATTAATGTAAATAATACCCTTTCTAGATTTTGACTTTGTACTTTATTTAGTATTATTAAATAAAAACTACTTATTTTAGTGAGAATTATCTTTTGATTTGGAATAGTTGAGTGTGTGTGTGCATGCACATGTGTGTGTATGTACACATATGTACATGTATACATGCACTTGAATTCAATGCCTCTCATTCCTGCTTAGCTTTTTTGCTCAAGGCTGATGCTCCATTTCTTGAGCCATACCTCATGAGGCTCTCAGCTATGACTGCCCATGCTGGCTTTGAACCTTGATTCTCAGATCTCAAGCTCCTGATTAGCTAGGATTACAAATGTGTGCTATTGGTACCCAACTGATAATTCATATCCTTGAATCTTCATATTTTACATGCACATTTTTTAGGAACTAATGATTCTATTAAGCTTTTCATAATTAAGTTTTTAATATACACAACAAAGGATTACTTAAACTTGTATTCATTAAAATTAAATTTTATCTATAGTAATTGAAATAGTGTGCTCTTCAGTTTATGAAATTTTTAGTATAGGCTTTTTTGTTGAAATGGTATTTTAGCAAAAATGGATTAAGAAAAGAATATCCTATAAAAATTTTACACTAGCCTGGCGCTGGTGGCTCACGCCTGTAATCCTAACTACTCAGGAGGCTAAGATCTGAGGATCACGGTTCAAAGCCAGCCCGGGCAGGAAAGTCTGTGAGACTTTTATCTCCAATAAACCACTAGAAAACGACATGTGGCGCTGTGGCTCAAGCGGTAGTTTGCTTGCCTTGATCCCCCCCAAAAATTTACACTAACATGAATGGTGCATGACCTTACTATAATGAGCCTTTCAACGTTTATTTTCCTTTGAAGATTGATACAAGTATGGAAGAAGGAAGGAAGAAAAGAACCAAAGATGAAATTGTGGATATTGATGATCCAGAAACAAAGCGCTTTCCTTATCCACTTAATGAATTGTTAATTTGGGCTTGCCTTATGAAGAGGCAGGTCATGGCCCGCTTCTTATGGCAGCATGGTGAAGAATCAATGGCTAAAGCATTGGTTGCCTGTAAGATCTATCGCTCAATGGCATATGAAGCAAAGCAGAGTGACTTGGTTGATGACACTTCAGAAGAACTCAAGCAGTATTCCAAGTAAGTGCTGTTTTATCCTCTGACAACTTAAAAATGCAAAACGATGTTTGAGTGAATGTAACAGTGCTATGTACACAATGAGAGAAGAGAAGAGAAAATGCATATGTATGTGTAATGCAGGTGGGGTCAATCATAGGGCTTGAACTCTGGGCCTAGACAATGTATCTTAGCTTTTGTGCTCGTGGCTAGCACTCTACTACTTGGAGCCACAGCTCCACTTCTGATGGTTATTTGGAGATAATCTTACATACGTTCCTGTCCAGGTTGGCTTTGAATCAAGATCCTCACATCACAGCCTCCTGAGTAGCTAGGATTACAGATGTGAGTCATTAGTGCCCAGCTTGCAGCATGTCTTTGTTGTTCTTGTTTTGTTGTTTTAGTTGGGAAACAGCCGGTTTTGGTGGTGCACATCTGTAATCCCCTCTATTTGGGAGGTAGATTAATGATCTACCTTTGAACCCTTTCAAAGCTCACCCAAGCAAGACCCTACCTAAAAAACAAATTTAAAAAACGAAAAGAGCCATGATTTAAGTGGTACAGGACTTGTCTAACAAGCAAGAGGCCCTCGGTTCAATCACTGGTACCACCAAAATAATACTAATAGTCATACCTTATTGTATTCTTTTTTGACATTTAAGAATTGAATATTTCGGCAAGAAAGCAAAATATGCCAGAAGAGGTAGTTTAATAATTATAGCAACTAGAGTAAGAATTCTGTTTGGAATGGTAAGGAAAGGAAGTAAATTTAGAGGTATATGGTAATCTAAGGAAATGAACTACATTCCAACCTAGGAAGACAGTTGGAGTGATAGAATCACATACATAGAAGAATAAAGTAGTTCCTGTGGTTAACAGTTTACTTGGAGAAGCATTATCAAAGTATTTTGTGTGTGTGAGAGAGTGAGAGTGTGAGAGTGTGTGTGCTCGTGTGCGTGTACGCATACTTGTCCTGGGGCTTGAACTTAATGCCTGAGCACTCTCCCTAAGCTTTTTTGCTCAAGGCTAGTGTTCTACCACTTGAGCTTTTTAGTGGTTAATTGGAGATGACATTCTCATGGATTTTCTTGCCCTGGCTGGCTTTGAACAGCAATATTCAGACCTCAGTCTCATTAATTAGAGATTAGAGCATCACGAACTTTCCTGCCTTGGCTGGCTTTGAGTCTCAATCCTCAGATCTCAGCCTCCTGAGTAGCTAGGATTTCAGGCAGAGCCAACACTGCCTGGCAGGATTATCAAAATACTTGAAGATGTTTTATAATAGACACTTAGATCTTGTTGTCCCCAAGTGGGATGTTTTGGAAATGAACAATTTATATTGAAAATAACTTACATAAAGATCCTGGGATTACTTAGTGTAGAGTTAAGACTCATACTTCTCTTGATTAGGTTAGTCCCTGGTCCCATTATTCTCTTCTTTACGGAGCCACCAATTTTTTTTTTCTTTGAAATAAGATGTAAAGACAATGAATGTATCATTGTCAGTTTTGTCTCCAACAAAACTGTATATACAGTGTTCTTTAAGACCAAGAGAAAGGATGCTGGGTTTTACCTTTTCAGTCTTTTTTTTTTAAATAGTGATTTCCATAGTCATAAATTTCTGAACACAGAGCTGCCACAATTTTAATGGCTCATCATTCCATAAATAATACTGGAAAATATCAAAAACTTTTAAGATTATAGAACTTCTGAGGGATGAAGCTCAGTTGAAGAGTGCTTGCATGCATGCTGAAGGCCATGGGTTCAATTCCCAGCACAAAACAAGAGAAAACAACAAAGAAACCCCACTGCAGTTTGTTAACTTTAGTATACTTTGGTCTTTATCTTTTGTAGTGATTTTGGTCAGCTTGCAGTTGAATTACTGGAACAATCCTTCAGACAAGATGAAACCATGGCTATGAAATTACTCACTTATGAACTGAAAAACTGGAGTAATTCAACCTGCTTGAAGCTAGCAGTTTCTTCAAGACTTAGGCCTTTTGTAGCCCATACCTGTACACAAATGTTGTTATCTGATATGTGGATGGGCAGGCTGAATATGAGGAAAAATTCCTGGTATAAGGTACACTTTAGAAATAATTTGACTTAATGTATGCAATTAGATATAAAGAATAGAGGAATATATATGCATGTACGTATACATGTATACATATATATTGTTTCATATTCATATATTTACCTATTTAATGTGTGTGTTTATAATAAAACACACTTTATTCAAGTGTATTTAGCTATTGGCCTTCTGTGAATGAGAAGTATGAAGGCAAAAGATGTTGGGGAATGTTGACATTAAATGTAGCCATGAAAAAAGTTACTGCCTTATGAAAGGATACTTTAAATTCTGAGCTTATGGATGATTGTATCCATATATCCATAGTTGTTGTTAAGTATACAAATATGTTTAGTGTTAAAAGTCAAAAGTTTGAAAACAATGGCTGGTCTTTTCTTTTTTTCATAATAAGAGATGATACTTGAAACTTCCTTTTTTATTCTCTTACATCATTACATCTTAGATCTCTTACATCATTCTCTTATAGAAATGTAGTAGGAAGCATAGTTTAAGTTGCTGTAAGTGGATAACAAATATCTTCTACTGAAATAATGATGAAAAAGTAACAAAGCCTCTTGCACAATTGTGATTTGTTATGCTTTTAAGATTTTACAAGTAAGCTGGGCACCTGTGGCTCACACCTGTAATCCTAGCTACTAGGAGGCTGAGATCTGAGGATTACGGTTCAAAGCCAGCCCGGGCAGGAAAGTCCATGAGACTGTTATCTGCAATAAACTACCAGAAAACTGGAAGTGGCACTGTGACTCAACTGGTAGAGCACTATAGCCTTGAGCTGAAGAGCTCAGAGACAGTGCCCAGGCCTACAGTTCAAGCTCCATGATCAACCAAAAAAAATAAGAAAGATTTTGCAAGTAATATGTAATAAGCAATATATTTATAGAGGTGGGAACATATAAGCTTGGCTTAGTTCCATCCCCATTGCTAACTTCTAAAATGAAAAATACTAACATTTTAGTTATAAATGGAAATACAAATCATGTTACAACATGGAGCACTTACAAAGAGATAAGAGATAAAATGAAGTACTAGCACCTTTATAATTCTTGAATCTTGCTTAAACAAAAAATATATTTTCTGTGCACAATGTAACCTGATTTTATTTAGTCTAAAGTGATTAAAATATTTGGGGCTGTCAACATTATAACACAGTTAAATCTGGCCCAGGCATGGTGGCTCACACATCTAATCCTAGCTACTCAGGAGGCAAAAATTCATGAGACCACATGTAAAAAAACTGACCATGACAGTGCACACCTGTCATCTCAGCTATGTGGGAAACATAAATAGGAGGACCCTGGTCCAGGCTGGCCTAGGCATAAGCAATGAAACTATTTGAGTAACAACACACACACAAAAAAAAGATGTAAGGGGAGTAGCTCAAGGGGTTAGAGTACCACCTAGCAAAACAAAACCTCTAAATGTAGTATATAAAAAAATAAATTCAGCCTGGTGCCGGTGGCTCATACCTATAATCCTAGCTACTCAAGAGTCTGAGATCTGAGGATCACGGTTCAAAGCCAGCCCGGGGCATGAAAGTCCGTGAGACTCTTATCTCCAAAAACCACTAGAAAACCAGAAGTGGTGCTGAGGCTCAAGTGGTAGAGCGCTCTCCTTGAGCTGAAGAGCTGAGGGACAGAGCCCAAGCCCAGAGTTCAAACCCCACGACCGACAAAAAATAAATAAATTCATTTCGCCCCTATACTTCTACAGCAAATGGCTAACAATCACAGGATAACTTAATCTAATGATTCTATTGTGTTTTCAAATGTCATTTATGTTAAAATGCAAATTTTTCTGTTTCTGAAAATTGTAGGTCATACTAAGCATTTTAGTTCCACCTGCCATATTAATGCTGGAATATAAAACCAAGGCTGAAATGTCTCACATCCCACAATCTCAAGATGCCCATCAGATGACAATGGAAGATAGCGAAAACAACTTTCAAAACATAACCGAAGAGATCCCGATGGTAAGAAAGTGACATTCCATTGTAAATATGTTCATTGTGAATCAGTATACAATAAATATATGTATGTATTTTTATTTTTAGGAAGTGTTTAAAGAAGTAAAGATTTTGGACAGTAATGAAGGAAAGAATGAAATGGAAATACATATAAAATCAAAAAAGCTTCCAATCACACGAAAGTTTTATGCCTTTTATCATGCACCAATTGTAAAGTTCTGGTTCAACACGGTATGTTTTTAAATTGTATGTGCATGGTTTTTGTCTTGTTTTGGTGCTAGGGGAGAATGATGGTTTTTAAAGGTCTGTTTTAGGAAACCTTTGGTCTAAGAGTCTATACTCCTAATCTTGATCAATAAAAATATATTTTTTATTTAGAATAAGTTTGGCTTTCTTTCACATCCACCTTACTAAGTTCTAGAATGACATACTAACATAATTTTAACTGGAAATAAAAATGTACTGAACAGATAATTTATAGCAATAGGTCTTTCCAAGTGAGTAACAAATATAAATAATATAGAAATAACGCTGAAAGATTTACCAAAAGAAGCTGATTTTTTATTTTTTTTGGCCAGTCCTCTGGTTTGAATTTGGGGCCTGGGCACTATCCCTGAGCTTCTTTTGCTCAAGACTAGCGCTCTGCCACTTGAGCCACAGCACCTCTTCTGGCTTTTTCTGTTCATGTGGTACTGAGGAATCAAACCCAGGGCTTCATGCATACTAGGCAAGCACTCTACTACTAAGCCACATTCCCAGCCCCCTCTTTGTATCTTATAATGCAAATAATATATGGAAGTTTCTTAGTAGTTCTATTTGCAGTTGCTGATGATAATAAAGAGTATTAATGATGTGCTTGATTACCTGCTATATTACTATATTGACTTTTCTCTCACTGTATAGAAAAATGAGTTACTGGCATACTACAGAGCATATACGCATGGGGGAATGTCAGAATGTGTTGTATAGTTATTATAAACTTCTAGTTGGCTCTTTATGTCATTCTCTCATTCTCTTCAAAGTGGACATGCTATATGATATGCATGATTATCAGCCCCCACTTTGAACCAGGGAATGAGTCTAAGTGAAGGAACATTGGACTCCCTATTCCCAGGAAAGGTCTCTCCGTGTTTCTCAAGTTGTTTTTATTTTTATTGTCTTTTTTTTTTTTTTGTCGGTCATGGGGCTTGAACTCTGGGCTTGGGCACTGTCCCTCAGCTCTTCAGCTCAAGGTAAGCGCTCGCTCTACCACTTGAGCTACAGCGCCACTTCCTAAGTTGTTTTTGTTTTTATTTTTATCACTATTGAACAGTTGCCTAAAACTACAAATGGCTTTGTGCTAAGCTAAGCATTTCAGAATTTGTTCCTTCAGGACTGGGAAGGTGGCTCAGTGGTAGCGCGCTTGCCTTGCATGCATGAGGCCCTGGGTTCGATTCCTCAGCACCACATAAGCATAAAGAAAAAAGCCGGAAGTGGCTCTGTGGCTAGCGCTAGCCTTGAGCTGAAGAGCTGAGGGACAGCATTCAGGCCCCATGACCGGACCCCAAAAAGCAAAACAAAAACAGAATTTGTTCCTTCAGTCATTGTTTTCTCACTCACTCTCATGCCCATTAACCTGAGACTAATCTGTCATTTCCTTCTCACTATGAAACTTCTTATTCTTCCCTCCTTCGTGCTGGTAATGTGTATTCCAGTTATCTAGTCCCTCAAATTCTATTCCAACTAGTAGAAATAATGTGGGGGTTTTCACATTTTTCTCATATGAATGAATGTCTACTTAAAAATAGCCAACCCTAGGGGCTGTAGGAATTTCTATTTTCTTTTTTCTTTATTGTAGTTTATTTCCCTAGCCTACCATAGTGCTCAGATAAGTTTGTGTAATTCATGAAAATGTCCATGATAGTTTTGCTCTGTTATTAACTTCATTTGTATGACCTTTATGTCTTTTTTTTATTAGCTGGCATACTTAGGATTTCTGATGCTTTATACATTTGTAGTTCTTGTACAAATGGAACAGTTACCTTCAGTTCAAGAATGGATTGTTATTGCTTATATTTTTACCTATGCCATTGAGAAAGTCCGTGAGGTATGTGTTTAGTTTGTCCTACTAGTAACTTACTGTATATATGGAGGATCTTTTTCTTTCTTGTTTCATTATAAGTGTATATGTGGGTATGTGTGTTTGTAATTCCAGTGGGTGGTAAGATTACAGAAGTATAGAACATGGGGGGTTGTGTGTGTGCGTGTTTCATTATTTAGAGACTGCTTTGCTAATTTCTGTATGATCAAACCCCCATATAGGTAAGATCTTACATATTAATACAGTGCATTATTCCTGTAAAAATTGGGCAAAAAATAATGGTTTTTGTTAATTTTTCTATAGTCAGGTTACTAACAAATCACAGAGTTGTGATATAGTACTGTCCCACATTTATAACACTAAATTAGAAGGTATTGTTTAATTGTACAATTATAAAGGCATTGTTTCAGACTGGATTCTATTTTTTTAGCAGAGGATCCACAGGATAGTAGGACATGGGTCTCGAAGGAAATTCACCTTCTTAGATAGGATTTCATTTCATTAGTGGCACAAAAGGAAGACTTCAATATTTAGAACTTAAGTATTTAAGCTGTGAATGTATCATTCCTCTCGTGTTTTCTATTATATTCAAGAGAAATAGTGTATGTTTTAAAATAAGTTAGATACAGCAACATAAACTATTGAATTATTTACTTTCTGCACATATGGTATCTATGAAAAATACTCTTTTAATTATGTCTAACTACCATCTCAATTTAAAATAAAACAGGTCTACAGAATTGTTTTATGGGACTGGGGATACTGCTTAACTGATAGGGCACCTGGCAAGTGTGAAGCCGAGTGTTCTAATTCAAGATTTTGGCTTCTTAATTATGTGGTCTCAGTGGAGCAGGTCATTGATTAGAAGTGTTTACCTCTGCTATCTTACTGTTTGGTTTATTAAATGCTTCATCAAATACCAAGATAGCAGATTAAAAGCACTTTGAAACATTAAAATGTAAATAAATTTCTATGATAATGTAATGAACATTGTATGGTTTTTGTTTTGTTTTGCCAATCCTGGGGCTTGAACTCAGGGCCTGGCACTGTCCCTAAGCTTCTTTTTGTTCAAGGCTAGCACTCTACCTGAGCCACAACACCACTTCTGGCCTTTTCTGTTTATGTGGGACTGAAGACTTGAACCCAGGGCTTCATACATGCTAGAAAAGCACTCTATCACTAAGCCACAAAGCTGTATGTTTTATAGGAAGAAAGTGAAACTTGTTTAATCTTGTTAAACTTTCAGATCTTTATGTCAGAAGCTGGGAAGATAAGCCAGAAGATTAAAGTGTGGTTCAGTGATTACTTCAATGTCAGCGACACAATTGCCATAATTTCTTTCTTCATTGGATTTGGACTAAGATATGGAGCAAAGTGGAACTTTGAGAATGCCTATGATAATCATGTTTTTGTGGCTGGAAGATTAATTTACTGTCTTAACATAATATTTTGGTATGTGCGTTTGCTAGATTTTCTAGCTGTAAATCAACAGGCAGGACCTTATGTAATGATGATTGGAAAAATGGTAAGTTGAAAGCTGTCTGCTACTACTAATGAGTTTCATTCTTTTCTTGAATTTTTAGCATAGTTTAACTTGAGCTGGTGAATGTCTGTTAGTTCATATTTATTTGGCTTCCTTATCATTTCATTAAAATTTTTAAAAATTAACATAGGAAAAACATGTTTTGTATTATCTTGAAATACTTTCATTTTTAAAATACTATTTGCCAATATACAGACAAATAATGAAAGTAAGAATTATATGTATATTTCTTTTAATCTTTACTGCTGATAATCTAAACCAGACCATGTCTTCTAGCACCTTCAGTAGGTAGGTTAGTAATCTCTTTCATCATAAGCAGTCTGCCTTGTCTTCAAACTGTAGACTAGAGTGATATATCAAAATGCAAATATTGAGTATGTCACTTCTCTATCTTTAAAGTTTTAATGATTTTTGCCTTGTTCCAAAAGATCAATGTACTAAATTAAATCCACAAGTTTTGCCTAGTTTTATCTCTTGTATGTCTGCTTTACTGTACTTCTTTCATGCCTCTCTCCCTCCCTCCTTCCTTTTCATTTGAGATACTTATACACAATCACAAGAAAGAAATCAATCCTTTGGACCCTTTTGTTTCTTCCTTGTTTTCCTTTAAGCCTATGTCATATATTATTACCTGTTCTTATCCTATAATCCCATGGATCTTTAATTTTTTCTTTTTAAGTATGCTATAGTAGTGAATGCCTGTAATGCCAGCTGCTTGGAAGGCTGACACAGAAGGATCACCTCTTGATTTTTTTGAGATAAGGTTTTGCTCTGTAGTTCAAACTGGCCTTGAACTCTCAGTCCTCCTACCTAGGGAGAGCTGCAAGTACAGATAGGTACCACACCATGCCAGCCCGTCTCTGTGCCTAGTCTTTTTTGTGTGTGTGCCAGTCCTGGGCTTGAACACAGGGCCTGGGCACTGTTCCTGAGCTGCTTTTGCTCAGGGCTAGTACTCTACCACTTGAGCCACAGAGCCATTTCTGGCTTTTTCTGTTTATGTGGTACTGAGGAATTGAACCCAGGGCTTCATGCATGCTAGGCAAGCACTCTACCACTGAGCCACATTCCCAGCCCCCCATATCTTAAATTATATTCTTATTGCATTATTTATCTTCTTTATAGACTGTAAACTACCTCTAGTAGGAAACTTTTCTAGTTTATTTCTCTAGTATTTATTCTAGAACCTTTACATACTAGTTTCTCCTTAGTAAAGATGTATTGTTTGGATGGATAAAGCAATTATAAGTAGAAGAAGCTATATAAAAATGCTGAGTATTATTGTTTTGATAGTTATATTATCTAATTTTTCTAACCTTAGCAGCAAATCATGTTAGTCAAATACTTTTTAATGTTTATTATTTACTGCTGTGCAAGACACTACTGAGCAATGCAGTATAGTTCCTGACCTTTATAAAGCCACATTTCTCTAATTTGACTTTTTAAAAATCTTGTAATTTTAAAAAATAGTTTTGCAGTCTAGCTTGAGGGCTGTCCTGTACAAAACTTTTTTTATTTACTTATTTTTTGCCCATCCTGGGGCTTGAGCTCTGGGCCAGGGTACTGCTCCTGAGCTTCTTTTGCTCAAGGCAAATACTCTACGTGAGTCACAGCGCCAGTTCTGGCTTTTTTGAGCAGTTTGTTAAAGAGTCTCATTCATGCCTGGGCTGGCTTCAAACCACGATCCTCAGATCTGAGCCTCCTGAGTAGCTTGGATTACAAGTGTGAGCCATTGGTACCTGGCTCTGTATAAAATATTTTGGGAAATCGCATGAGCCTGTTTTCTAACAGTCCAATTCACTGATGACATAATGTTAGGGCTACATGGTAAGTAACAGAGCAAGTGTAGAAAGGCACATCCTGGCTGGGACTGCCTGTAGAAGGAGTTGATTGTCAGGTGGGGTAAGTGTGGTAGGCTGGCTCGTGGCGGACATTGCCAGTTATTCTAAATGTTTAGAAAATGAAAATACACTAAAACTACTGGTTTCCTCCTCACATTTAGTATTTTTATTGTACCTTGACCACTCCTGCCTTTATTGTCATTGTCACAGTATATTCATTTTAAAACATATTAAATAGATTGGTTTTGTTTTTTTTTTTTTAGTTCATAGTAAAGTACACATTTATTGCAAATGCAATCTTGATTCGTATGAGGGTTTCTCCCTACGTAGGTTAAAATTTATGAATGAATATTATGTGTTAACGTGAGAAAATGCTCTTTTAGAATGTAAATAATGAGAATTTGTATAGCTTGGATAGGAATTAAAGATAGAAATATTTAAAGCATTTTTTTCTCAATTTGAAATCTTGCATAAGGTATAGAGCTTATGTTTCAGTGAATTATTAGGTGGTGAGTCAATTAGATTATTTTCAATTTTGTTGAAGTAGAGGAATTACTAACTACCTGACTTGCAAAATAACTTGTTACCCAAATATTCATGATTTAATCTATTGCTTTGTTGCTTTGTATTTTTTTTTTTGTTTGTTTGTTTGTATTGGTCCTATTGTGGGGCCTGAACTCTGGGCCTGGGTGCTGTCCTTCAGCTCTTCAGCTCAAGGCTAGCGCTCTACCACTTGAGCCACAGCGCCACTTCCGGCTTTTTTCTTTTTGTTTATGTGGTGCTGAGGAATCGAACCCAGGGCCTCATGCATACAAGGCAAGTGCTCTACCACTGAACCACCTTCCCAGCCCCTTGCTTTGTATTTTTTACTTCATATACCAGCCACTAGTTCAGGACACTTGTCAAATACACCTTTGTTTTATGAAGTAAGCAAAGGACAATTAACAAAGACAACGTCCAAGAGAGTCTGCTCCCCCATTATAAAAAAAACTTTTAGAAAAGGGTGAAATTCATTTCCTAAATCTTCGCATGTGTCTTTACTTTAAAAAATTCTCTATCTCAGAGTTGGCAAATTCCAGTTTGAACAAAATTAATACAGTTCATTATAGAGATAAAAATACTAATGGCTTGCTTAGCTTCACAGATTTTTTTTCTATTTAAAATTACAAATTCCTTGATATTAAGGTGTATACAGTATTAAGATTTCCCTGAAATCTCACGCTGATAATCCTAGCTGTTCAGGAAGCTGAGATTTGAGAATCTTGGTTTGAAGCCAGCCTGGACAGGAAATTCTGTAAGACTCTTACCTCCAATAAATTATTCAATAAAAGTTGGAAGTGGAGCTGTGGTTCAAGTAGTGGAGCTAGTAGCCCTTAGTGCAAAAAAAAAAAAAAAAAAAAAAAGGCTCAAGGACACCATACAGGCCCTGAGTTCAAGCCCTGAAACCAGCACCGAAAAAGAAGAAAGGAAATTTAATACCATTACTAGGAATTTAAAAAACAAAACTCAAAAGATTTGTTTTTCTATTCACATATTAGAAACATTTTTAAGATGTCAATTGCCTTGTATTTTGACAATGTTTATTTTTTTTAACAGGTGGCCAATATGTTCTACATTGTAGTGATTATGGCTCTTGTATTACTTAGTTTTGGTGTTCCCAGAAAGGCAATACTTTATCCTCATGAAGAACCATCTTGGACTCTTGCTAAAGACATAGTGTTTCATCCATACTGGATGATTTTTGGTGAAGTTTATGCATATGAAATTGATGGTAAGGATTTATAGTATTGTCTTTTGGTTAGTTTATATTTTTAAGACCAGATTGCATTGTTGGAAATATTTCTTGTTTTCCACAAAGTCAAACCTAAGTACCCTGCTGTGTATTAAGTAACTCAGGGTTGGGATTAGTTGAAAATATAAGAGGTTTTTTGGAATTTTTTTCAAGCATTGGAAATCTGACCTAAATTAGCTCAGACCAGGAAGCCACTTACTAGATCACATAGCAGAAAGTTCTGGAAAGAGTGGTCTTTAGGGTTGGTTAATTTGTATCAGCCCTAAAGTGGTGGGCAAATAGATGATTATGGTTATTATTTATTCTCAGATAGTGTTAAAATAGGTCTTCTTAGGCTGGCCAAGTTTTGTGTTGAGTGGCTTCTTGGTCAGTATAGTTTTCATGGTGATAGTGTACTCTGTTTCTCTAATGCTGTATCTCCTGTTGTGTGGTTGTTACATAGCTTTAGCTATAGTTTCTCAGTTTCCTTCATTCTTTTCTTAAGTCTTTACTCCCCTAATCAACTGTGAATCAAATAGACACCAGTTTATAAAACTTTAATGAAAGGCCATTAATAACATTTGTGTCCCTATCAAACCATTTAAAAGAATAATACAGCTAGCTATTATGAGAATTTTAATGATGAATAAATCACTAAGCATTACTGAGTGTGCTGTAAATATTTATATGGAAATCTTCACTAATTCATGATTATTTAATTCTAATCCTTGCCCGCACTAAGTTTTATATTTTTACCATTGCCATAGTAGATATTAAAGCTCTTCTCTAACTTGTTTGTGTTTAGTTCCAGTCTAGCTTCAGAAACATTGCAGGTCTAGTCACTTGATGTTTGAAAAGCCCTTTGGCAATTTCTTCAACCCTCTTGTGACACAATATACGCATAGTCTTCACCTTTGTAAATTTTGGGGTTTATTATGAGTCTTTCATACTTTTAAGTCTCAGATATTTTTGTTATGCAAATGTTATAGTGTAGCTGAATTTATTAGCAGTCCTTATACTAAACTCTGCTTCTATGACACTGTATACCCTGCTTTCTGGAATAAAGTGGCTATATCTCAATTTTTTTCCCCCCTAAAGTGTGTGCAAATGATAGCTCTATCCGTCACATCTGTGGTCCCGGGACATGGCTAACTCCATTTCTTCAAGCAGTCTACCTCTTTGTACAGTATATCATTATGGTTAATCTTCTCATCGCATTTTTCAAGTAAGAATTTCATTTAACTGCTTATTATAAAGAGATCATTTGATATCTAGTTCTACTTATTTTGAAGGAAATATTTACAGTCTAAAAATTAAGCCAAGTGCTGGTGGGTCACCCCTCTAAACCTAGCTACTCAGGAGATTGAGATCTGAGAATCTCAGTTCAGAGGCATCCTGGGCAGAAAAGTCTGGGAGCCTTTTGTGTCCAGTTAACCATCCAAAAAACAGAAGTGGACCTGTGACTTAAGTGTAGAGCACTAGCCTTGAGCAAGAAAGCTAATAAAAGCCAGGTGCCTGGCAGCTCACATTTGTAATCCTAGCTACTCAGGAGACTGAAATATGAGGATCCCAGTTCAAAGTCAGCCCTGAAAACTTCTCTAATTTTTTTAACCACCAGAAAACCGGAAGTGGTGCTGTGGCTCAAGTGGTAGAGCACTCACCTTGAAGAGCTGAGAAACAGTGGCCAGGCCCAGACTTCAACCCCACAACCAGAAAAGAAAAAAAAAAAAGCTAATAAACAACTGGGCACCCATGGCTCATGCCTGTAATCCTAGCCACTCAAGAGGCCTAGAACTGAGGATCACAGTTCCAAGCTAGCCTGGGCAGGAAAGTCCAGGAGACTTTTCTCTGATTAACCACTTAAAAAGCTGGAAGTAGAGGTGTGGGTCAAGTGGTAGAGCACTAGCCATTAGCAAAAAAAAAAACAAAAAACTCAGGGTCAGCAACCAGGCCTTGAGGTCAAGAACTAGGACAAGCACCAAAAAAAAAAAAGTGAAACCCTAGTTGAAAAGTAACTAAGGAAAATGGTTTGGGAGCTACGGCTTAGTTGATTGAGGGCCTGCCTAGCAAGCCCTAAATTCAGAGCAAGGTACCACCAAAAAAACCCAGAAACATTACAATTATTTTTTCTGCCAATTTGAGAGGTTGCTATTAAAGTTCTCGACCACCTTTGCCTTAGTTTGTTGCGTCTGGGTGTTTTTTTCCTAGTTCTTTAGTTTTGTGGATGGGAGGGTATACTTTTGACTCCTTATTTAGTAAGAAATATAGTAACATCTTTAATAATAATCCATATCTTAATTATTAAGATGTTATTAGCTAATTTGTTTTATTTTTATTCCTTGCTCTTCTAGTAATGTGTATTTACAAGTGAAGGCAATTTCCAATATTGTGTGGAAATACCAGCGCTACCATTTTATCATGGCTTATCATGAAAAACCAGTCCTGCCTCCTCCACTCATCATTCTTAGCCATATTGTCTCTCTCTTTTGCTGTGTATGTAAAAGAAGAAAGAAAGATAAGACTTCTGATGGACCAAGTATGTAAAATAAATTAAGCAGATACTTAATTTGATCCTTAATATTACACTGAAGGCTGAGTATTGATTTTATTCCAATGGCTTAGTTTCCTGCTGTCATGAAGGCTTTTGTTAAATTTGCTTGAACATAAATTAATGTTTACATACAATCTAGTATCTGTGAAAGTAGATATAATGTTAAATGTCTCTTGGGAGGTGGCATGTCAGTATCTGTTTGTTAAAGTGGTAATATAAATTTTAACACCTTAGCTGTTCTACGAACCACTTATGGTGTTACCTAAACCATAACAATTTTAGTTTTTGGGGTTTTTTTGGGGGTCCGGTCGTGGGGCCTGAACTCTGGGCCTGGGCGCTGTCCCTCAACTCTTCAGCTCAAGGCTAGCGCTCTACCACTTGAGCCACAGCGCCACTTCCGGCTTTTTTCTTTTTGCTTATGTGGTGCTGAGGAATCGAACCCAGGGCCTCATGCATGCAAGGCAAGCGCTCTGCCACAGAGCCACCTTCCCAGCCCCCCCCCCCCCCCCTTTTTTTGTTGTTGTCGGTAGTGGGGCTTGACCTCTGGGCTTGGGCGCTGTCCCTGTGTTCTTCAGCTCAAGACCAGCGCTCTACCGCTTGAGCCACAGCGCCACTTCCGGTTTTCCAGTGGTTTATTGGAGATACGAGTCTCACGGACTTTCCTGCCCGGGCTGGCTTTGAACCGCAATCCTCAGATCTCAGTCTCCTGAGTAGCTAGGATTACTACAGGTGTGAGCCACTGGTGCCTGGCTACAATTTTAGTATATTCTATGTACTCTCTGGAACTAATCATTGTTATGTCAAATTCTAGGTAAGATGTTCAGTATCTGGTTTATCAAATTAATCTTCAATTCCCCTGACTTAGATACATGAGGGAGAGTAAGAGAAAGAGAAGAGTGTGTGGTATAGGAAAAGCTATTTAAAACTGTCTAGTGCCTAAAAGTACAGCAGTAAAAGAGCAGTAATTCACCAGAACCTGAGTAATGCACAATGCTCATGAGCTAAAATTTGATAGACCTTATTGATAGTTTTTCCCTTTTCTTCCCTTAGAACTTTTCTTAACAGAAGAAGATCAAAAGAAACTTCATGATTTTGAAGAACAATGTGTTGAAATGTACTTTAATGAAAAAGATGACAAATTCCATTCTGGAAGTGAAGAGAGAATACGTGTCACTTTTGAAAGGTCTTGAAGTTCTTTATTATTAATTACATGTCAGAATAGATTTCATTAATGTCTCTTACACATGGTTATTGGTTTATCTTGTCAAACAATTTTAAATATCTATTTAAATTTATTATCTTTTGAGAAGACAATTCCATTTTTTTATTAACTAAATATAAATCAGTCAATATCATGGTGCTTTTTCTCTTTTTTTTCTTCTTTTAAAAATACAATTTTAGGGACTGGGAAGGTGGCTCAGTGGTAAAGCGCTTGCCTTGCATGCATGAGGCCCTGGGTTTGATTCCTCAGCACCACATAAGCAGGAAAAAAAGCCGCAAGTGACGCTGTGGCTCAAGTGGTAGAGCACACTAGCTTTGAGCTGAAGAGCTGAGGGACAGCGCCCAGGCCCAGAGTTCAGGCCCCATGACCAGACCAAAAAAAAAAAAATACAATTTTATTAAAGTGTTGTACAAAGGGGTTACCATTTCATAAAGTCAAATAATGAGTGTATTTCTTTTTGGACAATATTGTTCCTGCCTTTGCTTTTCCCTAGTTTGACTCTCCTATCCCAGCCCATAAGTTACATAGTAGTTTTGTTATTGTTGATGATGTTAGGCCAGTCCTGAGGCTTGAATTCAGGGCCTGGGCACTGTCTCTGAGCTTTTTTTGCTCAAGGCTAGCACTTTACCATTTACACCATAGTGCCACTTCCAGCATTTTCTGTGTATGTGGTACTGAGGACTTGAACCCAGGGCTTCATGCATGTTAGACAAGCACTCTATCACTAAGCCACATTCCCAGCCCCATAGTTCTTTTTTTAAAGGTGTTTCATACATACTTTACAAGAACTCTACCATTGAGCTAAATCCCCAGCCTTATGGTAACTTTTTGACTGTAAGTTATAAAAGATAGAGAAGAGTTAATGTTTTTTGAATATTGAGAGAGAAAAATGGAACTATCCTATGTATTTAACAACCTTTCTTTTTGTTGGTTTCCTTACATTCTGAAGCATGTGATGTTTGTAAAGTTGTAGTAGTGGTAGTTCAATGTATGCCTATTTTGATGAGAGGAATTGGAATTGCAACCCTCTAGAATAAAAAAAGAAAAAATTTGAAGCCAGGCACCAGTGGCTCATACCTGTAATCCTAGCTACTCAGGAGGCTGAGATCTGAGAATCATGATTTTAAGCTAGCCCAGGCAGGAATGTCCATGAGACTTTTTTTTGGGGGGGGGGGGGGGGTTGGTCATGGGGCTTGTACTCTGGGCCTTGGGCGCTGTCCCTCAGCTCTTCAACTCAAGATGAGCACTCTACCACTTGAGCAACAGCGCCATTCCGGTTTTCTGGTAGCTTACTGGAAATGAGTCTCACGGACTTTCCTGCCCAGGCTGGCTTTGAACCACAACCTTCAGATCTCAGCCTCTTGAGTAGCTAGGATTACAGGTGGGAGCCACCAATGCCCGGCATTCCGTAGTCCAATAAAGTACTAAAACAAACAGACAAACAGAAAATTGGAAGTGGTGCGCTGGCTCAAGTGATAGAGTGCTTGCCTTGAGCAAAAGAAGCTCAGTGACAGTGCCCAGGTCCAGAATTCAAGCCCCAGAACTAATTTTTTTTCTAATTTTTTTATTAATGTTTTCTGACACCTTTTTTTAAAAAATTGGGTTAGCATTATATCCTCTTAAACATGGGTATACCTTATAAATAAGTAATAGCACTTTGTGTTTGTGTGTGCATGTGCTTGGTACTTGTCACTTGGCTTTTCTGCTTTTGACTGCTGTTCTACCACTTGAGTCATTACGTACTGTTCTTCCATATGCCTTTTTTTTTCTTCCGGTCATGGGGCTTGAACTGTGGGCTTGAGCGCTGTCCCTGCACTCTTCAGCTCAAGGTGAGCTCTCTACCACTTGAGCCACAGTGCCTCTTCTGGTTTTCTTTTTTTTCTTTTCTTTTTTTTTATAGTAATGAACAGGTTTTATTTTCCTAGAACTGAAATCATCTACTGGTTTTCAGAGCTAAACTTCCAGAGCTACAGTCAGCAATTTTTCATCAGAGCCCAAGAAAGAGGCATTGGTAAGAGACGAGAGATGAAAGAGGCATAGAAAAACCACTAAGAAGAGACCTCTTCCGGTTTTCTAGTGGTTTATTGGAGATAAGAGTCTCATGGCCTTTCCTGCCCAGCCTGGCTTTGAACCGTGATCCTCAGATCTCAGCCTCCTGAGTAGCTAAGATTACAGGCGTGCGCCACCGGCGCCTGGCTTCATATGACTTATTTTTTATAACTTGTTTGGACGTTTGTAAAATTTCTCTCTATCATCATTTGTTGGGCCTGTCAAAAGAATTTCTGTATTTTTTTTTTTTCTTGGACAAGGGGCTTGAACTTGGCCTGGGCGCTGTCCCTCAGCTCTTCAGCTCAAGGCTAGCACTCCACCACTTGAGCTACAGCACCACTTCGGTTTTCTGAGTGGTTTATTGAAGATGAGAGTATCACAGACTTTCCTGCCGGGGCTGGCTTTGAACTGCAATCCTCAGATCTCAGCCTCCTGAGTAGCTAAGATTACAGGAGTGAGCCAACTATGGCCGGCTCTATATTCTTTTTTTTTTTTTTTTTTTCCTCATGGGGCAAATTGTTTGTGAATTCTATGAGCTTTGACAATACAGTTATTTCTTCCACGAATGATACATACATTTCTTTTCTTTTGCTTAGCGTCAACTGTTCCCTCTTTCCCTCTCTTTCCCTCCCATCCATTGTTGCCATTGAGTTGCTTAGTTTCTATATCCATTTTTGACATTGTAAAAAGCCTGTTTTCTCTCCTGCAGAGTGGAGCAGATGTGCATTCAGATTAAAGAAGTTGGAGACCGTGTCAGCTACATAAAAAGATCACTACAGTCCTTAGATTCTCAAATTGGACATCTGCAAGACCTTTCAGCGCTGACAGTAGATACACTAAAAACACTCACTGCCCAGAAAGCTTCTGAAGCGAGCAAAGTTCACAATGAGATCACAAGAGAATTGAGTATTTCCAAACATTTGGCTCAAAATCTTATAGATGATGGTCCCACAAGACCTGTGTGGAAAAAACACAGTGCTGTAAATACACTGAGCTCCTCCCTTCCTCAAGGTGATCTTGAAAGTAATAATCCTTTTCTTTCTAATATGTTCATGAAAGATGAAAAAGATCCTCACTATACCATATTTGGTCAAGAGTTGCCTGTAATCCCCCAGAGAAAAGAATTTGGTTTTCCAGAGGCTGGTTCCTCTTGTGGTGCCTTATTCCCAAGTGCGATTTCTCCTCCAGAACTGCGACAGAGACGACATGGGATAGAAATCTTAAAATTATTTAATAAAACTCAAAAATTAGGCAGTTCACCTAATAGCACACCACATCTGTCATCCCCACCAACCAAATTTTCTGTTAGCACCCCCTCCCAACCAAGTTGCAAAAGCCACTTGGAAACCATAACCAAAGATCAAGAAACTGTCTTCTCCAAAGTTGCAGAAGGAGATAATATAGAATTCGGAGCATTTGTAGGTAAGTTTGGCAAACTCATTTGTATGTCATTACTTTTCATGTGAAAAATCTATTACCTTAGAAAAATGATGAGCAGGCTGGGAAGGTGGCTCTGGTAGAGCACTTGCCTTGCATGCATGAGGCCCTGGGTTTGATTCCACAGCACTCCATAAGCAGAAAAAGCTGGAAATGGTGCTGTGGCTCAAGTGGTAGAGCGCTAGCCTTGAGCTGAAGAGCTGAGGGACAAGCGCCCCAGGCCCTATGACCAACAAAAAAAAAAGAGAGAAAAGAAAAAAGAAGACTAGCAAATTATTAAAGACATGTACTATGTGAAAAATGAATAGTCTTTTCATATAGTTTTAAATACTTTAAAAGAATCAGAAGTAGGACAAATAAAATTTGGCTTTAATACTTGGCATATATATCCCTGGTGGTTTACTGTAGTTACATAGGCTCTGTCTTTTGAATTTGGATATATATTTAGTTGTATCAGTCAGTTGTCGAAAGGACCTCAGTGATTTGTATGTGTTAGGTACTTGGGAAACTACAGGAAGATAAGGGGTGGTGAGAAACAACTGGTAGAGAACAGTGTAATAGGGTAGCCATAATTTTTTTATCCAAGCCAAATAGAATACTAATACATTAGATCAATAGAGAAATGCACTCAGATGCATATAGGTGGTACTAGGTTCTGGGCTCAAGGCCTTGTGCACTACTTAAGCCATGTCCTCAGTCCTTTTTACAGAAAAGGAGGTGTGTGTTAATCAGCCCATGTGAAATATTTACCTTAGGTATTGCACTAGGCTATATAAAAATACAAACTTTTTTCTATATGCAGTCTCTTTTAAAAACATACATTTGCACGTGCTTTCTAATGTGTTACATGTGTGTATGTGTACGTAGGTTTCATACTTTTTATTATAGTAAAAATAATTATCACTCTTTTTAAAAAAAGTTTTAAGCTATTCACTCATATCACATTGGATTCCTTTAAAAGGCCTTTTAGCTTTTGTTAAAAGATCAAGTACTAATCTTCACCAGCTTCTTGGGAGATATTTTTAATATTCTCTAAAAAGCTAAATGAGTGCAAAGCCATTAGAGGAGAATTACTTGGAAAAATGCAAAGTCATCAAAAACTGCTTGAAAACATTATTCTTACAGACTTCAGGCATAGTCATTATTTTGATATATAAGAAAAACTTACCATTGCAATTTTTTATGTTCTTCTGTTAAAGGGCACAGAGATAGTATGGATTTACAGAGGTTTAAAGAAACATCAAACAAAATAAAAGAACTGTTATCTGTAAGTAAATTTACACAACTACATGTAACTTCTCTTTTGTGATATTTGGTTCAAAGTGCAATTAGATTTCCTCTCAGTAAAAGTACTATTTTAGCAGAGATTATCTCAATATGATTGCCCCAAATATTAGAAGCTATGCTTACTTTGAAGAAAAAAAAAAGACAAAGCCAGGTATTGGTGGCTCATGCCTATTATCCTGGCTATTCGGGAAGCTGAAATCTGGAAAGATTACTGTGTGAGGCCAGCCCCAGGCACAAAAGTCCATAAGACTCCATCTCCAAAGTCACTGAGGGAATGGTTCCAGTGGTAGAGCACCAGTCAAGCAACCCAAGCAAGTGTGAGGCCTAAGTTATAAAGTATATAGAACAATGGGTACAAAAATAAGGTGTATTTTCTGCAAGAAGAAATATTTCTGTGGCTTTCATAAATTAATTGTAGCTATTTAGCACCTCAAAGGTAATAATGTAGCTGTACCAAGACAGTTCAGGGAACCTAGAAATGCCTCAGACTCCTTTGTACCTTAAACAACTTATAGAAATGATCAACTTTCAAATACAGTACAAAAAGATTTCCTAAAGATAAAGGTAGATATTATTAGCTTGGAACTTAATTAGCAAGTATTTTTAAATTAAGAAGTAATGATTATATCAAGTTCTTTCTTTATTTGCCTTAAAGTTGGAAAATAATTGCATGATTTTCTTGCCTCAAACAGGAACAGCAGGATGATACGAGAAACACGATTATGGAATATTCAAATATGCCTAAATATCAGGTAAAGTCTCATCAATGAATGTAGAAATCAGAAACTCTGCTTAACATTACATAAGACTTCAGATGAGGGAAATATCTATAAATTCAGAGAACCTATCATGAAATCATAGCTTGCACATTTTTATTTATTTATTTTTGCCAATCCTGGGGCTTGAACTCAGGGCCTGGACAGTGTCCCTGAGCTGCATTTGCTCAATGCCAGCACTCTTACTTGAGCCACAGCGCCACTTCCAGCCTTTTCTGTTTAAAGGAATAGAACCCAGGGCTTCGTGCATGCTAGGCAGGCACTCTCCCACTAAGCCATATTCCCAGCTCTCGCAGTATTTTTGAACCATGTTAATCCTGAGGCATAGATTGAGGGACTCAGAACAGTGGTGTGAGATTTAGTTGGATTATTTTTAATACCATGTTATGCTATATTTACAGAGTGATACTCCTGAAACCACATCGAAGCATGTGAGTTCTCATACTGGGTTTCCTGAATGCCATAAGACCTCCATTTCTCCTCGCTCAGAGCAAGGTGAGTAGGCTGACTTTGAAGCCTCTGAGCTCCAGATATGTATTTGTCAACACCTATGTCAAAAGATTCTGGTCCATAGTTGTTACTGGAGCCATGGGATAATAAGCCATATGTATATCTTAACATTCTAATAACTTTAATCTGTAAATGTAAGATACAAAGCTTTACTTTTTTCCTCATACAGATGTAATCTGTATCATCTATTTCACATTTTTCTTCACTATTAAAAAAAATCTGATATAGGCTGGGAAGGTAGCTCAGTGGTAGAGCGCTTGCCTTATATGCAGGAGGCCCTGGGTTCGATTCCCCAGCACCACATAAGCAGAAAAAGCCGAAAGTGGTGCTGTGTCTCAAGTGGTAGAGCACTAACCTTGAGCTGAAGAGATCAAACATAACGTCCAGGCCCAGAGTTCAGGCCCCACGACCAGAAAAAAAAAATCTGATATGTTTATTGGTTTGAAATTAAAATATATTACTTTATAAATTCTTTCTCTTACCCCACATACACTTTTTTAATTGTTTGCTGCTTTGTATTTTTTCATTGTTTTCTGCTTCATATTCTTAATTATTATTAGTATTGTTATGTAGTTGTACAAAGAGGTTAAAGTTCCGTAAGTCACGTTACAAGTATAATGCTCTTTTTTTGGCGGGGGAGTCCGATAGTGGGCCTGAACTCTGGGCCTGGGCGTTGTCCCTCAGCTCTTCAGCTCAAGGCTAGTGCTCTACCACTTGAGCCACAGCGCCACTTCCGGCTTTTTTCTTTTTGCTTATGTGGTACTGAGGAATGGAACCCAGGGCCTCAGGCATGCAAGGCAAGCGTTCTACCACTGAGCCACCTTCCCAGCCCCAAGTATAATGCTTTTTGATCCATGTCACTGCATTCATCATTCTCCCCATTTTTCCTTTTCCCATCCCTTTCATCAAGTTACATAGTTGAGTTTTTACATAATATACATTGAATATAATCACTGCATTTGCTCACCCTCCCTCCCTCCATGTGTGTGTCTTCCTCTTTGACCTCCCCCACAAAATATATTTCTACTTCCTGGTACTTGTTTTGATAAACAATACATTAGTTCAGAGGCATTGCACCTTGGACTCATCCCATAAGTATACCTTTTTTTTTTTTTTTGTCAGTTGTGGAGCTTGAACTCTGAGCCTGGGCGCTGTCCCTGCGCTCTTCAGCTCAAGGCGAGTGCTCTACTGCTTGAGCCACAGCACCACTTCCAGTTTTCTAGTGGTTTATTGGAGATGAAAGTCTCATGGACTTTCCTGCCCGGGCTGGCTTTGAACTGCAATCCTGAGATTTCAGCCTCCTGAGTAGCTAGGATTACAGGCGTGAGCCACCAGCACCAGGCTTAAGTATACCATTCTTTAGTTGGTTTATGTATATATTCATATTCCATTTTTATATGTATTTTGCACAACTAATATTTCACTTAATATATGTGGTGGTATGTCTATATATCTATTTTTTTCCTTCCTTCCCTCCTTCTTTCCTTCCTTCCTTCCTTCCTTCCTTCCTTCTGTCCTTCCTTGGTTTGATTATATCACCCAGGCTGGTCTCAAAGTCCTCTACTCAAGCAGTCCTCTTGTCTCTGCTTCTCCAAAGATACACATTATTCCTACCTGGCATTGCTTTCTTGAGGGTAGAGGTCAAAATTTGTGAAAGGTTGAATAATTAAGGAAATAGTATTACCTGTTTACTATCACATTTATTTTTTAGATTTTTTTTTTTGGGGGGGGGGTGGGTAATGCTGAATTCAACAGTATATATCCTGATTAAGTTGGGCTTATTCCTGATACAAGTTGGCTTAGCATTAAAAATAGAATTATTCTGATGCATGATATTAACAGATTCAAGCTTAAAAAACATAAGGTTATTTCAGTAGCTATACAGCACACAAAAGGCATCTGGTAAAATTCAGCATCTAAATTGACCTATGCTCTCAGTCTTTTCACTTTTATTATTTTGGGAGATCTCTGCCTTTTTGGACTATGATCCTCCTACCTACATCTTCCATTTAGCTAGGATTAGAGACATGTGCCCCATGCCTGGCTCAAAGTTATCATCCATATTTACTGCAACATTTGTTACTATAGCAAGATATTGAAAACAAACCAGAACCCACCAGAAAGAATTTGTCTAAGTATATCATTGTATATCTATGATATGAAATTAAAAGTAATGTCAACAATTAATAGGGGAAGTTGTTTGTATACTCCTAATCTCTAAACAGAAGTTTTTAAAAGCCAAACAGGAGTTTGGAGCCATCCTGATCATAATAGCAAGAACTTGTCTCTTTAGAACAAACAAAAAAACCCAGGCACAAAAAACTGAAGCTGCATAGCGTATATTATGCTACTTATATGGAAAAGAAGAAGGGTATTTGAGGGAAAACATGCACACCATACATAGATTAAACAATTTGGATTTTGGAAAAAGAGAAAAAGGTTTTTTTTATTTTGTACACTTGTCCCTTAATGCCTTTTTACAATAATGTGAGTAATTTATTCAAAATAGATTGAAGGCCTGGGAAGGTGGCTCAGTGGTAGAGTGCTTGCCAGCTGTGGCTCTAGTTGTAGAGCACTAGCCTTGAGCTGAAGAGCTGAGGGACAGCACCCAGGCCCAGAGTTCAGGCCTCATGACTGACAAAAACAAAACAAAAAAATAGATTGAAAAATCATTGTGTTTAGCAGTGTTGGAAGAGAGCAAATTATTTTACGAAGGTTGTATTATATCTTAAAAACACTTTGTGCTTGGTGACTCAAGTACTAAATAAACTTCAGTTGTCTGACTTTATATCTTTTTAAAATTTCCTTTTAGCAGAAAGCAGTAGAACTGTATCTACAGAAGACACTCCTGTAGTAGATTCCAAAGCAGCTTTGCTACCGGTATGTACATTTCGATTTAAAAAGTGCATATTTATAACGAAGACTTAAAAGATGATATTAGTATATGTAAAATTGTATCTAGCTTTCAAAGAAAATTATCTTACACCACTGATTTCATGAACACAGGTATAGAATACTGATTTCATGAATACGGGTATAAAATACTTGTTTATGCAGTGAAGTCAGATTTTTAGGAAAGAAAGGCAGAATCTGTTTTCGTTTGAGGAAAAACTAATTATATGAACTCATTCCTAGACAGCTAATTGTTCATTTTACAAACTCCCTTTCACAAAGCAGACTAGGAACCGAGACAGATATCTCAGGAGAAAAAGCAAGAAAATTGCTCTTTTATAGTCAGATATGTACAAATCAGTGCTCATACTGGGATAAATAAAATTGTAACTTGATAGAGTTTTTTGTTAAAAATCATGATTTTAAATCGGGCATTGATGGCTGTTGTATACCTATAATTGCAGCACTTTAAGATCAGTTCTCAGGAGGCTTGGGCAGGAGGATCTCTGCTCAAGGCTAGCCTAAATCACATAGATCATCTCAAAAAGTAACAAACAGGCTGGGAATGTGACTTAGCAGTAGAGTGTTTTCCTAGCATGCATGAAGCCCTGGGTTTGATTCCTCAGTACCACATAAACAAAAAAGGCTGTAAGTGGCACTCAAGTGGTAGAATGCTAGCCTTGAGCAAAAAAAGAAGCTCAGGGACAGTGCCCAGGACCTGAGTGTAAGCACCAGGACTGGCAAAAATAAAATAACAGCCAGGTGCCAATGGCTCAGAGACTAAGATCTGAGGATCCTGTTCAAAAGCCAGCCTGGGCAGAGAAGTCCATGAGACTCGTTATTTCCAATTTACCACCAAAAAGCCAAAAGTGAAGCAGTGGCTCAATTGGTAGAGTACTAACCTTGAACAAAAAGAGCTTAGGGACAGCGCCCATGCCTTGAGATCAAGCCCCATGACCACCCCTCACTCCACCCCCAATAAAAAAGAATATATAAAACATTAGGTAAGGAAAAGATAACTTTAAAAAGAATGGCAGGCCAGGTACTGGTGGCTCATGCCTATAATCCTAGCTATTCAGGAGGCTGAAATCTGAGGATAGGTGTTTGAAACTAACTCAGATAAGAAAGCTTATGAGGCTCTTGTCTCCAATTAAACACCAGAAAAGCCAGAAGTGGAGCTGTGGCTCAAGTGGTTGAGAGCATAATAATTAAAGGACAACACTCAAGTCCTGAGTTCAGTCCCCAGAATCAGTGTATACACACCACACACACACACACACACACATACACACACACACACACACACAGAGCAGACTGGCAGATACAAGAAAGTACAGAAACAAGACAAGGCATATCTGAATAGAGAATTATTCAAAATGGACTAGAGTACAACACTGATACAAGTAGTCGTTAGAAAGAAAAAAGACAGGGCTGGGAAGGTGGCTCAGTGGTAGAGAGCTTGCCTTGCATGCATGAGGCCCTGGGTTCAATTCCTCAGCACCACATAAGCAGAACAAAACAGAAGTGGGGCTGAGGCTCAAGTGGTAGAACACTAGCCTTCAGCTGAAGAGCTGAGGGACAGCGCCCAGGCCCAGAGTTCAGGCCCCACGACCGACCAAAAAAAAAAAAAAAAAGATTATTGCTTCATCTAGAGTTTATGTCTTTACATTTTTGTTTTGTGTTTGGTTTTGACTAAAGGATTGGTTACAAGAAAGACCATCAAACAGAGAAATGTAAGTAAGTCTTTTCTCATCATTAACCTAAAAGATATATTAGACCTAAGTTTAATTTACACTGAGTTTAACACACACACACTGAAACTCTGGGAACAGAATGATTCCCTGGCCAGGCATGGTAGTACACATTGGTAATCAAGAAGTAGAAGCCAGGAGGAACATGAGTTTGAAGCCAGGTCAGGTATTTCCAGTAAAAAAATAATTTAAAAGCCTCCATTGTTTCCCATACCTATTATAAATAAATATATGAACGTTTGGAGGAAATTTTCAACCTTAGAAATTGAGTGCTGCAAAACATGTAACTCTTCTTTCTTTTCCCATCAGTTCTAGTATGTTTAGAATGCTGGAACATTATTTCAAGCATTGTGCAAGTATTGGAATAAATAACCATAAATAAGAAATCATAAAATAATTCATCCTGTTTTCAACTTCAGTTTGGCACCTAATAATAATACTTATGCAAGCTGAAACTGGAGATAAAAGTTGTGGGCCAATAGATATATGTGACTATGTATATACCTTACATATGGATTAGAAGTGGCTAAAGATAATGGTAAAGAAATTCTTTAAGGGGTCTGAATAACCTTGCAATTTTTTTTTTAAAAGTGATAGGACAGAATTGTGGTACAGCTTATATTGTATATACTTTTTGTTTTCTTAGGCCATCCGAAGAAGGAACATTAAATGGTAAGTCCATATGGTAGGTTTTAATGCAAAAAAAACAGTCACAAATGACCCACATTCCTAGGCAAGGCATTTTAAGCTTCAAGTCTGAAAAGTTGGAAAATTGTTCTATCATATAGTTCTTCCTCCTCCCCACCTCCCCGGTTGTGGGACTTGAACGCTGGGTCAGGGCCTTGTCCCTGAGCCCGTCAGCTCACTCTGCCACCTTGAGCCACAGCAACACTTGCAGTTTTCTGATGGTTAATTGGAGATTAGAGTTTCACAGACATTTCTGCCTGGGCTGGCTTTGAACCTTGATCCTCAGGTCTCAGCCTCCTGAGTAGCTAGGGTTACAGGAGTAAGCCACTGGAGCCCAGCTACTCCTTTAATAATAGATGCTTCACAAACACTGAACCAATCTGTGAATGATTGTGTCTCTATGTCACCACCTATTTATCAGCACCTAGAGGCAGACTTTTGTAAATTACCACAGCTTCTTTTTTTGGGGGGAGGGAGGGCAGTCATGGAGTTTGAAATCTGGACCTAGGCGCTGTCCCTCAGCTCCTCAGCTCAAGGCTAGCGCTCTACCACTTGAGCCACAGCGCCACTTCCAGTTTTCTGGTGGTTAATTGGAAATAAGAGTGTCATGGACACTCTGGTTTTGAATCACAATCCTCAGATCTCAGCCTCTTGAATAGAAGGATAACAGGCATGAGCCACCAGCACTCAGCTTACCCCCAGCTTCTTGCAACCCTGCCCCTAACACATGAATTCCTTTGCTGTATGCGGGGGCTTACAGGGGTGGTTGGGGGTCGTAAGTGGAATCATGCAGTATGTACTATTTGTATTCTGCTTCTTTCTCTTGAGTGTTTTTGTTGTTATTGTTGTGCTGATCCTGGGGTTTGAACTCGGGGCCTGGGCACTGTCCCTGAGCTTTTTTGTTTAGGCTAGTGCTTGAGCCACAGCTCCACTTCTGACTTTTTGTGAGTTTGTTGGAGGTGAGTTTCATGGACTTACCTGCCCAGGCTGGCTTTGAACTGTAATCCTCTGATCTCAGCCTCCTGAGTAGCTAGGATTACAGGCATGAGCCAATGGCTCTGGCTCTTACTGTGTTTTTATAAGATTTATCAACATTGTGTAGTGGTAGGTTGTGCATTCTTAGTATGGCATGTTATTTCCTTGTTGGAGTGTATTAAACTTACCATATCTACACTTCAGTAAACATTTTGGTAGTTCCCAGTGTCTGCTGTTAGGATTTCTGTTGCTGTTTGAGAATGGAATTGCTGGGTACATGTGTTCACACTTAATAGTTACTGTCAAATAGTTTTCAAGGTGGTTATACCAGTTTGAGCTTTCCCTGTAATTTTATTTTTGGTCTGTGTTCAACCATCAAAAAGGATTCTTATAAAAGAGTTGATCTTGTTACTCATCTGATTTACATTTTTTCCATTGCCATTCATTAAGGTCCAGAGTCCTTTCTCTGCAGGGAGTATTAAGCTCTTAAAATCTTTCCTACCCCTTACCCTTTCCTTTTTTTTTTTTGGTCGGTCATGGGGCTTGAACTCTGGGCTTGGGCGCTGTCCCTCAGCTCTTCAGCTCAAGGCGAGTGGTCTACCACTTGAGCCACAGCGCCACTTCCGGTTTTCTAGTGGTTTATTGGAGATAAGAGTCTCATGGACTTTCCTGCCCACAATCCTCAGATCTCAGCCTCCTGAGTAACTAGTATTACAGGCGTGAGCCACCAGTGCCTGGCCCCCTCACCTTTTTCATGGGTGCTTATATTCTCTCTCTCATTAGCATGCAACCTGGGTTGTGAACTTAAATCAGTTGTAGGGAATTTTTAGTATGATGACGTGTGCCTACAGAACTAGATTTTTTCTTTTTTTTTTTTTTTTTTTTTTTTTTGGTCAGTCCTGGGGCCTGAACTCCCTCAGCTCTTCAGCTCAAGGCTAGCGCACTACCACTTGAGCCACAGCGCCACTTCCATCCTTTTCTGCTTATGTGGTGCTGAGGAAGCAAACCTAGGGCTTCATGCATGCAAGGCAAGCACTCTACCACTGAGCCACCTTCCCAGCCCCCAGAACTAGAATATTTTGAACTGATATCCCAGTTGGTGTGTGATCTTAAACTTCCTTTCCTACACCTCCGTATGTTGTGAATGAACATGTGTGTGTGTAGGTATGTGTATACACTTGTACAGTGCTAAACATTTCAGAATATTATCTTCTCATGGTAGACCTGCTAAAATGGTTACATGACCAGTCTCTAAATCCAAAAGTCATTACATTTTCTGAGTGAATGCTGTGGAGGAACGTGTGCTCTTCCCTACCAGGTCACCAGGTCTAGTGGGTAGTCGCCCCTAGTATAGCCTAATGGGGTATATTAATACGGCACAGTGCAGACATCATGTTGAACTGGTTAATGAAATAAATTTTAAATGACAATTTAATGATGAAAAACTTAATGCTCTCCTAGCCCTTGTTAAACAACCTCATTTATTTGCCTTTTTAGGTCTTGCTTCTCCATTTAAGCCAGTTTTGGATACAAATTACTATTATTCAGGTCAGTAATTTTATTTTTTTTATTTTAATTTTTATTTTTTGTGCACATACTGTACAGAGGGGTTACAATTACATGGGTAAGATAATGCGTACATTTCTTTTTTTTTTTATTTAATTTAATTTTATTTGTGAACATACTGTACAGAGGGGTTACAATTACATGGGCAGGATAATGCGTACATTTCTTACCAAGCATTGCAGCCTCCTCCTTTGTTTACCCTTCACATCCCTTCCCAGCCTCCCCCCCCCCCCCCCCAGGTCAGTAATTTTAAAAACAAAATGTAGCAATGTTTTGAATCTTTGAGAGATTTCATTATTTCCCTTTGATTTTTATACAGCGGTGGAAAGAAATAACTTGATGAGGTTATCACAGAGCATTCCATTCACCCCTGTGCCTCCAAGAGGTAAATCCAAAAAATAACCCTCAAGTGGGAGAGGAACCCTTCACTCATTTTTAATTGTAACATGGAGTATGGGTGGGAAAGAAAGGAAAGGGAAGGGATCACACTAAGAAATACCAGCTTCAAACAGCATCTGCGGGGCAGACATCTTTACCCTCTGTCCATGTTTTACATTTAGAGTTTTAGTTGCTGTCTGAAAGTTTATCTTAACTACCTTTTTTTTTTTTTTTTTTTGGCTGGTCCTGGGGCTTGAACTCGGCCTAAGCAATGTCCCTGAGTCTCTTTGTGCTCAAGGCTAGCACTTTACCAGTTGAACCACAGTGCCCCTTCCAGTTTTTGGTGGTTAATTGGAGGCAAGAGTCTTACTTACGTTCCCAGGCAAAGCTCAGTCCTCAGATGTCAGCCTCCTAAGTAGCTAGGGCTAGAGATGTGAGCCACCAGTGCCCAGCTAAAAGTACTTAACTTTTATTTTTTATTTTTTTTGTCGGTCATGTGGCTTGAACTCTGGGCCTAGGCACTGTCCTTCAGCTCAAGACTAGCTATCTACCTCTTGAGCCGTAGCACCACTTTTGGCTTTTTCTGTTTATGTGGTGCTGAGGAATCAAACCCAGGGCCTCATGCATGAGAGGCTAGCACTGAGCCACATTCCCAGCCCAGTCTTTAACTTTTAAACTACAGTTCAGAGATATTAAGGCAGTACATGTTTTTTTTTCCTATAACTCGTTGCACTAAACTTCTCTTTGCACAACTGCCACTTAATGCATCTTCTCTTTAAACTTAATCACTGATGTCTGTAAATGTCTATTCTGTTTTGTTATTTTTAGAGTTCTGATTTGATCTTAAACTGTATCTGTGTTTCAGGGGAGCCAGTCACAGTGTACCGTCTAGAGGAGAGTTCGCCCAGCATACTGAATAACAGCATGTCTTCTTGGTCACAGCTTGGCCTATGTGCCAAAATAGAGTTTTTAAGTAAAGAGGAGATGGGAGGAGGTTTACGAAGAGCTGTCAAAGTCCAGTGCACCTGGTCAGAGCATGATATCCTCAAATCTGGACATCTTTATATTATCAAATCTTTCCTTCCTGAGGTGATTAACACATGGTCTAGTATCTATAAAGAAGATACAGTTCTGCATCTCTGTCTCAGAGTAAGTGCCAGGGAATGTATAACTGTGGGCCATAAAATGAGCTTCATAGTTTCCCTTGTAAAGTGTTAATCAAAGAAAATCTTAGTTTAAATTCTGATCAGGTGTTTTCCCCACTTGTGTAGGAAATTCAGCAGCAGAGAGCAGCCCAGAAGCTCACGTTTGCATTCAATCAAATGAAGCCCAAGTCCATCCCATATTCCCCAAGGTAAACCTTTATATTTTCTGAGATCATTTGTAGATAGCAGCCTCTTCCAACCTTCAGTATTGATGTTGACTATTTGACTGTTACCATCTTGTACATCAATTAGGCTCTTACAAACAAAACTGCTAGTAATATTTGTAACTGTTTTTCATAAGGTTCCTTGAAGTTTTCCTGCTGTATTGCCATTCAGCAGGACAGTGGTTTGCTGTAGAAGAATGTATGACTGGAGAATTTAGAAAATACAACAATAACAATGGCGATGAGATAATTCCAACTAATATTCTGGAAGAGATTATGCTAGCCTTTAGCCACTGGACTTACGAGTATACCAGAGGAGAGTTATTGGTACTTGATTTGCAAGGTACGTTTATTAAGTTATTGCAAAGGTGATATTATGAAGTAGGGTCTTGCCTATAGTAACATCTCTATTTGGCAATTTGTGCAGAAATTTAATTAAAATATTAGACTGATGTGTTGATCATAATAATAGTTTAGCTATCAGATTTAAATGGTGTTACAATATAAATTATTTGTCTTTTTTATGTATACATGTAAAGGTGTGGGTGAAAATTTGACTGACCCGTCTGTGATAAAAGCGGAAGAAAAGAGGTAATAAGTTTTAACAACTTTTGGGGCTGGGAATGTGGCTTAGTGGTAGAGTTCTTGCCAAGTATACATGAAGGCCTGGATTTGATTGCTAAGTACCACAGAAAAAGCCAGAATTAGCGCTGTTGTGACTCAAATGGTAGAGCACTAGCCTTGAGCAAAAGAATCTCAGAGACAGTGCCAAGGACCTGAGTTCAAGTCCTAGGACCGGCAAAAATAAATAAATAAAAATTAACAACTTTTAAGGCATAGTTTGATGAGTTCAAATTTGCTTCTTTTTCTTTTTTAAACTACCAATTCCACAGATCCTCTGATATGGTTTTTGGCCCAGCCAATCTAGGAGAAGATGCAATCAAAAACTTTAGGGCAAAACATCACTGTAATTCTTGTTGCCGAAAGCTTAAACTTCCAGGTAAGAATTTTCTTCTATTTTTGTTTCTTGAGACAATGTCACTTTGTAGTATATATTGGCTGGAATTCGACTTGAGATCTTCTTATCTCAGCCTCATAAGAGGTTGATCTACAGACATGTGCACCACAGACATGTGCCATCATAGCTAGCCTTAACATTTTCGTATTTTTTAATCAGCATGTATAAATCATTAACCAAGCCAGATACTACAATACCTCCCAAGGCTAGCAATAAATATACCTTGTTACTTAGGTGCATTTTTTTCTTTATTTAGAAAAACACAAAGTTGGGCTGGGAAGGTGGCTCAGTGGTTGAGTGCTTTCCTTGCATGCACGAGGCCCTGGGTTCGATTCCTCAGCAGAAAAAGCTGGAAATGGTGCCGTGGCTCAAGTGGTAGAGTTCTAGCTTTGAGCTGAAGAACTAAGGGACAGAGCCCAGACCCAGACAGAGTTCAGGCCCCTCCACAGACAAGAGAAAAAGAAAAAAGAAAAACACAAAGTTGTGTTCTGCAGGCTGCCAGTAGTTTTGCTAGGTGTCGATGGTAGAATAGTAAAGCAACAAACATGATCTCTGACTCATGGGGTTTAGTCAGATGTCAGATTGAACATCAGCAGAAATATACTACTGATAAATTCTAGAGATTAAAAACAAAACACAGCTGCCGCCGGTGGCTCATGCCTGTAATCCTAGTTACTCTGGAGGCTGAGATCTGAGGATTCCGGTTCAAAGCCAGCCCGCGCAGGTAAGGCCATGAGACTCTTATCGCCAGTAAACCACCAGAAAACCGGTGGGCCTGTGGCTTACCTGGTAGAATGCTTGCCTTGAGCTGAAGAGCTGAGGGTCAGAGCCTAGGCCCAGAGTTCAAGCCCCATGACCAAAAAAACCCCCACAGTGTTGGATAGATATAAAGTAAGTCACTTAGAGGTCTGGGAATAGTCATCTTTGCCTAGATTTAATGATTAAATAGACTATTAAATCAATCTGGTAACGAGTTGGGAAAAGAGTTTTGCATGAATTAGGAAGAGGAAATGGAAATATATTCTCAAGATAGTAATTTTTGGGCTGGAAGCATGGCTTAGAGGTATGTTGCTCCAGCCTAGCAAAGCTGGTGGAGGCCCTAGGTTCCAATCTCTGTGTCTTTTTTTTTTTTTGGCCAGTTGTGGGGCCTGAACTCTGGCCTGGGCGCTGTCCCTCAGCTCTTCAGCTCAAGGCTAGCACTCTACCACTTGAGCCACAATGCCACTTCCAGCTTTTTTTCTGTTTATGTGGTGCTGAGGAATTGAATCCAGGGCTCATGCATGCAGGGCAAGCGCTCTACCACTGAGCACCTTCTCAGGCAACCCCCCGCCCCCCTTTTTTTTTTTTTGTGGTCAGTTGTGGGGCTTGAACTCAGGGTGCTGTCCCTAACTTCTGTGGCTCAGAGCTAGCACTCTACCACTTTGGGCCATTTCACTTTCAGTTTTCTATTGGTCAGTTGGAGGAAAGAGTCTCACAGACTTTCCTGCTCAGGTGGGTTTTCATCCTTTATCTTCAGATCTCAGCCTCCTGAGTAGCTAGGATTACAGGTGTGGGCCACTAGCGCGTGGTTTGCTTGCTTTTTTTTTTTTTTTCTTCCTTCCTTCCCTCTTTCCTTCCTCTCTTTCTTTCTGTCCTTTCTCTTTCCTTTTTCTTTCTCTCCTTCCTTCCTGCCTGCCTGCCTGCCTTCCTTCCTTCCTTCCTTCCTCTCTCTCTCTCTCTCTCTCTCTCTTTCTTGAAGTAATTTTTTTTCTTTTCTTTTTTTGTCAGTGGTGGGGCTTGAACTCTGGACTTGGGCGCTGTCCCTGCGCTCTTCAGTGCTAGGCAAGTGCTCTACCACTTGAGCTACAGCGCCACTTCTTGTTTTCTGGTGGTTTATTGGAGATAAGATTTTCATGGACTTTCCTGCCCGGGCTGGCCTTGAACCGAGATCCTCAGATCTCAGCGTCCTGAGTAGCTAGGATTACAGGCATGAGCCACCAGTGTCCGGCTACAGGTTTATTTTTGAGGATTAAGCAAGTTGGTGTTTATGAAGTACTTTAGACCAATACCAGTGATATAAGTATCATTAATTTTGTGAATGACATTTTTGAAATCTTTCTTATTGCTAATATACAGAAATGCTATTTTTTTTATTTTTTTATTTCTTGGGTCCAGTCGTGGGACCTGAACTCTGGGCCTGGGCGCTATCCCTCAGCTCTTCAGCTCAAGGCTAGCGCTCTACCACTTGAGCCACAGCGCCACTTCCGGCTTTTTTCTTTTTGCTTATGTGGTGCTGAGGAATCGAACCCAGGGCCTCATGCATGCAAGGCAAGCGCTCTACCACTGAGCCGTCTTCCCAGCCCCAATACTATTTATTTTTGTTACATTTAACAACATTACTGTCTTGTTTAACCCACTTTTTTCTAGGAGCTATTATTTAACTGTAAGAACAAATGTTATTTAGTAATTTAAAGAAATTTTCTTCTACTCTTTGTTTTTTGGGAATGCTTGTCTTGAGTGGATATTAGATTTTTTTCAAGTTTTTTTTTTTCCTGCATCTTTTGGCAAAGATAATGTGATTTTTGTTTAACAGTTAACATGGTATATTGCATTAGGTCTGAGATTTTTGTGTGATCTTAGTTTTGACTTGTTTCTACTTGTTTTTCCCATGCTGGAGATCCAACTCAAGGCCTTCTCCTGCTAGGCAAACACTCTGCCACTAAAACACATGCGGGTACACACACACAAACACACACTTTTTTCCTATATTTGATCATTTTTGAATGTTTGGCCAGTCTTACATTGTTAGGACAAACCACGCTGTTTTATGACACATGCAGTTACGATATGTAATTCTTATATATTTTTTAGACTTTTATGTATTACTGAATTTGTTAGGGATTTTACATTTGTTTTCATGAATGTTGATGTGTGGATTTTTTTCTGTCTCTTGTATTAATCTTGTTTTGATGTCAGGATAACACTTGCCTTATCAAATAAGTTGAACTGTGTTCCCACCTCTTCTGTCTGTTAGAATAGGTTGTATAAAATTGATACTTGCGGGGCTGGGAAGTTGGCTCAGTGGTAGAGTGCTTGCCTTGCATCCCTGAGGCCCTGGGTTCGATTGCTCAACACCACATAAGCAAAAAGAAAAAAAGCTGGAAGTGGTGCTGTGGCTCAAGTGGTAGAGCGCTAGCCTTGAGCTGAAGAGCTGAGGGACAGCACCCAGGCCCAGAGTTTAGGCCCCAGGACTGGACCCCCCCCCAAAAAAAATGATACTTGCCCATCACAGGTTATTTATCCAGTGAAGCTATTTTTGCTTTTTTTTGTCATTTGGTTTTTAACCAGGAACTGAATTTTTTTTTTAGTTATTAAACTGTTGTGAATATCAGTTTATTCTTGAGTTTTTTTTGTTTGGTTGGTTTTTTTGTGTTTTGGATTTTTTTGTTTTGTTTCGTTTTTGTCAGTCATGGGGCTTTAACTCAAGGCAAGCGCTCTACCACTTGAGCCACAGCACCACTTCCAGTTTTCTGGTGGTTAATTGGAGATAAAAGGCTCACTGACTTTCCTTGCCCGGGCTGGCTTTGAACCGTGATCCTCAGAGCTCAACATTCTGAGTAGTGAGCTACCAGCACCCAGCTTGAGGGAGTTTTGATAGTTCATCTTTTAGGGATTAGAATGGATTTACCTATACTGTTACCCTGTTATATGTCTGTTTGTGGGGGTAGCTGGAAAGGCTCTTTGAAAAGGATTTAATGTCTGTGTTCTTTGTTTCTTAGTCTGGCTAGAAGCTTGTCATTTTTTTATTGTTACATTCAGTGGGCCAGCTTATATTTTTATTATTTTGCTAAATTGTTGCTCTGGTTTCAATTGTCATTGAGTTGTTTTATTTTGCCTCTCTTTTAGCTCTTCCACTTGATACATGGCTCCAGCTTGGCTTTTTGCTGGTTATTTTGGAGAGGTAGTCTTTTGAACTTTGATATAGGAGCCAGCTTGGAAACCTCTATTTTCTGGATCTCAAGTAGTTGGGATTACAGGCATGAGCCACCAGTAAGTGGCACTACTTTTTTTTTTTTTTTCCCCTGGTTGTGGGGCTTGAACTCAGGGCCTGGGCCACTGTCCCTCAGCTCTTTTGCTCAAGGCTAGTGTCTACCACTTGGAGATACAGCACCACTTTTGATTTTAGAGCAGTTAATTGGAGATAAGCATCTCACAGGGACTTTGCTGCCCAAGATAGCTTTGAATCAGGATCCTTAGATCTCAACCTTCTGAGCAGGTACGATTACAGGTATGAGCCACTGGTGCCCAACTCTGGCACCACTTTGAATTCTATCAGATTTTTTGGTTTTTTGGTTGGTGGGGTTTGTTTGTTTGTTTGTTTTTTGCTTGCTAGTCCTGGAGCTTGAACTCAAGGCCTAGGCACTATCCCTGAACTGCTTTTACTCCAGGCTAGCACTCTACCGCTTGACTACTACTTCTGGTTTTTTGTTTATGTGGTACTGAGGAATCAAACCCAGGGCTTCATGCATGCTAGGCCATTAAGCCACATTCCCAGCCCTCTATCAGGTTTTGTTGGCTTGTTTTTCTTCACCCACTAGATGATACAATCCCTAAGCAGGAAGGACTTTATCTGTCTTGTACATTTTCACATTTAGATAAGTTACAGGTTCATGGTCAATGTGTAATAATCGTCAAGTGACTAATTTCATTTTAATGTATATAAATTTGTAACTTTTAAATATGTAACATTTTTATGGAAAGCAAGTCTAACATGTTTAAAGGAAAACTTACTTTGAAAATGTTCTTAATTGGCCGGGCGCTGGTGGCTCACGCCTGTAATCCTAGCTACTCAGGAGGCTGAGATCTGAGGATCGCGGTTCAAAGCCAGCCCGGGCAGGAGAGACCGTGAGACTCCTATCTCCAATAAACCACCAGAAAACTGGAAGTGGCGCTGTAGCTCAAGTGGTAGAACGCTCGCCTTGAGCTGAAGAGCTGAGGGACAGCGCCCAGGCCCATAGTTCAAGCCCCACGACCGACAAAAAAAAAAAAGAAAAGAGAATGTTCTTAATTTTCCATTTGTCAAAACTGACTTTTCCTTTTCTTTCTTTTCTTTTCTGGATGGGAATGGTTAATGTAGACCTGAAGAGGAATGACTACACACCCGATAAAATTCTACTTCCTCAGGATGAGTCCTCACACTTGAATCTTCAGCCTGGAGATTCCACCAAAGAATCCGAATCAACTAATTCTGTTCGTCTGATGTTATAATGTTGCTCAATCATTGGTTTTGCCTACACCTCACAAAAATGTTCCTGTGTGTCTTTCTCTTCAAGAGGAAAATGTTTGATAACACAGAAAGGTGTATGCAAATTAATTCACTGGCCCTAGCATCATTTAGAGGTCAATATTTGACCAAATTGAAATTGTCAGTTACAAACTCCGTCCGTATAGGATAAGCTGGCAGCTGAGAAAGTTTGAAGGTAATGGGAAATTAGTGTTCATAACTTGTGGAAGGGCTCTTGGTAGCCAGGATCTTCATTTGACTTTGTTCCGATGAGAGGGTGATCCTCTCATAGGGTGCAATACCATTAACCAAAGTTAGGCGTCCATGCACATTTAATCGGCAGCTGGTTTACTACCGTTCAGTTAGAGAAATGAAGTCACTCAGCCATTGGGTTAAATGGCAGTTGGAAGTCTTCCTCAGTTAACAGTGATGTCACAGTTTCTCAACTAGATGCTTGCTGGCCACAGGAGAGGAGATGACTCTTAGAATTCTAGGTTCACAGGGGAAATTACAAAGCCTGAGCTAAAGACCATATTTGTTTTTGTTTTTCATTTCTTCCTGTGGTACTGGGGATCAAACCCAGAGCCTCATAAAGACTTTTTAAAAGAGGGATTATATTTAAGAATCAGGCCTAGACTCCATATTGAAAAATAGACCTGTTTGGGGTTTTTTGTTAGTTTTTTGTTTTGTTTTTGCTTTTTTTTTTTTTTTAACTAGTGCTCAAATTGTGTAAAAGTTATTTGGGTTGCATTTTTTAAAAAAACACATTATCAAGTCACTGTGTAGCAGAAGAAAGCCATGACAAAAGGAACTGAACCCCTGTCAGAGAAGATACCTGTGAGAAAGTTGAAGTACTTTTTTCCTGTCTGTGTCTGCAGTGACAACCCAGAAGTTACCCACTTCTCCAAAGTTGTTACTGACCAATACATCCAATCAGAACCTAAGAACTTTCCATTTGTCCAAACATCTGAACATGAATGTCACTTGTGGTACTTATTCAAGAATCAATTGAGTTGCTTTATTACGTGATGTCGGGAAATTGCAATGCCACTTTATGCCAATAAGATGTAACTTAACTGCCCAGATATTTTGCATATCCAACTACAAGAAAAGCTTATCTACTGGTTTATGCTTTTGATTTTTTTCCTGTTTTTTTTTTCTTTTTATTTCCTAGGTACTAATTTTAATTTTTATTTTGAAGGGAGCAGTGTAAAGCTTATTTGTATTCCGTAGTGTATCTCATAGATACAACAAGGCAAGCAGAGATAAGCTGTTTAAATAGTGTTTCATATTGATGGGGGGGAGAGAAAAGTGTATTACTTAAAGATATTATACTATATACATTTTGTATATCATTAAATCTTTAAAAGAAATTAAATAAATTTATTCTTGTTTACAGATGTTTGGTGAGTTTAATTGTCCTGAAGAATTATGTAGTATCTTCAGAGTGTTATTTTTCAGAGTGCCATTTTTTTAAATAAGCCATTGATACACCTATGCCTTTTCACACTATCTTGTCCAATATGTATTTTTTTTTCTACTTTTTTTTTTTAATCTCTTGGCCAGGAAAGGAATTGTGGATTTTTTTTTTTTTTTTTTTAATTTTTTTTGGGGGGGAATTGGTCGGGTCATGGGGCTTGAACTCTGGGCCTGGGCGCTGTCCCTCAGCTCTTCAGCTCAAGACTAATGCTCTACCACTTGAACCACAGCGCCACTTCTGGTTTTCTGGTGGTTAGCTGGAGATAAGAGTCTCACGGACTTTGTTGCCGGGGCTGGCTTTGAACCACAATGTGATCCTCAGATCTCAGCCTCCTGAGTAGCTAGGATTACAGGCATGAGCCACTGGCGCCTGTCTGGATATTTGATTTTTATGATAGTTTTACAAGCCACTTAAGTATTTTACACATATATGTGGGCTTTATAACAGTCTTACAAACTGGGTGTTACAATCTATTTTACTGACTAGAAAATCAAAGTGCTAGAGAGACTCTGTGGCCACATGAGAACCACAGCCCCTGAAGGCCCTGCAGACCAGCCTCACCTGTGCCCCTAAGTCTTGTGCTGTATGAGCACCTGACAGAACGGGCCTACGCCATTCACATGCTTTTCCTGCTTACAGTGCAGAACGGATCCATTCCCGTGAACTGCCTTGTTAGTATGGAAATGTTTCCTGTAATCCACACTCGCCATCCTTCTTTAGACTGCCCACATTCACTGTTTCTCTGTAGTTGAAAAGTGACATTTGCCTCATCTCTTTTCATTTTCTTCTCAAGCTCATCATTCTGAAGAGAATAAAATTGTCTTCCTAGATTTTTTTTTGGTCAGTCATGGGGTCTGAACTCGGCCTGGGCGCTGTTCCTCAGCTCTTCAGCTCAAGGCTAGCACTCTACCACTTGAGCCACAGCGCCACTTCCTGTTTCCTGGTGGTTAATTGGAGATAGTCTCACAGACTTTTCTGCCTGCACTGGCTTTGAACCGCGATCCTCAGATCTCAACCTCCTGGGTAGCTAGGATTACAGGCGTGAGCCACCAGCACCCAACTTAAATTTTTTATGGTAATTTGTAGTAACAAATAAGAATATAGATCATCTTACTTATAAGCCTAGATATGAAAATCTTGAAAAAAGATAAATCTAGCCAGGCACAAAGTTCCTCTCAATGGCTTTATGTAGTTGTGTGTGTGTGTGTATGTGTGTGTGTAGCCAGTGGAATACACTTGCTCTTTTTGATTCACCAGTAGTATATCTTGGAGAAGAATCTATCGTAAATAGATCTACCACACTGATTGTAAGTTTGAAATAACTTCAAGCTTAGAGAAATTGACAAGAGCAGTACAAGGAGCGGCAGGAAATCCATCACTGATTCACCATTTGGTGACATTGGACAGCATTTACTCCCATCACCTCGCCTTCCTTTCCTCTTTCTTTGTGTATGTTTCCTGAGTCATTAGAAAACAGATTGTGTAAGGCTGGGAAGGTGGCTCAATGGTAGTGCGCTTGCCTTGCATGCGTGAGGCCCTGGATTGGATTCCTCAGGACTGTATAAGCGGAAGAAGCCCGAAGTGGCGCTGTGGCTCAAGTGGTAGAACGCTAGCCTTGAGTTGAAGAGCTGAGGGACAGCGTCCAGGCCCAAAGTTCAAGCCCCACAACTGACCAAAAAACAAAACATTATGTATGTATATATACACATATATAATATATATATATACACACATACATATATATATGTATGTATGTATATATGTATGTGTGTATATACACATACACACACAGGGCCAGGCTTGGTGGCTCATGCCTAGTTACAGTAGGAGTTTGAGAGGATTTGACAAGACTCCATTTCAATCAGTAGGCTGGGCTTGGTGTTACATGTCTGTTAGCCCAGCTATGTAGGAGGCATAAATAAGATGACCAAGGTCCAGACTGACTCAGGCAAATAGACAAGAGCCTATCTTAAAAATAACTAAAATCCGAAAAGGGCTAGGAGGCTGCTTAAGTGGTAAAGCAGCCGCCAAGCTCAAGGCCCTGAGTTCAAACTCAAATATCACCAAAAGAGGCTGTTTATAGCATATATTCTTTTTTTTTTTTTTTTGTCGGTCGTGGGGCTTGAACTCTGGGCCTGGGCGCTGTCCCTCAGCTCTTCAGCTCAAGGCCAGCACTCTACTACTTGAGCTACAGCGCCACTTCCGGTTTTCTGGTGGTTTATTGGAGATAGGAGTCTCACAGTCTTTCCTGCCCGGGCTGGCTTTGAACCGCGATCCTCAGATCTCAGCCTCCTGAGTAGCTAGGATTACAGGCATGAGCCACCAGCGCCCGGCTAGTATAGCATATATTCTTAAAACTAACGTGCATGCACCTAAAAAAAAACCCATTTCCTGAGAAAGCTAGTAGTCATCCGATTCATAAGATCAAATTCAAATCTGATGTAAAACTCATAATCTGTATTAATAGAGTTAAATTCCATTAGTCGTCCCAATGTTATAAATATGCTCTCCAAGAACCACTAGAGTGATAAACAAGAAAAGAATTGTCTCAGCAAGGCTAATGGTGCAAACAGCAAACAAGCTTGCAGAGCAGGCGGGCTGCATCCTGTTTATCCCTAAAGCAACAGGCCCCGCCCCTCTGCTCAATTGGTTGAGCTCAGGTTCATAGTCTGATCATAATTGGCTAGTTTGAAGAGGGTAAGATGTATTTACATACAGTGATCATTAAAAGACTTTTTAAAAATAAGAGTAACAGGACTCAAGAACTCAAAACATACTCACACCCTCCTCTATATTTGGAGCCATCTGTATATGTCTTAATTCCGTCTTAGAACAATAAAGACAAAAACCTTACATTTCAAAAATCCTTATCCCAAAGCAGTTTCTCTTTTCCTATTTACGTGTGGACATTGTCTTAGCAGAACAATCAACAAGAGACCAGCCACCCAGGCAAAAGAGGAACTTTTAAGAAATTTTGATAGAAAAAATGACTTTTCTCCCAGCTGTAATGACCTTTTACAACTTTTTCCCCTCTGGATTCAATCCAGGATTGGTCATTGAATTCGTTTTCTCTAGTTTCTTTCTAATCTGGAATGTTTCCAGTCTTAGTCCTTCCTGATAGGAAGCCAGGCGCCAGTGGCTCACGCCTGTAATTGTAGCTACTCAGGAGGCTGAGATCTGAGGATGGTGGTTCAAAGACATACAGGCCAGCAGAGTCTGTAACAGACTCTTATTTCCAATTAACCACCAAAAAGCCAGAAGTGGGAGCCTCAGGCCAAGCAAGAAAATTCAAACAAGCATCCCTATCTCCTGGCAACACGCTGGAATCTTGGGAAAGACTATGATGCATGAAAAACTCCAAGTTAGAATGGTGTAGGAGCCATCTGAAAATTAGGCTGTCGTTAGAGAACAGGGGGAAGAGCATATATATTGTTTTAAAAGCAAAGAGCCAGCATAACAGCCTTGAAGAAATGAAGTTAAAAGGCATCAATGTACCTCCTGAATGGAAGTGAAAGTCTGTTTCACTAACATGACTTCTAATCGGATTTTCCCAGCAGATGACTTCGGAATTTATTATGTCCTGTGAGCCAATGTCTTATTATAACTTTTATTTTCTATCTATCTACCTCTCAATCTACCTACCTATTTTTACATGCTTGTACCAGGGCTTGAACTCAAGGCCTTTTACTCTCAGCTTTCCAGCTCCCCGCTGGCCCTCTACCACTTGAGCCACACCTCTAGCCAGACCTTTTTTTTTGCTGCTTTAGTGAAGGCAGTCTCGTGGACTTTCCCCTTGGGCTGTCCTTGAACCTTGACCCGCTAGATGGCAGGCTACTCAGTAGCTAGGATTACAGGCCTGAGCCATGGGCTCATAACAACTGGTGAGGACAACTTTCTAGATAAAGTTCAGAGAGAGGAAGAGAAAAGACGATTCCAAAAAATCAGGGGATACTCTCCACACACCCAGAAATTAAGAGAGAGAAATGGAAGATGATGAATATCCAGGCAATAGATCCTCAAAGTACTTCCGAAAAAATGACATCCCAGGGCCTCTGTGACATAGGTAAAAATGCAAGGAGCCAGGCTTGTAAGCCAGGAGCACTTTCCCAGCGGGAGTGGCTGAGTACAGGGACTGAGCCGAGGAAGCTGACTCCGTTTTCAAAGTACTCCATGGAAAGGCAGCTTCAAGGACAAATATGCTGGGCTGCCTGGTAAGACAGGGCAGATGAGAGAGAGCGCGCTCTGTGTGGAAGGCGGCCCGCAGAGTACCCCGGGTCCTCTCTCCACTGTGCAGGTCTGACCCCTCCAACCCCGAGGTCCTTACTGTGTTGCTACCTGCTAAGAAGATCCTAGATGGGGGGGAAGTGGGGGAACAATATCCTAGACACGTCATTACAGAAACAAGTGTTTAGCCAGGTGCTGGTGGCTCATGCCCATCACTTTAAATCCTTGGGAGGCTGACAAGAAGGATTGCAGTTTGAGGCCAGCCCAGGCAGACAAGTCAGTGAGACCGCATCTGAAGGGAAGCAGCCCCGTGTGGCGGCATACTCCTGAGGCTACGTGTAGCCTCTTCCTTCTCAGGGGGACCCTGCGAAGAACCCAGGACCTCACACGTGCTAAGCGTGTGCTCTAGACCAGTGAGGTACACCCCAGCTCCTTGTTTTAGAGACTTTATAGATCAGAGTGGGCTGGGAAGGTGGCTCCGTGGTAGAGCGCTTGCCTCGCATGCATGAGGCCCTGGGTTCCATTCCTCAGCACCACATAAGCAGAAAAAAGCTGCAAGTGGCGCTGTGGTTCAGAAAGTGGTAGAGCGCCAGCCTCGAGCAAAAGAAGCTCAGGGAACAGTGCGCACAGGCCCTGAGTTCAAGCCCCAGGACTTCCCTCCCCCCCCAAAAAAGATAAAAAGCAAACAAGATCTCTATTTCAGGAGCTTGAGGGAGGGTTGTTGTCGTGTGTGTGTGTGTGTGTGTGTGTGTGTGTGTGTGTGTATTGTGCTTTCTCTCTCGGTCTCTGGTACCAGCACAGACCACTTGGACCCGGTAGCGGTGACTGAAGCAAAGGAGACCCCCATCCACCTGCAGGGGGGGACAGGCCTGCGGAACCTGGGCAACACGTGCTACATGAACGCCATCCTGCAATGCCTCTGCAGCATCTCCCCGCTGGTGGAATACTTCCTCTCAGGAAAGTACATCACCGCCCTTCAAAAGTAAGAAGGGGCCCGTCATCCTAGCTACTCAGGAGGCTGAGATCTGAGGATCACGGTTCAAAGCCAGCCTGGGCAGGAGAGACCGTGAGACTCGTATCTCCAATAAACCACTAGAAAACCGAAGTGGCGCTTGCCTTGAGCTGAAGAGCGCAAGGACAGAGCCCAGGGCTCAGAGTTCAAATCCCACGACTGACCAAAAACTAAAAAATGAAGAAGGCAGGCAGGCACCTCCTTGTAGTCTCAGCCCCAGGGTCCCCCAGTGAGAGGGAAGGGAAAGGACAGACACACACACACACACACACACACACACACACACACACACACACACACACACACACACACACACACACACACACACACACACTGAACCCACAGAGGCTGCTGCTGGCTACTCCAGATCACGCATGGGAAGGGTGGACACACACACACACACACACACACACACACACACACACACACACACTGAACCCACAGAGGCTGCTGCTGGCTACTCCAGATCACGCATGGGAAGGGTGCTAAACGAGGAGGCCGGGCCTCCGGGCCCACCCTGGGGAGAGGCGGAGGTGGGACACCGGCGCACTGTCTCTCCCAAGGGACTGCAGTGAGGTGGCCACAGCTTTCGCCTACCTGATGACAGACATGTGGCTCGGAGACTCAGATTGTGTCTCCCCAGAGATATTCCGGTCAGCTCTTGGCAACCTCTACCCCACATTTATGAAGAAGACACAACAAGATGCCCAGGAATTCTTGATCTATGTGCTCAATGAACTTCACGAGGCTCTGAAGAAGGTAAAGACAATTCGTTGCCTTCAGCTCTTCATGCTGATAGATCATTATCTTTTCAGGGGTGTGTGTGTGTGTGTGTGTGCGTGTGTGTGTGTGTGTGTGTGTGTGTACTTGGGGCCTTGAACTCAGGACCCTGAGCACTTAGCCCTTAACTTTTTCACTTGAGCCATGGCTCCATTTCTGGCTTTTTAGTGGTTTATTGGAGATAAGAGTCTCATGGACTTTCCTGCCTTGGCTGGCTTTGAACCGTGATCCTCAGATCTCAGTCTTCCTGAGTGGTTAGGATTACAGGTGTGAGCCATTAGTGCCCAGCCTAGAATCCTCCTTTAAAAAAAAAAATCAAAAATGGATTCTTCAGCAGACCCTGGTGGCTCACGCCTGTAATCCTAGCTAGTCAAGAGGCTGAGATCTGAGGATCGAGGGTCAAAGCCAGCCCAGGCAGGAACGTCCGTGAGACTCTTATCTCCAATAAACCACTAGAAAACTGGAAGTGGTGCTGTGGCTCAAGCGCCTGGAGCTGAAGAGCTGAGGGACAAGCCCCAGGCCCAGAGTTCAAGCCCCACGACCGACATAAAAAAAAAAATTTTGATTAAGCATTTGATGAAACATGAAATGACGCACGATGTATACACTGGAGAAGATCTGGGCCCCTTGTCTAAATCCCCAGCGGAGTGGTTTCTGGTAGGAATGTAAGAGAGTTGGAATAAGCACCGATTGTTGCTCAGTGGGGATTTCTTCTTTGACGCAGTACCATCGAAGATCGAGTGACAAAAAAAACACGCAAAGATGCTGCAGGAAGGCGATCGCCAACGAGACGTCCATCATCACGCGGCTGTTCGAAGGGCAGCTCAATTACGGCATCACCTGTTTGAAGTGTGAGAACTGCACGTACAAGAACGAAGTCTTCACCGTCCTCTCCCTGTCCATCCCATCCCAGTACCAGTGCTCCCTTCAGGTGAGGACGCCCTTACCACTACTGGATGCCCCTTTGGCTTTTTCAAGATGCAGTCTTGCTATGTGGTCCAGGCCAGCCTAGGACCAGAATCAATGGATCTTCCTACCGCAGCCCCCCAACAAGCTGGAACTATAGGCATGTCTCACTGCACTCATCCTATTTTGGGATATTTTTGTCTTGATCTCCCCTCAGACCTAAATTCTTTCAGGCCTGATTCCTATATAGGAGAAGTTTTGTTTTTGTTTTTGTTTCGTTTTATGACAGCCTTGGGGTCTGCGTTCTGTCCCTGAACTTTTTTGGTTCAAGGCTGGTGCTCTGCCACTTTAAGCCACAGCTTGACTCCTGGGCTTTTTGGGGATCCTTGGACATAAGCATCTCAACAGACTTTCCTGCCCTGACTGGCTTTGAAGCGTGATCCTCAGATCTCAGCCTCGTGAGGAACAAGCCTGAGCCACCTGTGCCCAGAGAGAAGTCTTTTGTTATTTAAAAGTAAATAAATGAAGGAAACCCATGATACCAACATTGTTTTGAAAAGAAACACCTTGGTTATAAGTTACAGTGAAAGCTGGGTGCTGCTGGCTCATGCCTGTAATTCTAGCTGCTCAGGATCTGAGGATCACAGTTAAAAGCTGGTCAGGGCAAGAAAGTCTGTGAGACTCGTATTTCAAAAACAACAACAAAAACCCACTAGAAAACCAGAAGTGGTGCTGTAGCTCAAGTAGTAGAGCACTTGCCTTGAGCTGAAGAGCTGAGGGACAGCACCCAGGCCCAGAGTTCAAGCCTCAGAACCTACCAACAAAAAAAAAAAAGTTACTATGAAGCCAGGTACCGGTGGCTCAAGCCTGTAATCCTAGCTACTCAGGAGGCTGAGATCTGAGGATTGAGGTTTGAAACTAGCCCAGGCAGGAAAATCTGTGAGCTCTTATCTCCAATTAACCACCAGAAAACCTGAGGTAGTGCTGTGGCTCACAGTGCTAGAGCTGCAGCCTCCAGCAAAAGAGCTCCGGGGCGGTGCCCAGGACTTTTTCCTCCCGAAGTTCTACTATAATAAACAGCCCAGTTTGTAGTTGGTCCAGTTTGGTCATCAAATGCTCCCCACTCCCCCCACAGGACTGTCTCCAGTGTTTCTTCCAGCAAGACACACTGACCTGGAACAACCAAATTCATTGCTCTTTTTGTGAAACCAAGCAAGAAACAGCGGTGAGGGCCAGTATTTCCAAAGCACCTAAAATAATTATTTTTCATCTAAAAAGGTAAGGGACTTTGGCATCTGCTGGATAAATATTTTGGAACAGTTTGACTGAGAAGCAGTTTGCATGTCAACAATCACCTGTTTAAACTTCTGCGCCTGTGAGTGGAACTCCGTGGTACAACACGCGTGGCGCATGCCAGGAGCCCTGGCTGCGTCCCCCACACTAACTAAATATAAACAAACAATCCCACCACCTACTGTGATTGGGTACATTGTATTACGAATTTATTATTCTTTTTCGCAGTACTGGGGTATTTGTCAGTCAGTTGTGGGCCTTGAACTCAGGGCCTGGGCACAATTCCTGAGCTTTTTTGCTTTGAACCATACCTTCACTTGTGGTTTTTCAGTGATTAATTGGAAATGAGGCTCTTGGGCACTTTGCAGCCGGGGCTGGCTTTGAACCATGATCCTCAGATCTCAGCGTCCTGAGTAGCTAGGATTATAGATGTGAGTCACCAGCAACTGGCTAGTACTGGATTTTGGTTTTGGGGTTTTTTTTGGTCATAGGGCTTGAACTCAGGGCCTGGGCACTCTCCCTGAGCCTTTTCCACTCAAGACTAGCACTCTACCTCTTGAGCCACAGCTCCACTTTTGGGATTTTGAGTGGTTAATTGGAGATGACTCTGGTGGACTTTCTTGCCCAGGCTGGTTTCAAACCTTGATCCCCAGATCTCAGCCTCCTGAGTAGCTAGGATTACAGGCGTGAGCCATGTCAGCTTTTGCTCACCGGCAGGGGGCAGTATGGCAGGTATTCCCCCCGCCCCCCCCCTCCGTCCCGGGGCAGGCAGGGACTGCTTAATTGGTTCTTCCTGAAGAAGCTGACTTCATTAAGATCAGGGGGAGAGCTCCAGAGAGAGGGGCCCTGGAACTAGGTCTCTCTGAGATTTTTTTTTTTTTAACTCAAAGACTTGTCCACACTGTGGCCTCTGGTCAGGTTGAGGGTCTCCCGCCCTGGCCTGGTAAGTGTGTGTGTGTGTGTGTGTGTGTGTGTGTTGGGAGAAACAGCTTGACCTGAGTACTGACGAGTACTGACTGGTACAGATTTTAGAAGAGTTGGTTTTTCAGTTGGTCTGTGGGATTACAGAAAGACAAGCTTCCCTAGGTGGCTTTTGGCATTCAGATAGGCCAATGGGAGACCCTTTAGGGAGACCCTGTTCTTTTTGCTGTTTTGTCGGTCATGGGGCTTGAACTCTGGGCCTGGGCGCTGTCTCTCAGCTCTTCAGCTCAAAGCTAGCGCTCTACCACTTGAGCCACAGTGCCACTTCTGGTTTTCTGGTGGCTAATTGGAGATAAGAGTCTCATGGACTTTCCTGCCCGGGCTGGCTTTGAACTGTGACCCTCAGATCTCAGCCTCCTGAGTAGCTAGGATTACACCCGTGAGCCACTGGTGCCTGGCTTTGTTGCTGTTGTTTTGTTTTAGTCTGTCCTGGAACCATTACAGCAAACAGCATTGCTAGCATCGCCAACAAAGTTCTCTTGTGATTCTTTACCATCACCTGCCCATCCTAAAACCCTGGAAATGGTTCACCTGATTTCTATCGCGCTGGTTTTCCCTTTTCTAGAATGTTCCATGCCATACCAGGCATAGGCTTTTGAGTTCAGCTTCCTTTGCTTAAGCAGATTTTTTTTTTTTTTTTTTTTGAGATTAGCTGTGTGTGTAAATGCATTAGAAAATCCTTCCTTTTGATTATTGGGTATTTCTTTTTATGGTGTAAAGTTTTCTGGTAAACAGTTGGTAGGCATTAATTTCTAGCTTTGAAAACAAATAGTTTGGATATAAATTATCTTGGGATGACACCAATATATGGGTTTCTCTCTTTTTTTTTTTTTGGTCAAACAGTTTTTTTGCTTTTGGGCACAAGACTGGATTCATTTACCTAACTTTCCTGCCTGAGACCCGAATCCATCTTTGTTTTTTTTCCAAAATGGACACAATTTTTTTTTAAAAAAAAAGTAATTCTGATTATAGCCTAGATGTGAGATCTTCTGATGTACTAACAGTGGAAAATGTGAAAGGTTTTTTAACGAAACTTACTTAATAATTGTGTGAATGCCAACAGCATGTGTGTGAGGAAGATGAGAGACAGGCGAGCCATCTGGTCAGTCCTCCCCTGTCCAGGCTCCTCTGCGGCATCAGATGATGGGATTCGTTGGCCCTGTGTCCTCCATGTTTTCCTTATTCAGTCTCGTTGAAGTTAGCTGGCCTCCCGTGACTCCCATTCCAGGCCTAGCTTCAGTGAGGCTTGTGGATTTTGATATGAAAGGAGTAATTGATTTTGTGCCAGTACTGGGGATTGGACTCAGAGCTTCATACCCTTGCTTGGCTTTTTTGCTCAAGGTTGGTGCTCTACCACTTGAGCCACTTTCAGATTTTTGTTGGATAACCAATAGAAGAGTCTCACAGACTTTTCTGTGTGAGGTAGCTCTGAACTTGGATCCTCAGATCTCAGCCATCCCCTGTAGCTTGGATTACAGGCATGAGCCAAAGGCACCCGCCAAGAAGTAGTTTATGGCAGGCCTGTTCCAGATAATCTTCCAAGAAATTGTTTCTAGCCCAGTGCTGGTGGCTCACACTTTTAATCCTAGCTACTCAGGAGGCTGAGATCTGAGGATCACAGTTCAAAGCCAGCCCAGGCAGAAAAGTTCTTGAGACTCTGATCTCCAATTAACCACCAGAAAACTGGAAGTGGAGCTCAAAGTGATAGAGCACTAAGTTCCCAGGCCTGGATTTCTTTTTTTTTTTTTTTTTGGGTCCAGTAGTGAGGCCTGAACTCTGGGTCTGGGCACTGTCCCTCAGCTCTTCAGTACAAGGTTAGTGCTCTACCACTTGAGCCACAGCGCCACTTCGGGCTTTTTTTTCTTTTTGCTTATGTGGTGCTGAGGAATCGAACCCAGGGCCTCATGCGTGCAAGGCAAGCGCTCTACCACTGAGCCACCTTCCCAACCCCTCAGGCCTGGATTTCAAGCCCTGCGACCAACCTAGAAAAAGAAAAAAAGTGTTTCTAACTATGCTCAGGCTTTGCAATGTGTGTACATTTCATTCATGTGAAGCTCACGTCAGATATCATGCATTTGTTATTCCTGCAGGTTTGACATCCAAGGTACAACAAAAAGAAAACTGAGGACAGACATCCATTACCCGCTGACTAACCTGGACCTCACTCCTTACATTTGTCCAATTTTCCGGAAACATCCCAAATACAACCTCTGTGCTGTGGTGGTGAGTGAGCTCCCAAAATAGCAAAATGTATGCATTTTTAAAGAAAACCCTGGAATCGTCTCCCGAATCCTCGGCTCATTCATGCTTTCCCTGGCTTCCCTTTTTAAAACCCAAATGGATAGGCAGGTGCCAGTGGCTCACGCCTGTAATCCTAGCTACTCAGGAAGCTGAGATCTGAAGGTTGAGGTGTGAGGCAGAAAAGACCATGAGATTATAATTATTATTATTTTTGTCAGTCGTGGGGCTTGAACTCTGGGCCTGGGCGCTATCCCTGAGCTCTTCAGCTCAAGGTGAGTGCTCTACCACTTGAGCCACAGCGCCACTTCCAGTTTTCTGGTGGTTTACTGGAGATAAGGTTTACTGGCTTTGAATTGAGATCCTCAGATCTCAGCCTCCTGAGTAGCTAGGAGTACAAGTGTGAGCCACTGGCGCCCAGCTGACCACGAGATTCTTATCTCCAATTAACTACTCAAAAGCCAGAAGTGGAGCTAATGGCTCAAGTGGTAGAGTGCTAGCCTTGAGAGAAAAAAAAGGCTCAGGGATAGAACCCAGGCCCTGAGTTCAAGTCCTAATACTGGCATCCCAAAAAACCTACCATGCCATAGTCCAGACCCAGAAGTACTCAGTACCTAACAGCATCAAGGCCCAGAGGCTGTGTGGGGCCAGGCCTAGAACAACTCCAGGGGTCCCCTTTTTGCTCCATAGTCACCTGGGCTCAGCCAGGAGCCCCACGTGACAGCAAGCATGGAGCAGAATTGAGACTGGCGTCAAACCTCCTGCACCCACCCACTGAGCAGCTAAGATGACAGGCGTGAGCCACTGGTGCCTGGCATTATATTTTTTATTTTTACTTTTTAAAAAATAGTTCTTTAGCCAGGTGCTGGTGGCTCACGCCTGTCATCCTAGCTACTCAGGAGGCTGAGATCTGAGGATTAGGGTTCAAAGCCAGCCTGGGAAGGAAAGTCTGTGAGAGATTTACCTCCAATAAGTCACCAGAAAACTGGAAGTGGCTCAAGTGGTAGAGCGCTAGCCTTGAGCGGAAGAGCTGAGGGACAGCGCCCAGGCCCAGAGTTCAAGTCCCACAACTGACCAAAAAAAAAAAAAAATAGTCCTTTACATATCCTGGACATATTACATATACTGTTGGATGAACACTGCGGGGCCTGTATCCCATTCTTCAGTGTGGTAGATGGCTTCCTTTGCTTATGCAGAAGTTTTTTTGACGTAATCCTGTTTGTCCATTTTGTCCTATGGTTTTTGGAGTTCTATCCAGGAAATCATTGCCTGGACCAGCATCTTTAAATGTTTGCTCTGCTTTTTCTTCTAGTTTCAGAGTTTGATGTGTCACACTAAGGTCTTTGGTCTGTTTTCCGTTGATTTGCGTGCAGGGTGAGAGGTAGGATCCAGTGTGAATGGATGGGTAGCCAGTTTTTCTCAGCACCATTTGATGATGAGTCTGGCTTTTCCCCCAGTGCATGTTTTGGAATCTTTGTCAGGAATCGGGTCCATTGGTCTTATGTCTGTTCCCATGCCATTTTGCTTGCTGTGGCTCTGTTGTATATCGTAAGGATGGTATTCTGGTGCCTTCCTTCTTGCTGACGGTAGTTTTGGTGGTAAAAGTCCTTTGAATTTTGGGTTTATTAGCTAAAAGGCTTTTTCTGCCAATGGCTCATGCCTGTAATCCTAGCTACTCAGGAGGCTGAGATTTGAGGATTAGTTGAATTGAAATCCCTTTGTGCAACTACTTAAGGATAATTAGATTTTTTTTACATCTATTGAGATGACTATGAATTTTATCCTTGATTATATTTGTTGCTCTCTTACATTGACTGATTCGCATAGGCTGAGCCATCCTGGGATAAAAATCAACTTAATTGCTGGGTGCTGGTGGCTCACACCTGTAATCCTAGCTACTCAGGAGGCTGAGATCTGAGGATCATGGTTCAAAGCCAGCTCAGGCAGCAAAGTCCGTGAGACTCTGATCTCCAATAAACCACTAGAAAACTGCAAGTGGTGCTGTGGCTCAAGAGGTAGAGCACTCGCCTTGAGCTGAAGAGCTGAGGGACAGCGCCCAGGCCCAGAGTTCAAGCCCCACGACCAACCAAAAAAAAAAAAAATCAACTTAATCTTGTTGGATGTTTTACACACACACACACACACACACACACACACACACACACACGTATTTTTTTGTGTATGTCAGGCCTAGGATTTTTTTTTTTTGGTCATGGGCTTGAACTCTGGGCCTGGGCGCTGTCCCTCAGCTCTTCAGCTCAAGACGAGGGCCCTACCACTTGAGCCACAGCAACACTTCCAACTTTTTCTGCTTATGTGGTGCTAAGGCATCGAACCCAGGGTTTCATGCATATGAGGCAAGCACTCTACCACTGAGCCATCTTCCCAGCCCAGACCTAGGATTTGAACTCAGGGACTGGGTATTGTTCCTGAGCTTTTTCCCTCTAGGTTAGCACATGAGCCTTTTTTGGTGGTTAATTGGAAATAATCTCATAGTTCAAACTCAATCCTCAGCTTTTAGCCTCCTGAGTAGCTAGGATTATAGATGTGAGCAGCTGGCTCCAGGATATAATTTGCTTTTGGATTTGTTAAGGATGCATTGAGTTCTAACATGGCCTCTAACATGCCCTCTGCCCTAGACTGTTTCCGTCTGTGCTGATAAAAAGAATATATACTCTGTAAATATTTTATACATATTTAGAGTCCATTTGATCTATTGTATGAATAAGTTCTGATGGTTGTTTTTGTTTGGTCAGAATAATCCAGGGCCTCATGCATGCTAGGCAAGCACTCTACCAGAGCCCCTCGTATCTCATATTATGGCTCCATGGTATAAGTTGGAATTCAGTATTGTTACACTGCTAGTATTGCTTTTGTTGTTGTTGTTGGTCGTGGGACTTGAACTCTGGGCTTGGGCGCTGTCCCTCAGCTCTTCAGCTCAAGGCCAGCAGTCTACCGCTTGAGCCACAGCGCCACTTCCAGTTTTCTAATGGTTTATTGGAGATAAGAGTCTCACGGACTTTCCTGCCCAGGCTGACTTTGAACCTCGATCCTTAGATCTCAGCCTCCTGAGTAGCTAGGATTACAGGTGTGAGCCACTGGTGCCGCCGGGCTAGCATTGCTTTCTGTTGAGAATTATTGTTGTTGCTCTAAGGGATCTTTTATGCTTCTGTATAAATTTCAGGATCGGTTTTTCTGTCTTTGCCTGTGCTGACATTTGGATTCTTTTTTTTTTGGGGGGGGGGGGTAGGTTATGGGGCTTGCACTCTGGGCCTGGGCGCTGTCCTTAAGCTCTTCAGCTCAAAGCCACAGCACCACTTCGTTTTCTGGTGGTTTATTGGAGATGAGTCTCACGGAGTTTCCTGCCTGGACTGGCCTTGAACCTCGATCCTCCGCTCTCAGGCTCCTAAGTAGCTAGGATTACAGGTGTGTGTAACCAGTGCCCGGCTAGTTTTTCTGATTTCTTTTCTCAGCCTGTTCGTCTTTTATATACAGAAACGGCTGATTTTGTATTCTGCTACACTGACAAGTGTTGAGCAGGCTGTTTTGTTATGTGAGTTTTTAGAACCTACATGTATTTCCATAACTTCCCCAAATTCCAGCTAGTAATAAAGTTAGATTGGTTTTTGTATTTTGTACTTATGTTAACCTAATTTCTCTAGTCATTTCCCTTTATTTTTGCTTTATTAACAAAGTTAATTTTATTCAGTATTTATGAAAGTTAAACGTTTTATTTTAGTTCTTTAGTAATTTCCCTAAAAACTAAAAGCTACTGCTGTTGTATGGCAATTCCGGGACTTCAGCTTCAAGAAGACAGAGAAGCCACAAGTTGAGAAGCTGAATCAGGAATCTTTATTAGGAGCTGGTAGCTGCAGGCGGATTTTTGTCTCAAAGACCTACAGCCCAGAACAGAGCTAGCACACAGCTTTTAAAGACAAAAACCACCATGTTGGAGTGAAGACCAAGCCTTAACAAAAGTGTTCTACATGGGCAGAGCAAACTGCGTGAAGATACTTAAATCTAACTAAAGTGTTACACATAAACAAAGGAGAGGCTGGGAATGTGGCTTAGTGGTAGAGTGCTTGTCTAGCATGCAGGAAGCCCTGGGTTCAATTCCTCAGTACCACATACACAGAAAACGCCCGAAGTGGTGCTGTGGCTCAAGGGGTAGAGTGCTAGCCTTGAGCAAAAGAAGCCCAGGCCCTGAGTTTGACTGGGTTACAGTAAGGAGCAAGCAGGACCCGTTATCTAGGGGAAACATGAACTTCCTGGAGCCCAACAACGCATGGTATATTTGCAATCCAGACACTGTCCTCTGTAGCCTCGAGAGTTCTCAAAGTCATCTTCTATGAGCTTCTAACAAGAGGCCAAGATGGTGTTTCTTAGATTTTTGATTTCTAAGACATTTTCAATTGTTAAGAGCATGCCAACTCTGATCACTGAACAAGCCATGTTCCAGCATTCCCCCCGCTCCTGAGTTTGAAACAAAACTGATCCTTATTGCCCAGAAGTCTGTAGAATACAGCCACTCTCTCGCAGGAGTGCCAGTCTCCTCTTTCCCCATCTTCTTCACCATGCAGGTCACAAGGCAGCAGCCCATGCATGTTTTCCTCTAACTGCGGTGGCCATATGGACGCACGTCTTTTCCATTTCTTAGCCTATCCTGTGAACTCAACTCTTGCGTTCATTTGGGAAAACTAAGTTATCTTAGCCCGAATTTCCTCTAGCGTGTCAGTAGCTGACGGAGCAGCAGAGCAGGCAGGCGGCACGAGTGGCTTCAGTTTAGGCGAGGGGCCAATGAAGCAGTTCCTCCAGCGTTGGCATGTGAGCACTAAGGGGCCCCCTTCCTCCCTAGAACCACTTTGGCGATCTGGATGGCGGCCACTACACGGCTTTCTGCAAGAACTCAGTAACCCAAGCCTGGTATAGCTTTGATGACACGCGAGTCAGTGAGATTCCAGATACTTCTGTGCAAACCGCCACCGCCTACCTCCTGTTCTACAGCTGCCAGCCCTTTTCTATCCCCATACAGAAGTGTAAGTGCTAGGAAAAGTGTCTTGAAAACTGCACAACGTGCAATCAGGAAGTTCTGCTCCCTCATTAAACTCTTAACAACTTCTGAGCCCGGCCTGTATTCCCGAGTCTTCTGTGAGCCTCCCTCCGTGGGCCTCCCTTGGTGAGCCTCCCTCCGTGGGCCCACTGCGGGGAGAGGCGCTGCTGTTTTGCACACGGCGGCCTGCAGGTTGCCTATGGAGGTCCACTGCCTGCATTCCAGCATTATTGTTGTTTTTAAATTAAAGGCGGATTTCTATTATAACACATCTCAGTTACGTATGGTCAGTATACGAATTACTTTCCCAAGATTCTTCATGGGGCTCAATAATTTAGTTCCCAGCTGGGAGGCTGTGCCCAGGGCTGGGCAGGGCTGCTCTACGGCTCAGAGTTTAATCCTCACAGAGGGAAAAGAAAGCTCGCGTAGACCCAAACCAGTGTTTTGAAACTCATGCATCCATCTTCTCCCTGAGCATTCACTGAACGCCATGCTTGCTGCTTGGCCCTGAGTATTTTACAGGTAACGCCTCTCAGCACGTTCACATCATTCTTGTATGAAATTGCAAAGCTGACTTCATGTGTAGCAACTGAGTTGCTGAGGTAAGTGCTAACCTTTTTCCTCCTTCAATACAGAACACTGTTCTGGCGCAGTTCCTAATGCACCTCCCCTCCACCCCCCCCCACCCCCCCGCGTTGTGGGGCCTGAACTCTGGGCCTGGGCGCTGTCCCTCAGCTCTGCAGCTCAAGGCTAGCGCTCTACGACATTTGAACCACAGCATGGAAAATCCACAGGGCTGTCAAGATACAGAATTAAAGACAGGACACTTAAGCAGTTTTAAGTTAATTTTTCATTAAGATTTTAATGTAGATGTAAATGAAATTCCCATTTTAAAAAATTAAAGAAAGTTTCCATGTGTGTAGAATAAAGATTTAGTGCACAATTACAGCCTAAAGCCAACGGAAAAATAGCTCTGCCCTGTCATTTCCCTAGGAAAGCGCTGCAGTTACTCAGCATGGGCCAGAAGGAACACAAAAGCGTCCTGAGTGCTAGGCTTCACAAAAGGACACATTAAATATGTACATTGGATTGCTGTGCAAGTGTGCAATAATCTGTACACGTACATTCCTATCTGCTTTAATCTTCTAGAGTATTCATACACCAGGCGGGGGAGGGGAAGGCCGTATCAGTGAAAAGGAGGGTCAGGGTGGCGCCGGGGGGAGGGTAACGCGTAGCTACTTCGTTACTTGACCTTTGGAGCAGACTACGAACGTTGCTGTGACACCTGCTTGGTGTCGTCGTTACACTGACCTGAAGTAATGGCGCCCACTGTTCTCGAACTCGCGCCCGGAGCCGCTGCGCGCCACCGCCGCCATGGGAGCGAGTGAGCAGCGGCTGCCGAGGGCCGGCACGCGATCAGCGCGAAGCTCTCCCTCCTATGTGGCCATGTCGGCGGCCCGCGGGCCCAGCGAAGTGTAGAAGAGGATGTAGGCGGCTGAGGATCTCACCGCGCCCACGGAGATGTCTGAAACTTCGTGGTCATCAAACTTGAACCACCGCTGCCGCGCCGCGTTCTTGCAGTAGGCCGTGTAATGGCCGCCGTCCAGGCCGCCGTAGTGATTCTGCCCAGCAAGACACAACAGCAGTGAACACGCACTGGCCACTTACGACGCCAGCAAGCGTGTGAAACGCATGCTTTCTCTAAGAGCCACTGGTTCGAGTCAGGACATACTTACGGAGACAGAAAACAAGTTGTACTTCTTCAAGCTGTTCTTTGGACCAATGACGTACTGTGACAAGTCCAGGTTTTCCAACGGGAAGTCTACAGACGTCTGCAGTTTCTGCTTCCATCTACCATCATAGGAGAAGCTGCGGAACGAACGTCACGGGGCACAGTGAGACTGCTGGAAAGGACCCCGTACACACAGGGTCCGTTTCTATTTTGCAGAGACCAAGGCTGCGGGCAGGAAACCATGTACCTCATACCAAACAGCACAGCAGCTCTACACCCTGCTCCCGGATCCCTGGGTCAGCTACGACTGTTGGATACATCTGCTACAAAGGCAAAACTCATTAACAGTAGTACTTGGTCCAGCACGGCGGCATGTATGTGTAATCCCAACCACAGGGTAGGGAGAGGCAAGAGGATTGTATTAAATCAGCCCTGGAAAACAGACCCTGGGCAAACATGGTCTCTCTGTAATCTCAGTTACTCAGAAGGTAGGTGAAGGTTGGTAGTAGGTAGACCAAGGTTCAAGGCCAGCCTGGGCAAAAGTACAAGATCCCAAATAAAGCAAAGAGAACTGGGGAATAGCGCGAGTAGACTGCTTCCCTAACAAAGGTAAAGGCCCGAGTTCAAATGGCGAGTGGGAGACGGCACCCGTCACTCTGACTGCACAAGGCCTGGGAGGCTGGACTTGGGGGGACTGAGCCCCAAGCTCCTTGGACAAAGTCTTGAGTGGAAACAATGGTGCCGCATTGTTCTTGCATCTTTTTTTTTTTTTTTTTTTAATTTTTAATGTTTTTGTCGGTTGTGGGGCTTGAACTCTGGGCAGGATGCTGTCCCTCAGCTCTTCAGCTCAAGGCGAGCGCTCTACCACAGGAGCCACAGCGCCACTTCTGGTTTTCTGGTGGTTTATTGGAGATAGGAGTCTCATGGACTTTCCTGCAGGCTGGCTTTGAACCATGATCCTCAGATCTCAGCCTCCTGAGTAGCTAGGATGACAGGGGAGAGCCACCGGCTCCTTGCATCCTTTAAACACCAAAATAATGTCATGGAACACAGTTATTTCAAAATGAGCAACATTTTTTTCTTCCAGCTCTGCGACGCTTCACACATGAGGCCTTCCCACGTTCTACCATGGAGCTACGCCCGGCTCCCGCCCACATAGGATTTTTGGATACAGCCAAGGACAATATTTAATAATTAATATGTATTCAGCTATAGAATGGCTATACTTTTTGTTACAAAACATGCACAAAAGACATTGAACTAACTGTCAATACTGAAATTAATACAAGCAATAATAATCTCCTGGGGCTGGGAAGGTGGCTCAGTGGTAGAGCGCTTGCCTTGCATGCCTGAGGCCCTGGGTTCGATTCCTCAGCACCACATAAGCAAAAAGAAAAAAAGAAAAGCCGGAAGTGGCCCTGTGGCTCAAGTGGTAGAGCACTAGCCTTGAGCTGAAGAGATGAGGGACAGCGCCCAGGCCCAGAATTCAGGCCCCATGACCAGCCCCCCCCTCCAACCCCCTCCCCCCACCAAAAAAAAAATAAATAAATAAAAATTACATTTCAAAATCATGTGTTGCTTTTTTTTTCCCAGCCAGTCCTGGGGATTGAACTCGGGGCTTTGGTGCTGTCACTTAGCATGTTTGTTCAAGGCTAGCAATCTACCACCTGAGCTACAGCTCTACTTCCACGTTCTTGCTGGTTAACTGGAGATATGGGTCTCAAGACTTTCCTGCCTGAGCTGGCTTCGAACCGTGATCCACAGATCTGAGATTCCTGAGTAGCCAGGATTACAGGCGTAGGCCACCGGCAGTGTGTTAAATGTTTATTTCTGTCTTGCTCAGTTGACTATTTGAACATTAATTTTTTTTTTTTGGTCGGTCGTGGGGCTTGAACTCTGGGCCTGGGCGCTGTCCCTCAGCTCTTCAGCTCAAGGCGAGTGCTCTACCACTTGAGCCAGAGTCACTTCCGGTTTTCTAGTGGTTTATTGGAGATAAGAGTCTCATGGACTTTCCTGCCCGGGCTGGCTTTGAACCACAATCCTCAGATCTCAGTCTCCTGAGTAGCTAGGATTACAGCATGGCTTGAATGTTAAACTTTATCTGTATTAGAAGGTTATATTGCGCAGCACTTTATGCATGTCACCGGATGTGATTACATAAAGCTTTTCTATCTCTGTGGAGTGAGCTGAGACACTGGCAGCGTCCCTCTGCTCTCCCTCTGCCTTCTTTCTTTCCTGCTCTGATCGCCTCCCTGCCCGTGGCTCTTGGTGTCATGGTAGCTGCAGTGTCACAAGACTTGTGCTCCTGCAAAACAATGCTCCTGCACAGTGCGCACACTTACCGTTTCAGATGCACTAAAAGCACCGGTGGCAGCTTCCAGATTTCAATCTTCTTCAGGGAGTCCCTCCGGGCTCTGCAGTGACTGCAGTAAAATCGGTTGTTGTCGGTGAGTTTTTCTTCTTTGGAAAATAACCTAAGGCAATCCTGGGGAAAAACACGTAGCAGATATGTGGGCAATTCAGCCTCTACCCTGTCTCAGGGAGCGGTGCCTCGCCTTGCACAAGAAGCCGGCTGCAGGGCACATGGAGCCTCACCCAGTGACAGAGCACCAGTGCCCAAGGCAGAAGGGGGCTGGAGTGGGGAGAGCCTGGGCCCTGGAGGAAGCTAAGTTACCACAACCACACCCTGTGTGCCCAAACCACCCACTGCCATCCCCAGCTAAAGAGCAAACACAAAACATAGACTAAGTTAAAGTCAGCATAAAACAGTGACTGGAATTGGGGGTCTGGGGGAGCACCCAGACCTTGAGCTTTTTTGCTCAATGGTTATGCTCCACCAACTAAAGCCACAGCTCGACTTTTGGCTTTTTGGTGGATAACTGGAGATAAGAGCTTCACAAATTTTCCTGCCCTGGCTGGCTTTGAACCATGATCCTTAGATCTAAGCCTCCTGAGTAGCTGGGATTACAGGTGTGAGCAGTTACTGGTACTTGGCATAAATAGCATTTTTATCTAAGTTACTTTTTCTCCATCTTAAACTCACCTGTAATGTACATTTACTCGTGGATGCAAGCGGTAGAGACAGATACATAAAGGCCTCAAACGTCCTCGACTTCTTGTGGCAGGTGAGGCACTGTACTGTGGACTTGAACTGACCCTGAAAAAGTGTAACGATAATGGACTCGTTGAGCTGTTTGTGTTTCTGCCAAGCATGTTCTGCAGCTTTGAAGTCATCAAGATGATCGTTATTTTCTTCTTTATACCTCTTCCGATTGTCAGCCTAGAAATAAGATTTAAAATGCTATGTTAATACCTAAAAGGCGGTAATATTTATTTATGTGCTCATGTATTTATTTTTGTCGGTCATGGGGTTTGAACTCTGGGCCTGGGCACTGTCCCTGAGCTCTTCAGCTTGAGGCTAGCATGCTACCACTTGAGCCACAGCGCCACTTCCCCAGCTCGTTTTTTATGGCTTTGAATGATTGCCCTAGCCTCCCAAGCACTGGGATTACAGTGGCGCACCATCACTGCCCAGTGTGCACTTGACATTTGTACGTATGTTCAGTGTTAAGATCGATAACTAGGGGCCGGGAATATCGCTTAGTGCCAGAGTGCTTGCCTAGCATGCATAAAACCCTGGGTTTAATTCCTCAGTACCACATAAACAGAAAAAGCCAGATGTGGCACTGTGGCTCAAGTGGTAGAGCGCTAGCCTTGAGCAAAAGAAGTTCAGGGATAGTAACTAGGCCCTGAGTTCAAGTGCCAGGACTGGCAAAAAAACAAAAAAAAAAAGGGGGGGGGGGTGCTCAGTGGTAGGGTGCTTGCCTTGCATGCATGAGGCCCTGGGTTCGATTCCTCAGCACCATATAAGCAGAAAAAAGCCAGAAGTGGGGCTGAGGCTCAAGAGGTAGAACGCTAGTCTACAACTAAACAGTTGAGGGACAGTGCCCAGGCCCAGAGTTCAGGCCCCACAGCCGACAAAAAACAAAACAAAAAAACAGTACTCTGTACAACTACATTGATAATTAAGGAAACCGAAAAAGAATGGTGATTGCAAAGATACCTGAGAAAGATAGGACAGTGTGGTAGTTAAGAAGCTACACAAAGGGTTGGGAAGGTGGCTCAGTGGTAGAGTGCTTGCCTTGCATGCATAAACCCTTGGGTTTGATTCCTCAGCACCACATAAGCAGAATATGCCGGAAGTGGCGCTGTGGCTCAAGTGGTAGAGCTCTAGTCTACCACTGAGGGAACAGTGCCCAAGCCCAGAACTTAGATCTCACGACTGACCAAAAGAAAAAAAAAAATTCTAAAATGCTGGAAATATCACTGTGGCTCAAAGTGGTAGAGCACTAGCTTTGAGCAAAAAACAAACTCAAGGACAGCATCCAGGCTTTGAGGTCAAGCCCCAGAATCAGGAAAAAAAAAGAAGCTACACAAACGGAGAAGCTTATTTGTAGAAATGCGTGTGCCTCAGGGGCTGGGAAGGTGGCTCAGTGGTAGAGCGCTTGCCTTGCATGCATGAGGCCCTGGGTTCGATTTCTCAGCACCACATAAGCAAAAAGAAAAAAGCCGGAAGTGGCGCTGTGGCTCAAGTGGTAGAGCGCTAGCCTTGAGCTGAAGAGCTGAGGGACAGCGCCCAGGCCCAGAGTTCAGGCCCCACGACCAACCAACCAACCAAAAAAAAAAAAGAAAAAAGAAAAACCACACACAAAAAGAACACACTATACTACGCAGTATACATATGCAGTAATGTATACTTATACAACAAAGAGGTTCAGGTTATAGTGACCCTGTTCATGATTTTTTACTTTCACATTGCTCACAAGAAATAATCTCTCAACAACTATTTTAGCAGGTGCAAATTACTCAGCAATTCTGTGACCATTTAATCAAGCACCCTTAATGTGAAAAATCCAAAATGCTCCAAAATCCAAAACTTTTTGAAATGAAAGACCAGAGTAGCTCAAGTGGTAGAGCACCATTGGGAACAAGAATTCATCTCCCATACCAGCACCAAAAACCCTCAACTGTTTAAGTGCCCAACACAATGCCTCAAGTGGAAATTACACATCAGGAAGTAAAAATTATTTTGTTATGTACATTAAAAAATACTACCTAAAATGTGTCTAAGGTATATATACAAGTATATATGTATATGTGTGTATGTGGGTATATATGTATGTGCATTATACATATGTGTGTATAAACCTTATGCATGTGTGTAGATATACACAACATTATATGAAACAAGTGAGTTTTTGGTTTAGACTGCAGTTGCAATGCAAAATATAGTTACATATACGCAACTATTCCAAACTCCCTCAAACCTGAAATCCTAAATATTTCTGGTCTACAAGAATTTTAAAACAAGGGCTTGGAAGGTGGCTCAGTGGTAGAGCGCTTGCTTTGCATGCATGAGGCCCTGGGTTCAATTCCTCAGCACCACATAAGCAAAAAGAAAAAAGCCAGAAGTGGTGCTGTGGCTCAAGTGGTAGAGCGCTAGCCTTGAGCTGAAGAGCTGAGGGACAGCGCCCGGGCCCAGAGTTCAGGCCCCACGACTGGACCAAAAAAAAAAAAAAAAGTTCAAAACAGGGTGTTCAACCTGCGTTACATTCATCAGGAGTTTTTTCAGTATAAGCCATGCCCTGTCCGGTACACTCAAGTGTATTAGAATAAATGACCACTGGACAGTCACCCCTGGGTTCTGTATTGCATTACTGGGCAAGGCTAAGTCTTTGTGACTGGGAAGAGCGAGAATCTTACTTTATTCAGGTCTTCATGGAGGCCGTCCATGAGGAAGAGGAGCAGCTCTTGTGAATCTTGCTGGCTGTACCCTGCAAACTGATCGTTAATCTTCCCAATGGTGACTTTGAAGTCTCTTGGGCTGATGTATCTGTACTGCCCTGTCCACAATGCCTTCATGATTATTCCAAATTCTTCTGCCACTTCGCCTTTGTGCCCCAACAGATTTGACCTGTGCAAACACACACAGCAATAAAGAAAAAGCTGAAAAACTACAGTACAGTTGGTTGATGTCAACCTTACATTATTCACATACTGTATTCCTACACTAAAATACTCACAGATTTATTAGAGTCTTTGTTTATAGTCTTCCAATGTGCTTTACTTTGGCCACAAGCCCTATTCCTCTTAACAGACTGCCCGTCTTCTACTATGAGAATTGTCTTTAAATTTTTTTAAATTGTCCTTTTAAATGTTCAGAGGTAATGGAATTAGAACTCAGGGCCTTGTGTTTACTACAGGCACCCTACGCCACCTGGGCCATGCCACTAGCCTGCTGTTTTGCTGGAGGTGGAATCTTGTAGACTTGTCTGTCCAGACTGACTTCAAACGGCTCCTCTGGGTTTTTGCCTGAGGAGTTGGTGAGATGAGCCACTGGCACGTGGCTTTTCCACATTAGGAAAGTCTTCTAATTTCACTTCTCTGGATCCAAGTGCCAAAGTGCTACGGCATGAATGTGTCCCTTCTACATTCAGTGTTGCCTATTTGACAGCACTAAGGAACTGGTGCCTCACACCAGTAATCCTAGCTACTCAAGAGACCGAACTCTGAGGATCGTGATTTGAAGCCAGCCCAGACAGGAAAAGCTGTTAGACTCATCTCCAATTATCAACCCAAAATCTGGAAGTGGAGCTATGGCTCAAAGTGGTAGAGTATTAGCCTTGAGCACAAAGCTCAAGGACAGTGCTCAGGCCCTGAGTTCAAGCCCCACAACGGGGAAAAAAAAAAAGTGTATGCTAAGAAGTGACTAGGCCACACGGCTGTGTCACGATCAGGGAGGCGCCCTCAGGAAGGGCCTGAGGGGTCTGACCTCTCGTGCCCTTCTCCTGCTGCATGAGGGTGAAGCAAGGCCCTGCCCAGACCTCGGCACCTTCACCTTGGGCTTCCTGTCTCCAGAACTATGAGAAAATAAAATGTCTGGTTTTTATCAATTAGTCTCAGGTACTTTGTCATATAACACAAAATGGACTGAAACAGTAAACATAGTGACATTATCCTTTTAGCCATACACTGCAAAAGACATGTATTTACCTGTTAATATCGTCCTGGTAACAGTTTCTGTTGAAATAATCAGCCAAGTGGGGAGCGTTACAGAGGCACTGCAATATAGAGTTCATATAACAAGTATTTCCTAAATTACGAAGTCCAGTAAGAGCTGGCCCAGATCCTCCAAACACAGGGTTGAGGTTCCGAATCTGAGAGGCAGAAAGCCTCGAGATCTCAGCTTTAGGGTAGCATGTTGGCCTAATAAAGAGAAGGTATGAGTCTTAAAAGTCTATAAAACTGAGCTCTGTACGACAAATGGCAGCAAACTCTAGCGGCTCTTCTGCAGGCACACTGACTCACCAGGGCAGGGCAGACATCGGGTAATGAGGCTAGCCCTGGCTGCATTCTGTGGTCCTCCCTTGACAACACATAAAGTCCCTGGTTCTAGAGGTGGCCTAAGAGTCTCTAGCTTTTCATGAACTGGGAGTTTTCAAAGACCTCAAGGAAGTTGGCATTATTACATATTTGAACGTCGCCACCACCAAAAATACTCATCGCTGTGGCAGACCACATAGAAAAGGAGGCACAGGTGATCTGGGTACCAATGCCCGTTGTCTAAGCTGATCACTAAGCTTCAGATGGGCTGGTCCAATTTGAATTAAAATTCAATTTCTAGGGGCTGGGGAGGTGGCTCAGTGGTAGAGCGCTTGCCTTGCATGCCTGAGGCCCTGGGTGGATTCCTCAGCACCACATAAGCAAAAAGAAAAAAGCCGGAAGTGGCACTGTGGCTCAAGTGGTAGAGCACTAGCCTTGAGCTGAAGAGCTGAGGGACAGCGCCCAGGCCCAGAGTTCAGGCCCCATGACCGGACCCAAAAAAATAAAATAAAATTTAATTTCTAGTTGCACCAAACACATTCCAAAACAGTGACGAGCCATGCTGAACAATAGCTCAGAGCGCAATGTGTCGGGCAAGAGCCATCTCCCAGAGCAGGCTGGGACACGGAGACCCAGAACTGCCCTGGCACTAGGACTTTATTAATGGACAGATCTTTTTCACCTCTTGCTTCTAGCCCTCGAGGATATGGAGATCAGATCAAACTAGTTTCAAGTACTTTTCATGTGCTCTCTTCACTTTTGAATTCACGTTAAAAATTATACTTGACAGTCTTGACAATACTGCTCAAATTAGTAATATAATGATTCAAAAGGAAATTAAAATCTCACCAGTCACTGCAATTTCTAACATCCATAGCTCTATGAACAGAATTTTGGTTCTTTCAAATACATGTCTACCTGGTAAGTTCTTAAGAAGAAATACCAACTATGTTGGAATGTGTTACTTTTTCGTGTCTAAAGACAGACTACTTAGAAATGCCTATTAATGAAGTGCATAATAAATGGAAAAACCATAAATATTGCCATCTGTGGTGTAGACTTCTGCGATAGGCCATTTTTTTTTGCTTTTATTGGTCCTGAGGCTTGAACTCAGGGCCTGGGTGCAATCTCTGAGCCACAGTTCCACTTCCAGTTTTCTGGTGCTTAATTGGAGATAGAGTATCATGGAGTTTCCTGCTTGGGCTGGCTTTGAACCACGATCCTCAGAGATCTCAGCCTCTTGAGTAGCTAGGATTACAGGTGTGAGCCACCAGGGCCTGGTTTAGGCCAATATGTAAGGAAACAAGCCCTTTGATGAAATGGAAGTGTGTATGTAGCTAGTGCACATCTCTTGTGTACTTGAAACCACCTCCAGATGACTTACTATAGCTGACTTGAGCCTTAGCCTAGTAGTCTGCCAACCTATCAAGTCTGTTGAATCATCCCAAACGAAGTAGTTAAAAGCTGAGGATCTATCTCTAGGAGATGCTACTTTGAGAAATGTAAATAAACCTAGTGAACAGAATGGCAGGCATGCAATCAAGGACACTAGTAATACATATTACTCTAATGCTACAGGAAAATTTTGCTCTCACATCCTTGGCACATAATCCTCTGGTATACTGTTAGTCTCAGGGAGAAAAAATCAAGGCCATTTTCTTATGTTTTTCTCTGTGGTACATCACAATGGTCACAATGGCCCCCACAGGTTTTTTGTTTGTTTGTTTGACGGTCGTGGGGCCTGAACTCTGGGCCTAGGTGCTGTCCCTCAGCTCATCAGCTCAAGGTTAGTGTTCTACCCCTTGAGCCACAGCACCACTTCTGGCTTTTCTGCTTATGTGTTGCTGGGGAATCGAACCCAGGGCCTCATGCAGGCAAGGCAAGCACTCTACCACTGAGCCACCTTCCCAGTCCCCCACAGGGTTTTCTGATCTGCTCTGAACACAGTGGAATGTTAGGCGGGGTCTTATACTCAGCACATTCCCAGTTTTGGGGCTTTAGCAGAACTGACTTGTTTTCCCGATTCACTGCTGGGGTCACTGCTGGCTTCCTCTTCTCCTCCTCTTGAATGGCCTGGGTGATGTCCGGGGAGGAGTAGGAGCGCTTCAGCTTGGAGGGTTCCCGGTCCCGCTCGGCGGGGACCTGGGGCTTGGCTTTGTGCGTTGGGGGGGTGGAGGGAGGTGCAGAGGAAGGGGCCATCTCCGGTGGATACATGTGAACGGTGTTGGTGGGTGAGTGGTAGTAGCGGAAGGTCCCTGTGATTGGGTCGAGAAACTGAGACAAGAAGAAAAGACAAGTCAAACACCCAGAGGGCACTAGAGACAAACCTTCCAAAGTATTCTCCCAATTCACTATGACACTGGGGAGGCTGGGGATTAGGACCTTGCACATGTCAGGCACGCACTTATGTGGAGGCGAGCGAATCTGAGGAAAATGGTGATAGCTGCTGCCCTACACTAGCCGGGAAATGACAGCGGCAGGCTGCTGGCAGTGGAGAGCACACAGCCGCGGTGCTCGTGAGGAGCAGTGCTGTGCGCTCCATCGTGAAGCGCTCTGGAGGATTCCGGCCTTACCTTGGCCCAGCCTGAAGGCAGCCCAGGCACGATCCTCCCCATTTCCTCGCTCCGCGCTCTTGTCAAGGGCTCACGCTGCGCCTAGTTTGGAAAGGGGGAGAAAGAAAAAAAAAAATCGATTCTTTCCCTCTATTAAAATTTCACATATACAAATATGTACCTACATTGAAGATTCAAAAAGCCTTCCCTTGCTGTCCTCCATACTACTCAAGAGGCACAAAGGGAAGAAACGTACCGAAAGGAGCATGCAAGGAATCAATCTCAACTTTTCTCAACGTGGGACAGACAGAGCCCAAAGCCAGGCGTTTGTGAACTTAGAGTAAATGAGTCTGCAGCATGAATGCTCTAGGTTCTCAGCCTGCCTCTAGCTCAGCAAGATGAAACTGGTCTTGGAGCTCCAGAAGGTAATGTACTTTCAGGCAAACAACCTCTACCCTCAGCTCAACTGTAAGCTGAGTACTATTATAAAGTTTGGAAAATATATGCATATAGTAAGTACTTAGTGAATAATGTTTAAATTGTATCTTAAATTCAAGTGTTCGCAAGTTCTAATTCTCTTATACAGTTTTATACAGGCTTAATTTCCCCACTTCTGGGTGTTTACAGGTAGTATACTGTTTTGTTTAGAGATGAGGTCTAGTTATATAACCTAGTAGTCTTCAACTTACATGTTCAAGTGATCTCCTGTGTTAGCTCTCTGAGTAACAGGCCCAGGGTCGGGTGTCCAGCTAGCAGGAGCTATTACTTTTCATACTAGAAATGTCCTAGATAAGGGTAGCATTAATATGAATTGGCAATTTCAGAAACATGCCTGATGCATAAGAACCTGTGAATTCTTCTGTTTTTGAAAATGTATTTAGCCAGGCACTGGTGGGTCACACCTATAATCGTAGCTACTCAGGAGGATGAGATCTGAGGATCAAGACTGAAGCCAGCCTGGGCAGGAAAGCCTGCGTGGCTCCTATCTCCAATTAATCACCAAAAAAGCTGGAAGTAGGGCTGTGGCTCAAGGGCTAGAGTGCTGGCTTTGAGCAGTAAGAGGTCAGGGACAGGCCTTGGGTTCGAGCTCTATGACTGGCACCAAAAAAAAAGTATTTAGTGTTCAAAGTGAAAAGGCAGGACTTACGGAGTAAGACAGAAAACAGAAGCTTCCTCTGCAACTAAGAACGAGAAGAATCAGGGTAACAACTGACAGACTACATTCCGGGAGAAGGAGAGTGATGAAGTTCATCGGGATGTGGCAAAGCCTCAGTCCCTCCTCTAGCCCCGGGGCAGGGGTGCTGCCACCTGACTCCCTTGCCACAAGGTAATCAGACAACTGTGGTGATCACAGACTAGGTGGGAGCCAAGCTGCAAATCCACACGGAAGGGTTCAGGTGTGACAAGGACTCTCTAGAGCAGACCAGCACTGGAGAAGGAATCTATTTTGCCATTCTCCACTTCCCAGAGCCATAGCTGGGCTCCAACATGAAGGCAGTCTACTGTCTGAAACTGAGCTACTCTGGGAACTTGGCAACAAGGAACAATTCTGGGAGCCTGAGACCTGCCACTGTGCTGGGATTGTACAGTACAGTCAGGCGAAGCAGCCTGGGAGAGAGGGAGAGCGCAGTCGAGCAGTGAGCCTAGCCTGGGAGTCTCAGAAGATGGTGGCCCAGTCCAAGGCCAGGCCAGAAGACTGCTCGGCTTCTGGGGTACCTCCCGACTGTCAGGTGGAACACCATTGTGGGAGCCCTTTTCCTACCACAGGGTAATTTACTCCTGAGGGGACCACGGAGCTCTGGGGCAAGCAGTTCTGGGTTCCCTCAATTCTCTCTTTAGTGCAGATGTCAGTGCTATTTACCTCCGCCCCTGCTCTGCCAGGCCCTGAGGGGATCCTCTCAGGCGCCAACACTGAACACACAACACTGACTGACATGGGATTCATTGGCTTTTTTCTGGGGCTGGACTCCAGTTGCCTCCATCTTCCCAATCTCTATTGTGAGCCCTTGTACCCAGCTTGGCTGCTCTCTCTCTCTCTTTTTTTTTTGTCGGTCGTGGGGCTTGAACTGTGGGTCTGGGCGCTGTCTGTCAGTTCTTTAGCTCAAGGCAAGCACTCTACCGCTTGAGCTACAGCGCTACTTCCGGTTTTCTAGTGGTTTATTGCTTTAAACCACAATCCTTAGATCTCAGCCTCCTGAGTAGTTAGGATTACAGGCATAAGTCACTGGTGCCCGGCTTTAGCTACTTTCTTATATACCCATAAAGAACAGTGTAAGAAACCACAAAAACAATCTCATTCCCAACAGCCTCAAAAATAAGAAAACTGCTCGATGTGATGCCTCACGCCTGTAATCTGAGCTACTCAGAAGGCTCAGGGTTCAGGGCCAGTTTGGGCACAGAAGTGAGTGAGACCCATCTCAATAGCAACAATGATCTATGCTAGCTACTCAGGAGGTACAAGGAGGAAGACAGAGGACCAAAGCAAACTTTCCACAGGCAAAAAGAAAACCTACGATACATTACCTGAAAAGCGATTAAAACAAAAATGCCAGGGGACATGGTGCTGGTAGCTCATTGTCAAGCAAGCACAAGATCCTGAGTTCAATCCCCAGTGCCACAAAAACAGAAATAGGAATCAACTTAAAGGCCTCTACAATGAAAAACATAAAACAGTAAAGAGAATGAAGAAGAATGTGGAAGGACCTCACATTTTCATGCGTCAGAAGTCATATTGTGAAGTGGATATATTTCTAAGAATGATCTACAGATTTCAGCGCAATCTCCAGCTGCATCTCTGTAACATTCTTCATATAAATAGAGGAAAAAACGATCCTAAAATGTTTATGTCATGTCAGCACAGCACACCCAAAGAGCCAAGATGCCCAAGGAAAAGAGCAGGCCAGGGGCTTCAATTACACAGAGCGGCATGGCACCCCAGACACACAGCTGCCATTTGACACTTCAAAGAGCTGCTGCCTGTGTCCTTGTCTTCAAGTGTGTTACATATGTCTTCTTCCAGTAGTTTCAGAGTTTCATGTTTACATTGAGAAGAAAAAAGGGGAACTGTATTTCCTTCCAAGGGCTGTTTGGACATTCATAGCATCACTTACAACAAATGATCAATGCAGGCTACAGGCTGTGGACAGCCAATGAGAAACACATTTGCGCTTATCCCCTTGCAGAGGGGACAGGCTTCATATGGCCCTGGGGTGGACTGAACTGTCTCCAACCCTTCACGAAGGCCCGTATGATCCATTTCAAATCGACTTTTGTAAGGTTCTGAGACAGACATCTAGTGTCAGTCTTCTATAAGTGGCTGTCCACTTTGCAGCACCATTTGTTGAACAGGCTGTTTGTTCTCCAGTGTGTACTTTTGCTAAGAATCAGATGGCTGTAGGCTTATTTCTGGGTCCTCTTTTCCATTCGTCTATGTATTTTGGAGAGGTGGTTTTGGGGTTTGAACTCAGAGCAAGAAGGGAAATGTAGAAAGCAAAGGGTCACTGACACAACCCCGAAATGTAGTCAACTGGCTCCAAAGAAATTGGTAAGAAAATGGGGGTGGAGGACAATCTATCCCTTCCAGCAACTAACTACTCCGAATGGCAGCCCATTTGTGGGGTGCTACAGTGTCACCTCTACACACACACTCTGTCTCTGCTTGCTTCTGCTTACCTTGCCTGCACTGGTATCTCCCGATACAGCTAGAGGAGACACATCTCCTGTTGACTTTTTCTGCATTTCCGGAGTCGGACACCTTTTCTCTCCTTCCATAGGTATCTTGGCATCAGACATTTCGTGCTCACTTCTACTCTGTCTTTTTATTCCTGTTAGTTCTCTGCCCCTCTTCACTGAGGGTTCCTTGCCTTCTTTCCTGGCCTGCTCACCGTCTCTCCTTTCCTCTTCTTCCTTGGCTTTCGGCTCGCTTTCTGTGGTTTCATTTTCTCGAGCTTCTTGTTTCTGTCTGGCTTTCTGCTCTTGCTCTTCCCGCATCAGCTTCTCCTTCTGTTCCTCTTGCTGCCTTTCCCGAAGTTCTTTTTCCTGCTTGTTTTTCTCCATTAGAAGAGCAGTTTCTGCATGGATGCGGGCTTTCTCTTCATCTGTTAACATGGCGGTCACGGGGGGAAATGTGGGTTTGGTGGATCGATCGGGAAGAACTTTTCCATTCTGAGGAGACAGCTCAGGACCTGTACTTTCAGGTTTTATTCTATGATCTTCAGGCAACTTCACTGTGGGTTTTTTAGTACGATCAATCTAAAGAAACAGAACGAGCAAAACATGCTGTTTGTTTTTGTTTTTATTGCTTTGTGTTGTTTCGGCTGGCCTCATCCACCAAGTGGCAAAACATGACCAGATTCAGAACTATAACCTCAGTTACATTTTCAATTCATGCTAGAACAAAAAGCCTAGACATGACACAGCGAGACTTAAATTCCATTTGGACCATTAGCTTCATGTGAGGGTCACACATAGATCTCAAAACTGTAATCTCCCACAAACATGCTTGTTGTTATTATTATTTGCCAGTCCTGGGGCTTGAACTCAGGGCCTTGCACTGTCCCTGAGCTTCTTCTGCTCAAGGCTAGCATTCTACCACTCGAGCCACAGTGCTACTTTTGGCTTTTTCTGTTTATGTGATTCTGAGTTGTTCCCAGGGCTTCATGCATGGTAGGCAAGCACTCTACCACTTAGCCACAGTCCCAGCCCCTCATTATTATGTGTGTGTGTGTGTATGTGTATTTGTATGCTGGAACTGGAGCCTGAACTCAGAGCCTTGCCCTCTTGCTTACTAGCTTCTTCACTGAAGGCTGACATATTACTACTTGAACCACATCTCTACTTCTGGCTAATAGTCTCTCAGACTTTTACGCCTGAACTTTGAATTTAAGATCTTCAGGTTTCAGCCCTCCGAGTAGCTGGGGTTATAGGTGTGAGCCACTAGTGCCTGGCTCACCTTCTAAATGCAACCACTCTCCAATTTTCGCTACACAAACTAAACCCAGAAGAGTTTTGTGAATGTCCCTCCCAAACCCTTCTGCAGCCTGACCATCTTCCTCCACACAGCTATACCTCTATCTGTGCTCCCACCTGCCAGTCTGCCAATCAACCCCCTTCCCATCAGACTACAAAACAGCCTCCAACTTCTCCATCCTGCAACCAGAGTGATCATTTTACAACATTATAGGTGTGAACCACCAATATCTGGCTTGTTTTCTATTTTGAGACAGTGTCTTGCACCGTAGCCTAGGCTGGACTCCTCACTCTACCTCCTGAATTCTGGGATTACAGATGCACACTACCATACTCGATTAAGTTTTCTATTCAGAGCCTGCCCTACAAATCAATATTTACTTCAAATGAAAAAATACTGTTTAAATGTATCTTGGGAAAGAATGAGAAATGAATGCTTAAAAAATCTTACTGGAGAATATATAGGAAAGGGAAATTAATCTTTCTTCAAAAGTAATCTAATGAGAAAAAAGCTGTAATTTCTTAACTTGTTATTACTTAAAAACCTTAAATTCTTAAAATGTCAAAATCAAATAAAACAAAACCATTTGAAAACTAAAATATCTTTCATATAAAACCCAAACTATCTGAGAAAGTGGTCAGCCTTCCAAATCCAGGGTTCCACGCTGAAAATGCTTTACACAGCGTATGCATTGTCAGAGGCCTCTTCTTCTCTCAGCAACATAGCATGGCAACTATTGAATAGCACTTATACCACATTACCAAGTACCTGAAGATGATTTAAAGCCTAGGGAGGAGGTGGATAAATTCTAGGACCTGAGCATCTGCTAATTTTGTCATCCTCGGGACGTCTGGACCAGTCCCCAGCAGCTACTGGGGACAATTGTACTACTTGTCAAAGTACAAGAAAGACTCCACAGAGGTGTTCCAGTCCACTGAAACACACAATGTTATTGGCACTGTTTGTGGGAAATGGTTAGCAGCCCGGTTTGAAATGTTCACCACTGTCTAGTCTAATGTAGCTGTAGCCCCGGGGATGGATTATAATGAAACTTTGTTGTGAAAATAAAGATGACAAGACAGCTTATATAAACAACTTCATTTCTATACTATATACTTAAGGACATCCAAACAGTACCTGTGGAATGTTCTTGATAATGGGCCCTGGCTGAATGAGAGGTGAAACATCCGCTTTGGAAGCAGCGACTGGTTTGGCGGGCGCTCTCCTCCTCTCCTCAGGGACAGTTATCAAGGTGACCTTGTCATTTACTTCCACAGGAGGAGCAACCTGGCCAGGAGGCCTGGAGGGAGCCGGTTCTTCCAGTGAGGGGTAAGTAAAATCCACTAAAATTCCCAAAGAGAATAACATTTGTTTTTTAAAGAACAGTAACTTCCATAAATAGTACTTATATTTTTCATGCATGTTACATGGGATAGTTAAACGTAAACTAAATGAAATAAAAATCATTAACAACCTTAAAGAAAACCCAGACTTCTGGAATGTCTGTTTTTTGTATATGCTGGGCATGGGGACTGAACTCAAGGGCCCTGGGTGCTGTCCCTGAGCATACGTGCTCAAGGCTCATGTTCTACCTCTTGAGCCACAGCTCCACCTCTTGCTTTTTGGTAGTTAACTGGAGATAAGAGCAACACTGGCTGGGCGCAGGTAGCTCATGCTTGTAATCCTAGCTACTCAAGATCTGAGGATCATGGTGCAAAACCAGCCCAGGTAGGGAACTCCACCAGACTCTTATCTCCAGTTAACCAACAGAAAACTGGAAGTGAAGCTGTGGCACAAAAAGTGGTAGATCACTAGCCTTGAGTGAAAAAGCTCAGGGATAGTACTCAGGCCCTGAGATCAAACCCGACAACAGAAGAAGACTGGGGGTGGGGAAGAGTCTCAGACTTTCCTGCCAGAGCTGCCTTGGAACTGTTATCCTCAGATCTCAGCATCCTGAAAAGCTAGGATTACAGATGTGAGCTATTTGGTTTTTGTTTTGTTTTATTGCCTGAAAGCAAATGGCAGCAGAATAAACAAACACTGACATATACGATTAAGAATATAGCCATGGGGGCTGGGAAGGTGGCTCAGTGGTAGAGTGCTTGCCTTGCATGCCTGAGGCCCTGGGTTCCATTCCTCAGCACCACATAAGCAAAAAGAAAAAAGTCAGAAGTGGCTCAAGTGGTAGAGCGCTAGCCTTGAGCTGAAGAGCTGAGGGACAGCGCCCAGGCCCAGAGTTCAGGCCCCACAACCGGACCCCCCCCCCCCCCAAAAAAAAGAATATAACCATGGAAACATAATATATTTTCTATTTTACTGAAGCAATTTTAAACAAAAATGTTCACATACATACATGAGATAGACACCTCTTCATGCTTGCCTCGTGGGGGTGGAGTGACCTTGGCATTCGTTGTGTACTGGGGATAGCAAAGGAGCCAGTTTTCATAGCCTCCCTCTAAAACCAGAGGCTCGCTGCGCAGGACACTTTTACTTTCCCACTGGAAAATAGGGAATTACATTTTTACTGTTTCAGTCTCAAAACTCTTCCCTTCAAGACAAGACTCATTTTCTACATGATGCAAACAGGACAAATAAATGTAAGAGTTAACAGTAGATAATAGATGTAGATGGCGTTTTAAGAGCTTTTTGTACTATTTTAAAAAGACAGAAACTACACAAATGATTCATGGTCCTTAGGGGGAAAAAATTAGAAAACAAAACATGAAGTGAAAACTCCCTCACCACTCAGAAATATCACTTAACATTTTGTAGCTTTTTTTGCCGGTCGTGGGACCTGAACTCTGGGCCTGGGTGCTGTCCCTCAGCTCTTCAGCTCAAGGCTAGCGCTCTACCACTTGAGCCACAACACCACTTCTGGCTTTTTCTGCTTATGTGGTGCTGAGGAATCAAACCCAGGGTCTCATGTATGCTTGGCAAGCACTTGACCACTGAGCCACCTTCCCGACCCTTGTAGCTTATTATTATGTAACATTCTGTAGTTTGATTCTTAGGAATTTTCAATCTAGACTCACACTTCTGTTGTGGACTTTATTTTTATTAAAGCAATGCAATCCTTAGGATGCTGCTTTTCTTTCATATGGACATCTTTTATTAATAAATAGCTGTATTGTCACTTATAAGGACTACTCTACTTTGGGCCAATGATTATTTATTTATTGGCTGTAGGACCTGGACCTTGTCCCTCAACGTTTTTGCTCAAGGCTAGCACTCCATCATTTTGAGCCACAGCACCACTTCTGGTTTTCTGATGGTTAACCTGAGATAAGAATCTCTCAGACTTTTCTGCCCAGGCTGGCTTCAAACTGAGATCCTCAGATCTAAGCCTTCTGAGCAGCTGGGATTACAGATATGAGCCACCATTGACTGGCTGACCACCACTCTATTTTAGCACACCAATAATGTGTACACACACACACACACACACACACACACACCCTAATCACCTCATTGACTGGCTGACCACCACTCTATTTTAGCACACCAATAATATGTACACACACACACACACACACACACACACACACACACACACACACACACACACACACACACACACACACACACACACACACACACACACACACACACACACACACACACACACACACACACACACACACACACACACACACCCCTAATCACCTCTCTCAGGGAAACTCCAGGAGCGGAAGTACTGACAAGAACATTTAAAAAGATTTGAGTGTGTATTGTTCATCTTTAAGGTGATCATTTAAAAATAAACACTTGTGTGTTTGTTTTGGGTAATTTCCTAGGAATAGAGTTGCTGGGTTTAAAAGTTTGATAGGTAACACCAAAATGCTGTTAGAAAAAAGGCAAGCTAATTTACTCACTCAACCAACAGTTTATAACAATGCTTAGTATAAATGTTTGTATTTTTACCAAGTTGGGGGACACAGGACAGTTTCTTGTTTTAACCAGAATTTCTCCCTTCCTGAGGTTAGACATCTTTTCCCATGCTTACTAGCCATTTCATATTGCTCGATGATTTAACCTAATCTGTTGCCCAATTCCTAGAGTTGCTGGTTATTTTTTTTTTTTGGGGGGGGGGGGAGACTGGTCATGGGGCTTGAACTCGGCTTGGGCGCTGTCCCTCAGCTTTTCAGCTCAAGGTGAGCGCTCTACCGCTTGAGCCACAGCCCCACTTCTGGTTCTCTAGTGGTTTATTTGAGATAGAGTCTCCTGGACTTTCCTGCCCGGGGCTGGCTTGGGCCCGTGATCCTCAGATCTCAGCCTCCTGAGTAGCGCCCGGCTCTATTTTCTTATTAAACAGTAGATATAGGGAAATCAGAGCTTCATCACCTATTTTACCACAAAGTATTTTCCTTTTACTTTATTCATATTTTGTTTGTTTTTTTGGACAGTGTTGTTTTGTAGCTGGCCTCAAACTCATAATCCTCCTGCACTGACCTCCCAGGGGCTACAGTCACAGTTGGGTGCCACCGCGCCTGGCTTTATGGTATCTTTTATAGTTAAATGAACCATCTTCCAATCTTCCTCTAGAACATCTTGGTTTGGCATCAAGATAATAAAAAAGAAAATGCCAATGCTGATTCTAGGAGTTTACTCTTAATGTACACATGTATACTTTTGATCAGCGTAGAATCTAGGGCATTCCACATGGTTGCTCAGCGAGCACTCTACCACTGGAGCCATGCCCTCCAGCTAGCCTTTTTTTTTTTGGGTCCAGTCGTGGGGCCTGAACTCTGGGCTTTGGTGTTGTCCCTCAGCTCTTCAGCTCAAGGCTAGCGCTCTACCACTTGGGCCACAGTGCCACTTCTGGCTTTTTTCTTTTTGCTTATGTGGTGCTGAGGAATCGAACCCAGGGCCTCATGCATGCAAGGCAAGCGCTCTACCACTGAGCCACCTTCCCAGTCCCTCCAGCTGGCCTTTTTGGGATGAGAGTCTCACAGCCTCTCCTTCTCAGGCTGGCTTTGGACTGCAGTCCTCCAGACCTGTCTCCTGAGTGACTAGGATTATAGGCATGAGCCACTGGTACCCAGCTTGATTTGAAACTTTTTTTTGTCGGTTGTAGAGTTTGAACTCTGGGCCTGGGTGCTGTCCCTCAGCTCTTCAAGGTTATTGCTCTACCACTTGAGGCAGACCATCACTTCCAGTTTTCTGAGTGTTTTATTGGAGATAAGAGTTTCATGGGGGGCTGGGAAGGTGGCTCAGTGGTAGAGCACTTGCCTTGCATGCATGAGGCCCTGGGTTCGATTCCTCAGCCCACATAATCAAAAAGAAAAAAGCCAGAAGTAGCGCTGTGGCTCAAGTGGTAGAGTGCTAGCCTTGAGCTGAAGAGCTGAGGGATAGTGCCCAGGCCCAGAGTTCAGGCCCCCTGACCGGACCCAAACAAACAAACAAAAAAGAGTTTCATGGACTTTTTCTGCCTGGACTAGCTTTGAACCATGATCCTCAGATCTTAGCCTCCTGAGTAGTTAGGATTACAGGCGTGAGCCACCACTAATTTTTTTTTATCTGAAATTTAAAAAATTCTACAATTAGGAACTAAAGGTGTGGCTCAAATGGTAGAGCTCTAGCTATAAGCAGAGAGAGAGAGAAAGAAAGAGAGATAGAGAAAGAACAAACCTGCCCAGAGTTCAAGCCCCCAGTACATTTTTGTGACAGTACTGGCACCAAAAAACAAAAACAAAAAAAGTTCTTTAATCAAAGCATGATGGATCTTTTTTTTAAGAAAAGTGACTCACCATGACTTTTCAACAACCAGAGAAGGGTTGCAGTAACAGTAAACTAACAAGGAAACTTGCTAACCTTGAAAAGTGCATCTTTCAGACTCCGTAAAGTTGTTCCAAGCTGTAAATCTTTTGCAGAACTAAACCAGTCAAGAAGTACCACATAATCCACATTTCCCCTTTTCATCCATGTGTCCTTTGAATCATCCGGGAGGTTTGCTTCAATCCGACTAGCAGTGACTCTGAAATGTATTCATATTTGTATAGAGTTGACAAAAGATCCTAGTATATGAATATAAGACATTGAGTTTGTTTTATATGCCACAGCAAACTTTTTATTTTATTGATAGTCATGGGGCTTGAACTCTGGGCCTGGGCACTGTCCCTCAGCTCTTCAGATCAAGGCAAGTGCTCTACCACTTGAGCCACAGTGCCACTTCCAGTTTTCTGGTGGTTAATTGAGAGAAGAGTCTGACGGCCTTTCCTGCCCAAGCTGGCTTTGAATCGTGATTCTCAGATCTGAGCTTCCTGAGTAGCTAGGATTACAGGCGTGAGCCACCAGTGCCTGTCTGACAGAGCAAACTTTAAGTAGAATATTTTATCAAGTAGGACTGCGTATTGCGATAATGAATGGCTAAACATTCAACACTTTTGCTACCGCAGGCTGAAAAATGGTTTGCAACGGAAAGAAATGGACTCACAATTCTGACTCCTTTAAGAAAGGGGAGGGGAGAGAAGCCAAAGCAGAAAAACAAAGGAAGTCATCCAGGTCCAAATGTAAACAGCTGGGGTAACATCACTCAGATTTCCACTTACTTACACACACAATCAATACACAGCATAATGTGTCTTTCATAGACGCATGGCAGTTGACTGGTGCCAGACACTGTGTGAGGTGCCTTCCCCTCAGTAATCAGTCCTGGCGGGCTCTCATTATCCCCCACTTCACATACCAAGGAGGAAACTAGGGCACAGTGACACTGCTCCAGTTACAGATGGCCAAAGCGCAGGCGATCTGGCTCACATCTATGCTCTTACCTACGCGGCTGCTGATGGTACCAACTCTGAATAATACCAACTCTACATCAAAGCAGGCTAATCATTTCATCTTGCTTTTTTGTTTTTGGTCATGGGGCTTGAACTCTGGGCCTGGGCACTGTCCCTCAGCTCTTCAGCTCAAGGAGAGTGCTCTGCCACTTGAGCCACAGCACCATTTCTGGTTTTCTGGTGGTTTACTGGAGATAAGAGTGTCATGGACTTTCATGCCCAAGCTGGCTTTGAATCGCAATCCTCAGATCTCAGCCTCCTGAGTAGCTAGGATTACAGGTGTGAGCCAGCAATGCCCAGCTCTATGATTATTCTCCCTTATCTTCTCTAGAGTTGCTAGTAACTCTATGAGGCTTCCAGCCCTACACACAGGAGATACTCTAGAGTGCTCTCTGACGTCACCCTGCCCTGTCTGCCTATGCAAACAAAAGCGCCACTGAGGCAACACTGTGTTATTTGCTCACTGATTTAGCCTCCGCATAACTCAGCCTGAGTAAATATTTGTAGGCCAAGTGAATCAATGAGTAATAAAGATTCATTCCTCCAAGTAAGAAGTACACTATTCCCAGGCAAAGAACTTAACATAGGCAGGCATTTGATACTTAACTGATAATACTGCAAGCTGAGCAGGACTAGTGAAACTTTTATATGCAAGAAGATCTAAATGATTTGGATTAAAAAAGAAAAAAAAGTGGCCGGGCGCTGGTGGCTCACGCCTGTAATCCTAGCTACTCAGGAGGCTGAGATCTGAGGATCGCGGTTCAAAGCCAGCCCCGGCAGGAGAGACCGTGAGACTCCTATCTCCAATAAACCACTAGAAAACCAGAAGTGGCACTGTAGCTCAAGTGGTAGAGCGCTCGCCTTGAGCTGAAGAGCTGAGGGACAGTGCCCAGGCCCAGAGTTCAAGCCCCACGACCGACAAAAAAGAAAAAGAAAAAAAAAGAAAAAAAAGTAATATAAAATGCTGTCCCATATTTTCCTTCTTGACAGAGATCAAAATGCTTGAGCTACAAAGAATGACAAAAAAGTGAAATATGATAGTCTTAGGGATCATTTCCAACTCCAGAAATCTGTTTATCTGAATACTGGTTTCAGGATGAACACCTTTTAGAAAACAGTCCTATCAACCAGTGTTTCCCAATTTCCAGTCTTGTGTCACCTGGACAATTTGGTATAAATCTGCTCTGTCCTGTACTTTATTAGTATAATTTAACAGTTAATTTACTCAGTTTAAAATAATCTTAATCTTTTAGGTAACTTTAAGAAAATATATATCCTTAGGTGGCTTAGTGGTAGAGCGCTGGCCTTGCATGCCTGAGGCCCTGGGTTCAATTCCTCAGTACTACATAAGCAAAAAGAAAAAAGCCGGAAGTGGCGCTGTGGCTCAGGTGGTAGAGCGCTAGCCTTGAGCTGAAGGGCTGAGGGACAGCGCCCAGGCCCAGAGTTCAGGCCCTATGACTGGACCGGAAAAAAAAAAAAAAAAGAAAACATATATCCTTATACCCACGGGAAAACAGCATCATATCTAATACATTAACAGCCAAGTCTAAAAATCAGGAAATTATGCTGTGTTCACAGACTACAACACCACCACATAGCAATGAGAATAAACAAACCTCAAGTACACAAAATAATGGAAAGGACTCTCAAAACTGTATCAGAGGCTAGCCATAAAAAGACCACAGGTTGTATGATTCCATTTATATAAAATACGAAAACAGCCAGGCATGCTCACATGTGTCAACAATTCCATCACTTTTCTTGCTGTGGCAGGAAGAATGAAAGTTTGAGGCCAGTGTGGGCAACATAGAAAGAATTTTTAAAAAGGCCGTATTATCTAATCACACAATGACTTACCCTGGACTGATCGCTTCTTCAGGAACACTGAGTGAATTTAAGATACAGGAATGCTGGTAGTCCCGAGTTCTTCGAGCATCCATTATAATCAGGCTGGTGTTTTCATCCATCATGAGTGCATACAGCTCCTTTGCTGTGATTGCCCCTTGGGAGTGAGAGAGTCAGCGTGGGTGATGAGAAGGCGCAGGCCTGTGTGCAGGCTTTCCCACACACAGGACCATAGCTTCTACAACAGCAAAGTATACTTGGCGTCAGACACCTGCTATCCCACCACACCATTTACAATCTTTTTTCTTTTGTTTTGTGCAGATCTTCAGAGCTGAATTAAGGACCTGGGTGCTGTCCCTGAGCTTTTGTGCTCAAAGTTAGTGCTCTACCATGTTGAGACAGTACCATTTAAGGCTTTTTGGTGGTTCACTGGAGAGAAGAGTCTCATGAACTTTCCTGCCTGGGCTGGCTTTGAACTGAGATTCTCAGACCTCAGCCTCCTGAGTATCTAGGATTTTAGGTGTAAGCCACCACACCAGGCTCATTTATAATCCTTGAAACTAACATTACATATAATTTGTGTTCAATTCATTAAGAAGCCTGTTTGTTGCCCAATGAAGATTTAAGGGTCAAAGCTGGGGCTAGGCGCACTGTAGCTCAGCACTGCAGGTGCCACGTACACAAAAATCAACAGCTGCTGCTGAGGTTACCACCTCTACTTGGTGTTGGCTCTGTTACTATAAAAAAAAAAAAATGAGGGCTGGGAAGGTGGCTCAGTGGTAGGGTCTTTGCCTTGCATGCCGGAGGCCCTGGGTTCGCTTCCTCAGCACCACATAAGCAAAAAGAAAAAAAAGCCAGAAGTGGCACCGTGGCTCAAGTGGTAGAGCGCTAGCCTTGAGCTGAAGAGTTGAGGGACAGCACCCAGGCCTAGAGTTCAGGCCCCACGACCGGACCCAAAAAAAAAAAAAGAAAAAAAGAAAAGAACTAATACATGTATCATATGAAAATATTCTGTTAAAAAGAAAGTAAAATAAAGCTCTCAGAGTAGAGTCCCCAACCTGGGCTTCTCCAGGCCTAAACCAGTGGCTACACAGTCTTTTAAGAACAAGTCCACTGAGCCCCCTGCTTGATGCTCATTAGAAGGCTCCCACACAGAAAGGAACAAAGATTATTGTTTTCCAAGAAATCTAACAAAAAGAAAGGAAGTGAAGTTACAGCAACTATTTGCTTTGTGTGGGAAGGGCAATCTGACAAAAGATTCCCTGTTATTTTTACCTCAGCTGTACCACCTGAAGTGAAAGACTACTACACACCCCCTTCCTTTCTAACCAACCAGACTTCTTTGACAACAGATAAGATTACACAGCCAAAAGCTTGTAACTGAGAACATGTAAGCATGAGGAGATACAAGGGAACAAATAGCTCAAAACTGGGGCTGGGAAGGTGGCTCAGTGGTAGAGTGCTTGCCCTGCATGCATGAGGCCCTGGGTTCAATTCCTCAGCACCACATAAGCAGAAAAAGCCAGAAGTGGCACTGTGGTAGAGCACTAGCCTTGAGCTAAAGAGTTGAGGGACAGTGCCTAGGCCCAGAGTTCAGGCCCTAGGACCAATAACAACAACCACAAAAAAAGTTCAAAATTGGCTTTTGAATAAATCAATAACTGTTTCCAAGAAGGTACCACACTTGGTTTATTCTAAAAACAACTGACAAAATTCCCAGCAGAAAATGTATTTAAGGACGTAAATATGAGAGGGAAAACTTCTCTAGTGGATCAAAGTATACTCCTTATAAAAATACTCTTTATAATAATCCAAATAACCCAAATAACCCCAATTATTAAAGGTTTTTGGGGGGGAGTGATGATAGTGATACTTCTTAAATAATTAATATTACAACCTAGACTTACAAGTATTAACAGCAAATACTTAAGTTTACTATGACTTAATTAAGAGTTTACTGTGAATGAGCAGTCTCAATCTTCACAATAACCCTATGAGGCAGGTTCTGTAATTATCCCCACTTTCCAGAGGAGGAAGCTGAGGTTAAGTAACAAGGCCAAGACCCCACTGTATTCCACCTAGGCAATCTGATTTTGGAGAGCCCATGCTTTTACTCCTATGCTACATGGCATCCAGGCAAGAAAGCGAGTCAACTGTACATAATGAATAAAATATACCCCTTAGCAAATAAATATAGAAGCTAAGGCATTTTTGATATAATTGTACACTGTAGGAAAAGGGATAAGGTATACTTAGATAATATACACAATGCTAAGAATCTCACAATGAAAAATCCCGTCTCTCCTGGTAAAAATGTCTCAAGAGCACAGAGGACATGTTCTTTCTGTATACACTTACCTTTTTCCACTGTTTCACTCTTTTCGTTCTTTTCACCATTGATCTAGTTCATAGGAAAAAAAAAAAGGTTTCAATTCCCATAGAAATCAAAAGTTCAATTTTATTTAATTGAAACGTGATATGCCAAGTAATGACATTTTATGAAAATACAGCTGAATAATATTAGCATTACCAGAGTCTTTGGCAGTAGAAAACAACTAAAAAAAACTAGAACCATATTGGAATCACAGTACCTTCCTCAAATTTTTCCTTAATTAAATGCCAAAACAATTTAAAGTCAATTATTACAGAAACTTTAATATTTAATTAGAAAGTGCTTTTTACAAGCAAACAATTTCTAACTACCCACTGTTCTATATAATTAAAGGAAAATTAAGTAACACTTATGTAATTTATATTTTCTAACCTAGACAACATAGAGTAATACAATCTTTTATAGATGGGAAACCAAATCCTTCTGGCATCTATTAACTAAAATCATAAAAGACATGATACAATACTATAATATCAAGCACACAGTAGCATCTATGAAGCACTTTTGCCATGAAACCATAGATGAATCTGACTTCAGGAAACAAAGGGAAAATGGGAAGCTGGGCCACTGCTCACGCCTGTAATCCACCTGGGCAGAAAAGTCCCCATGAGATTCTTATCTCTAATAAACTACTCAAAAAACTAAAAGTGGCACTGTGGCTCAAGTGGTAGAGCATTAGCCTTGAGCAAAAAGAGGTTCAGGGACAGTGCCCAATCCCTAAATTCAAACCTCAAGACCAGCAAAAAAAAAAAAAAAAAGGAAAATGGGAAATAGGACAGAGGAGCAAGTAGTCAAGCACACACAAAATGCAGCTGAGGTCAGGTGCTGGCAGCTCATACCTGTCATCTTAGCTACTCAGGAGGCTGTGATCTGAGGATCATGGTCTAAAGCCAGCTTGGACACTAAAGGCCATGAGACTCTTATGTCCAATTAACCATCAGAAAACTGGAAGTGGTGCTGTGGGTCAAAGTGGTAGAGCACTCGCCTTGAGCAAATAAAAGCTCAGGAATAGCACGTAGGCCCTGAGTTCAGCCCCATGACCAGAAAGGAAAAAAAAAAAAAAAGCAACTCAATGTCCAGTATTACATCAAGTGGAGACTACTGCAGAAACTTAAAAAGCATAGCAGCAAAAATAAGACACTTAGCCCACTTTGATTCTTTTCTTTTTTTTTTTTTGGGTCCAGTCGTGGGGCCTGAACTCTGGGCCTGGGCGCTGTCCTTCAGCTCTTCAGCTCAAGGCTAGTGCTCTACCACTTGAGCCACAGCGCCACTTCCAGCTTTTTTTCTTATGTGGTGCTGAGGAATCGAACCCAGGGTCTCGAGCATGCAAGGCAAGTTCTCTACCACTGAGCCACCTTCCCAGCCCAGCCCACTTTGATTCTGATTCAACAGATCAACTCAAAGTCATTTTACAGCCGCTGGAGAAATCTTGAGTATTGATAGAGTCAATACCTATTATGTTAAGGACTTACTGTTAACTTCATGAGGTACAAACCAGGATTGTAGGAAAAAGAAAATCTTCCCTTCTGAGCCAGTGGCTTATGCTTGTAATCCTAGCCACTTTAGAGGCTGAGCTCTGAGGATGGAGACTGAAGCTAGTCCAGGCAGGAAAAGTCTACAAGATTCTTATCTCCAATCAACCACCAAAACAAACAAACAAACAAAACACTCGAAGTAGAGCTGTGACTCCAGTAGAAGCGTGCCAGCCTTGAGCAAGAAATCTAAGGGACAATGCCCAGGCCCTGAGCTCTAACCCTTGTACTAGCACAAAAAAAGAAAAGAAAATCTTCACCAATCCAGATGCACTGTATTTATAAACTGCTTTGATAAATGACAACTTCTTTGTACAACTATTTAAAGATAATTTTTTAAAAAAAATCTCCCCTTTTCAGCTATCCTGAAATATAGCAGCACACTAGCTACACTTCGCTTTGGAACACCCTAACAAAAATAAAATGACAGGAGACAGGTAAAAAAGCATGGTAATTGTCACTTAGTTCTTCCCAAGCAAATTATCTGACAAACAAGTCTGAATGTTACTTTACGCAATAAATGTGAAATACCCTTTGGGTTTTGTTTTTGGAGTCCAATACATTCTCCAAAGGACCTCTAGCGGAAGCGCCCACGTCATCTCTCCCTGAGCCCTCCCGTTGCTGCTGCTGGAGCTGCTCTTCCTCCTGCCTGTCCTTTTCTTCAAGTTTTTTCCGAACTTCAGCTTCTTCATATCTTGAAAAGAAAAGTCAGGTGCCATTTACTGGCATGCAGTGGAAAAGAAAGGAGCTTATATTTCAAAAACGGAGTGTCCTGTCCTGAGAATAGTTTATGGCTGTAAAGTCTCTTCCCTCTCAATGGAATCCAATTCTGCTAGAGTTCCACTATAATCCACAAGTCACACACTGCCCCTCCCAGGCCATCTGTACATTCCAACTGCCTGAGAACTCAATCTCTGCTGCTCCAGAATTGATAACCTGCACCCTTTCTGATACTCCAAATCTGCTGTCATTCCACTTTAGAAGGATTTATGTAAAATAAATCTATGTAAAATAAATGGTCAAATACCATAGTTTATGATTTAGACTGAAAATGTTAAAATGAGAGGAAAAGGTATCAGTTCTTTGCTGGGGTTTGTTGTTGTTTCTAAAGTTAGCAGATACTTAATGAATCTGGAACCGAGCAGCATGAGGGAACAGACAATATCAAGAACTCACAATCAGGGCAGGACAAGGGTCAGCAACAGAGTACCTGCCTGGCAAGCCTGAGGCCCTGAGTTAAAACCCCAAAACTGCTACCTGGTGCCTTAGTTCAATGGCAAGGCTATTGAGTTTCAAATCCAGGTGAAGAGAGGAGGGTAGGTGAGGGGGAGAAGGGAAGACAACAGAGGAGAGAGAAAGACTAAGGTCAATAGTTACTAAAGAACAAATCAAAGTCGGGCACTGGTGGCTCATGCCTATAATCCAAGCTGCTCTGGAGGCTGGGATTTGAGGATTGAGGTTCAAAGCCAGTCCAGGCAGGAAGGTACGTGAGACTCTTATCTTCAATGAACCACCAGAAAACCGGAAGTGGTCCTGTGGCTCAAGTGGTAGAGCACCTGGAGCTGAAGGGCTGAGGGATAGCGCCCAGGCCCAGAGTTCAAGCCCCACGACCGACAAAAAAAAAAAAAAAGAACAAATCAATAGTTTTCCTTTGATTCCTTTGGTACATGCACTCAGAATATCTCACAATGAAAAGTTTCTAAATGATCAAACACAAATATGGGAAGGCAATGGTGACTAGTCAAATAACCACATTGTGCTTCATTTGCTAAAATTTAATTTAAGAATGACTTCTAAGCTTGAACTTATTATTATTTTTTTTTTGTCTGGGGATAGAAGGAGCGCTTCTCCAGGTCCTTCCCAGATATCTGCTTGCTGCAACCTAAACCCCACAAAAATCCACAACCAAACCACATCAAACCAACAGTCAAACATACAAGATATGAACAGCACATAACACTGACCTAAATATATTATATATATATATATATATATATATATAAATTACATATATATATATATTCTTTTATTTTTTGGTCGGTTGTGGGGCTTGAACTCAGGGCCTGGGTGCTGTCCCTGAGCTTTTTCACTCAAGGCTAGCATTCTACCACTTGGGCCATAGTGCCACTTCCAGTTGTTTTGGTGGTTAACTGGAGATAAAAGTCTAAAAGTCTCGGATGGGGGTAGGGGGGATGGGATGGGAGGGGATGGGAAGGGGAAACAAAGGAAGAGGCAACAATGCTTGATAAGAAATGCACTCACTACCTTGCCCATGTAATTGTAACCCCTCTGTACAGTATGTTCATAATAAAAAAATAAATAAATAAAATAAAAACCTTCCATTAAAAAAAAGTCTGGGGCTGGGGGTTTAGCCCAGCAGAAGGGCACCCGCCTGGTGCGCGTAAGGCCCTGGGTTCGGTCCTCAGCCCTGGAAAAAAAAAGTAAAAAAAAAAAAAAAAGTCTAAGAGTCTCATGGCCTACCCAGCCTGGGCTAGCTTTAAACCAGAATCCTCAAATCTGTATGTACATAATGTTCACATGGCATGCATGACAAAACGATGCTCTCCATACCAATACCATACATCATTTAAAAGAAATACAAGTGGGGCTGGGAAGCTGGCTCAGTGGTAGAGCGCTTGCCTTGCATGTATGAGGCCCTGGGTTCGATTCCTCAGCACCACATAAGCAAAAAGGAAAAAGATGGAAGTTTGAAGTGGCTCAAGTGGCAGAGCGCTAGCCTTGAGCTGAAGAGCTGAGGAACAGTGCCCAGGCCCAGAGCTCAGGCCCCACGACTGGACCCCCCCCCCCCCCCCAAAAAAAAGAAATACAAGAAGTGATATGATGCATCTCAGCCAAACTTCACTTTACCAAGATGATTCAAACATCTATCAAGGTCCCTTTGCCCAGTGACAACTGACACTCCCATAAATGCTTTTCTTCACTAAGACAATGTAAACTAGTACTTATTAATTTGCCTGCTAAAGAATTAAGCAACCACAGATTTCTCTCTTCATTATAAAAACATTTGAGGATTTATCTCAACAGTGACTAAACTTTTTTTTTTTGTCAGTTATGGTGCTTGAACTCTGGGCCTGAGTGCTACTGTGAGCTCTTCAGCTCTACCACTTAAGCCACAGAGCCACTTCTGGTTTTCTGGTGGTTAACTGGAGATAGGAATCTCATGGAGTTTCCTGCCCAGGCTGGCTTTGAACCTCGATCCTCAGATCTCAGCCTCCTCCTGAGCAGACAGGATTACAGGCATGAGCCACCAGCACTCCACTTGAAAAAAACATTTTAAAATAGCAAAAACAATAATTTTACCATTTGAACTCAACTTTGGTTGTTTTTATCTCAGGGGGCGGGAGAGGGAACAGCTTAGTTTAAAGAGCCTGCCTGGTGGGCTACAAAAAATATGCTTCAAATTTATTTTTAGCTCTGTCTATTGGCACAATTCCATAAATTCCAGTACTCAGGAGGCACAGGTGGGAGGAGGGTAAGGTCTAGTCAGTTTGGGCTATATAGCAAGACCAGGCTAAAAAGAAATAAACCCTAGCCATACACAAATTAACAAGCTATCATGGACATTTGTTTTCTCTCCTGACTATTATTGGGCTATCCCTGGGAAACCAAGATCAACTTGTTCTTTTGGCTTTTCCTCCCAACACATACTGTACTTAGTTTGTAATTATTTCATAAGCTTGGTAGGCTAGTTATGGCAAATTCCAGAATTTGATTTTGTGGGGGAAGGGGGTGAGGGTGGGGTAGCTGCAACTCAGGGCCTCACACTTTAACCTGGCTTTCTTGCTTATCACCACTCTGGTGTGTCTACCTCGTAAGTCACGCCTCCAACTCTCAGGTTTCAGATACTTGAATAGCTAGGATTATATACGTGAGCTGCCAGTGACAACTCAAAATGCGTGGGGGTTTTTTAGGACTCCGGTTCTGAGGCTTGAATCAGAGCCCATGCGCTGTCCCTGAGGGTTTTTGCTCATCAAGTGCCCCACCACTCATGCCACAGCTCCCCTTCTAGCTTTTGGTGATTAACTGGAAATAAGAGCCTCACAATCTCACTTCCTGACCTGGACTGGCTTTGAACCACAAATCCTTGGGTCACAGCCTCCTAATTAACTCCTAATCCTAGATTACAGGGATGAGCCACTGGCACCTTGCAATCAAAATGTGACTTTAAAAAAATACTCAATTTTTGTAATTCAATATGTGCATATCAAAATGAGTACTTCATACTTCATTCTTAAAAGACCAGTTTCCAGTAGTATATTGCACATGGGACAGCTGAAAACTTACTTTCCTAAAGAATCCTGTCAGATGGGGCTGGGAAGGTGGCTCAGTGGTAGAGCTCTTGCCTTGCATGCATGAGGCCCTGAGTTTGATTCCTCAGCACCACGTAAGCAAAAAGCAAAAAGCTGGAAGTGGCACTGTGGCTCAAGTGGTAGAGCGCTAGCCTTGAGCTGAAAAGCTGAGGGACAGCTCCCAGGCCCAGAGTTCAGGTCCCATGACTGGACCAAAAAAAAAAAAAAAAAGAATCCTGTCAGAGGGGCTGAGAAGGTGGCTCAGTGGTAGAGCGCTTGCTTTGCATGCATGAAGCCCTGGGTTCGATTTTTCAGCACCACATAAGCAGAAAAAAGGCAGAAGTGGTGCTTGTGGCTCAAGTGGTAGGGCACTAGCCTTCAGCTGAAGAGCTGAGGGACAGCGTCCAGGCCCAGAGTTCAGCCCCCACAACTAGCAAAAAAAAAAGAATCTTGTCAGAAATTTATAAATTCTGTAACTTTAAAAAATAGGCTTGATTTCATACCAAATACACTGGTACTTACTTTAATAATCTATAACTCTAAACACTAAGAATATAGGAATATACTATAAGATTTTATTTTTGGCATTACTGGGGTTCATACCTGCCAGGCAGGGACTCTACTACTTGAGCCATGTCTGCAGCAATATCTTATCTTCGTTAATTTTTTTTTTTTTCATTTTGCTTAGGGCTAGCCTCAGACTGTAATTCTCTTACCGCTACTTCCTGCAGAGGGAATACAGATATATACCACAACACCAAGCCCATTTTGTTAAGATTGGGTCCCAGGGCTAGGAAGGTGGCTTAGTGGTACGTGCTTGCCTACCATGCATGAACCCCTGGGTTCAATTCCTCGGTACCACATACACAGAAAAGGCTGGAAGTGGTGCTGCGGCTCCAGTGGTAGAGTGCTAGCCTTGAACAAAAGCAGCTCAGGGACAGTGCCCAGGCCCTGAGTTCAAACCCCACGACTAGCAAAAAAAAAAAAAAAAAAGATTGCTAATGTTAGCCTTGAACTGTGATCCTACCTAGTGGCTGAGATTACAGATGTATGCCAGGCCGTCCCAATTAACATGGACTTAGGTCTAAGAACTGAGGTATTATATGCACAGACATACAAAGGATAAAGCTTTAAGTATTTTCTTCATCCTCTAAGTTTACATTTTTATAAAGATTTCATAATAATGGTTGTACCTGAGTTTAAGGCTCTCAGAGAGTCTTTCAGCTTCTTCAATAGCTTTTTTGATGTTGGTGAGTCCAACCATTGAATTATAGTAGTCCTAAAATGACAGGAAAGCCACCCCACAGTCAGTACTGGGCACTGCGTAACAGGACTCATGTTGAACACACTTAATTTATTGTGATTATAATACACGGGAACTTTAGGCAAAAACATTTATTATATATATATTATATATATATATATATATATATATATATTGCCATATATATATGGCAAAAACATTTATTATAGCCAGGTATCAGGGGCTCACACCTGTAATCCTAGCTACTCAAGGGGCTGAGGTCTGAGGATCACAGTTGAAAACCAGCCTGGCCAGGAAAGTCCATGAGACTCTTATCAGACTCTTATCTCCAATTAACCATCAGAAAACTGATGCTGTGGCTCAAAGCAGTAGAGCGTTAATCTTGAGCAAAAGAGCTCAGGGACAGTGCTCAGGACCCGAGTTCAAGCCCAAAAAGAACAACAACAAAAAGAACATTATAGCTGATGTTTGTTAAACTTTATGCCTTTGTATTTTTTGTTTTTTTTTTTTTTTTGGGGAGGGAGGGTCCAATCATGGGGCCTGAACTCTGGGCCTGGGCGCTCAGCTCTTCAGCTCAAGGCTAGCGCTCTACCACGTGAGCCACAGACTTTTTGCTTATGTGGTGCTGAGGAATCGAACCCAGGGTCTCAGGCATGCAAGACAAGCGCTCTACCACTGAGCCACCTTCCCAGCCCTATGCCTTTGTAAATGTATGATTTGTTCTCTAGAAGTCTCAGAAGTGTCTATTTAGCCATTAATATGCTAAAGAAAATCTACCATGTAATAAACTATTTGTAAACAACCATCAAGAGGTTTATAAGCCATGTGCTGGTGGCTCAAGCCTAAAATCCTAGTTCATACTTATAAGCCTATAATCCTAGCTACTCAGTAGGCTGAGATCTGAGCATCTAAGAATTTTGAAGCCAGTTTGAAGCCAGCCTGGGCAGGAAAGACTCTGAGTCTCTTATCTCCAAAACCATTTGAAGAATGCCAGAAGTGGTGCTGTGGCTTAAAGTGGTAGGGTGCTAGGCTTGAGCAAAAGCAGCTCCTGAGTTCAAGCCCCAGGACCAGAAAAAAAAATAATAAAAAAGTATAACTATTCTTCTGTTGTTTTTTGCAGGGCAGTAGGGTTTGACTCTAGGATCTGTCACTAGCTAGGCAGGTGCTCTACTGCTGAGTCACACTTCTGGCCTTTGTTTGTGATTGTTTTTGAGCTAAGTCTCACTTCCTGCCTGATCTGCCTGCCTGTCATAGCTGGAGGACAGGCATGCCCACAGCCTCCAGCTTTCCTTAGTTTAGATTTTTCTACCCAAGCTGGTCTGGAACTACAATCTTCCCAATTTTTAGCCTCCCACATAACTTAGGATGATGGGTGTGTGCCACCATACCCAGCCTGGGCTGAAAAAGTCTCAAGTCTCATATACTTTTCTGCCAAGGCTAACCTGGAACCACAATTCTACCAATCTCAGTCTCTGAAGTAGCTAGAATTGCAGCTGTGAGCCACTGGTGCCCAGCTTACTATTCTTAAAAAGTACTAAAGAGCAAAGTTATCAAGACCAAAAATATGTTTTGGTCTTGGTCTTGATAAAAGGATATACCAAGTTTTGTTTTGTTTTTTTAAATCCAGTCTCGGAAAAAAAAATACTAAAGCAAATTATACAAATGCACAAAGCCTGGAGATTTTGTTTTCTTTCTGTGTACTAGTACGGAGGCTTGAACTCAGGGCCAGGGCACTCTCGCTCTTAAGTTTTTCTGCTGAAGGCTCCACTCTACCACTTGAACAGCAGCTCCACTTTTGGCTTTTATTATATTTGGAGATAAGAGTCTCAGAGACTTTCCTGCCTGGGCTGGCTTTGAATCTTGATTCTCAGATCTCAGTCTCTTGAGTAGCTGAGTTACAGGTGTGGGCCATCAGTGTTGGCAACTGATTGACTGATTGCAACAGCATCTTGCTATGTTGCTCAGGTTGGCCTGAAACTCCTGGACTGAGCAACCCTCATGGCTTGACCTCTTGAGTAGCGGAGACAACAGGGAACAGGCCTCCAGGCACAGCTGTTATTTTCCTTTTTTATTCTTGGAAGTAATTCAGTATAAACTCAGGGGCTCCTGGTTGGTAGGCAGGTATTCTACCATTTGAACCATGTCATTGGCCCTTTTATGCTTTATTCTTGTTTTTTTTTAGCTGGTTCTGGGCTTGAACTCAGGGCCTTGAACTCTTGCTTGGCTTTTTCACTCATGGCTTGGTGCCCTACTACTTCAGCCACATCTCTCCTTTCAGCTTATTGCTGGTTAATGGAGGACAAGAGTTGGGACTCTTGGGATTTATCTGCTCAGGCTGGTTTCTAACCATGATGCTCAGATCTCATCCTCCTGTGTAGCTAGCATGATAGGTATTAACCACCAGTATCAGGCTGATTTATTTTTCAGAAAGGGCCTTACACTTTTTGTCTGGGCCTTAATCCTTCCACCTATGCCTCACATCTGGCTGGGATCACATGCACATGTCACCACACCCAGCTTGTTGATTGAGATAGGGTCTCATGAACTTTTTGCCTGGGATAGCCTCAAATGGGGATTTCCCCCATCTCCATCTCCCAAGTAGCTTGGATTACAGACATATATTAACTATTATTCCTCAGTGCAGGAGTCAATCCTCTACTTGCCCTAGCAATAATTTATTATAACAGAAAGCAGACTATGAGTCTGTATGTTGCTACCAACTTGTACAAATCCAAGGCAAAGAAAGAATATGTGAACCGGGGAATGTATATTCACATGCTAATGAAATAATGAGAATTTGCCTTTTCTGCATACATAAGGCTGAAACTGATGTTGCATAATATGAACTAAATTTCATTGTTAGGCTGGAATACAGTTCAATAGTAAATCCCCAGACACAGACACAAACACACACACACACACACACACACACACACACACACACACGTATAAATTTCACTGTTAAATCTTTTAAGAGGAAATCAAGTTCTATCGTGCAAAAATAACAAATGAAAGTTACCTGCTGTTGCTTGAAGTCAGATCTTTTTTTGATGAGATTATAAACACTCACAAATTTCATGTATAGCACATAGGCCTTTTCCTCATCACGATCTAATCTGCATTCTTCTGCAGCTTTGAAGATCTTCAGAGCACTGTGCACATAGCTTAAAATTGGAAAAAAAAAAAAAACCACCAACTTTAAAATACTTGACATCTGAGAAAAAGATACAAGTTATATATAAAGTTTACAGACAATAAAAGTAAATTTCATGATTTAGGTTGCCCAGCCTTTAGTCCAGGAAGTCAGCCAGACACTCGTTCCTCACAAAGAGCTCTCTTAAAAAAATACTTTTGTGGAGGCCACCGGTGGCTCACACCTATAATCCTAGCTACTCTGGAGGCTGAGATCTGAGGATCTTGGTTCAAAGCCAGCCCAGGCAGGAAAGACCGTGAGACTCTTATCTCCAATAAACCACTAGAAAACTGGAAGAGGCGCTATGGTTCAAGTGGTAGAGTGCTCGCCTTGAGCTGAAGAGCTGAGGGACAGCTCCCATGCCCAGAGTTCAAGCCCCATGACAGACAAAAAGAAAACAAAAACAAACATGAGTCCTGAGTCTCTTATCTCCAGTTAATCGAAAAGCCAGAAATAAAACTGTGGTTCAAGTAGTAGTGGAAAAGCCTAAAGGACAGTAGCCGGTCCCTGAGTTGAAGCCCTAAAACTGGCACCAAGAAAAAAAAAAAAAGTATCCATTCTTCCTTCTAATCAAAGGAAGGCTATGCTAGAATCCTAAGTTACTTTCATGTTCAGTACAAAAAATAAACATAACCTTCCCTTTCTTTTATACTGTTTTAATAATTTGTGGCTAATGATTTTTAAATGTGTGATCTACTATGCATACTGTCTAGAGAACACATAATTTGCATATTAGCAGAACATCCATGAATTCTGCCAAGACAAAGATAGGTAGGTACTTCTCTAAGAAGGTATTACTTTCTTCAAGTGATTGTATTTTTTCTTTCCCAGCTATGGGGCTTGAACTCAGGGCCTGGGAGCTGTCCTAAGCAATTTTGCTCAAGGCTAGTATTCGACCACTTTGGGCCACAACTCCACTTCTAATTTTCTGGTGGTTAACTGGAGATAGGAGTCTCATAGCCAGACACCAGTGGCTCATGCCTGTAATCCTAGGTACTGTTGAGGCTGAGATCTGAGGATCACTGTTCAAAGCCAGCCTGGGCAAGAAAGTCCATGAGATTCTCATCTGAAATTAACCATCAGAAAAACTGAAGTGGTGCTGTGGCTCAAGTGGTAGAGTGATTGCCTTGACCTGAAGAGCTGAGGAACAGTGCCCAGGCCCATAACCAACAACAACAAAAAGTCTCACAGAGGGCTGGGAAGGTGGCTCAGTGGTACAGCGCTTGCCTTGCATGCATGAGGCCCTGGGTTTGCTTCCTCAGCACCACATAAGCAGAAAAAGCTGGAGATGGCACTGTGGCTCAAGTGGTAGAGCACTAGCCTTGAGCTGAAGAGCTGAGGGACAGCGCCCAGGCCCAAAGTATAGACCACACGACCGGCAAAAAAAAAAAAAAAAGTCTCACAGACTTTCCTGCCTGGGCTGGCTTGGAATTATGATCCTCAGGTCTTAACCTCCTGAGTAGATTAGAGGCATGAGCCACCAGCGCCAGGTGATGGTACTGATTTTCAAATCAACTTTAACAATTCATCTAATGTAAATAATAAATGAACTTAAATGACTATATGAGTTGTCAAATCAGCCAAGGATACATACTTCTTTGTGCTTATTTTCTCTGGTTTAACTTCAGTTTTCTTGTTGAGGTCTTTCAGGGATGAGCTGAGGTAGAGTTCTTTAGGAACTGAAGCCACGGCAGGCATGATGACCAGCTCTTACTTTCCACCTTCACAAGAGATGGTGTATTTCATGAAAAGTAGTTTTCCTGAAATGACAAATAAGTCCATTAATTTTCTCATTACCAGAAAATAAGTCCACATGTTTTAGTGGAAACATTACTAAGTATATAGAGACAAAGACTAACGCCATCATTGAGCAGAATGGCTGAGTACTATACAGTTTTGTAATTTCATCTTCTATCTGGACCATCAGTGGTGGTAGTAATCTAATGACAGGATAATGTTCAAAAAGTCAAGCAGAACTCATTTTGAGGATTCATCACTAATACGGTTCTTAACTAGGAAAAGTTGTTACTGATTTGAACTTCATGAAATGAAAATCTAGAACATGTACCTGAATATTTTTTTGGGGGGTCTGGTCGTGGGGCCTGAACTCTGGGCCTGGGCGCTATCCCTCAGCTCTTCAGCTCAAGGCTAGCGTTCTACCACTTGAGCCACAGCGCCACTTCCAGCTTTTTCCTTTTTTATGTGGTGCTGAGGAATCGAACCCAGGGCCTCAGGCATGCAAGGCATGCAAGGCAAGTGCTCTACCACTGAGCCACCTTCCCAGCCCTACTTTTTTTTTTTTAATGATTACCTTTGAATTTAGGATATATTAGAGGCAAACAGTAAACAAACTACATTTGGTGCCCAGGCAACTTACAATAGGAAATTAGCTATTTCAATTTTAATACAGATATTCTGCTATAGAGAGAGGTAGTGTGTGCGTCTACGGCCATACCACCCTGAACGTGCCCAATCTCGTCTGATCTCGGAAGCTAAGCAGGGTCGTGCCTGGTTAGTACTTGGATGGGAGAGAGGTAGTGTGCTTCCAGCAACTCAAAGATCAGATATAGTGTTTCTTTATAGTTTAAAAAATATGAAAGGGAATGTTTGTAAGCAACAGTAAAACAACACAGTATGACAGCAATCTCTGGAGTTACAAATAACAGAAGTACTCTAAGGAAAACTAAGATGGATGATTCAGTATTGCTAGAGAGATATTGGCATTATGCAAGTAATTGAGTTCTGGAGGGAGAACGTTATTGATAGATGAGGAGTCAAAAAAGTAAAGTATGGGCTGTGAATGTAGCTTAGTGGTAGAGTGCTTGCCTAGCATGCATCAAGCCCTGGATTTGATTCCTCAGTACCACATAAACAGAAAAAGCCGAAGTGGCGCTGTGGTTCAAGTGGTAGAGTACTAGCCTTGAGCAAAAGAAGCTCATGGACCCAGACCCTGAGTTCAAGCTCTAGGACTAGCCAAAAAAAGAAAGAAAAAGTAAAGTACATCTTTAGAATCAGTCACTAGAGGATGAACAAGAATGTTATTATTATGTATCATTTTTTTAGTAAGCCTAAAAAAAGTTTCAGCCAGACAATAAAAAAAGAGAAAGGTCACACTGAAGTGTCTCCTTTGTTATTTAAAGTTAATGGGGAGCCATAGCAGGGTTCTGAAGAAGGGAGTTATGTGATCCAAAATTGGTGGCTAGAGATGGGAAAAACACCAGTTATCTACTGTAAGGATCCTAGGGAAAGACAATAAAGGTCAGAAGTAGGGCAGGCCAGAGGCGATGGAGGAGTAGATAGAAGAAACTCTGCAAAGATAGAATGACAGGACTGGACAGATGCTTACAGAAACAGGGAGGAAAAATACTGCCATAACATTATGCCATCAAAGGTATTAGCCAGGGCTTCCAGAACAAAGATCATACATATTTCAGACAGAGTCTTGCTATATAGTCTAGGGTACCCTTGAATTTATAATCCTGCCTCAGCTTCCTGAGTGCTGCCTATATAAGTATGCTTGGCTGATTTTTTGCTAGCATTAAAAATACATGCAGGGGGCTGGGAAGGTGGCTCAGTGGTAGAGCGCTTGCCTTGCATGCATGAGGCCCTGGGTTCGATTCCTCAGCACCACATAAGCAGAAAAAGAAAAAAGCCAGAAGTGAGGCTATGGCTCAAGTGGTAGAGTGCTAGCCTTGAGCTGAAGAGCTGAGGGACAGCGCCCAGGCCCAGAGTTCAGGCCCCACGACCGGACCCCCCCCCAAAAAATAAATAAAATAAAATAAAAATAAATAAAAATACACGCAGGGCTGGGATGTAGCTCGGTGGCAAAGCGCTTGCCTAGCAAGTACAACATCCTGGGTTCGATCCCCAGTACCAAAAAAGAAAAGACAAAAAAAAAAAAAATACAGTTAAAAAAAATAAAAATACGTGCAGCAGATGGGGCTGGGAAGATGGCTCAGTGGTAGAGTGCTTGACTTGCATGCATGAGGCCCTGGGTTCGATTCCTCAGCACCACATAATCAGAAAAAGCCTGAAGTGGTGCTGTGGCTCAAGTAGTAGAGAGCTAGCCTTGAGCTGAAATGCTGAGGGACAGTGCCCAGGCCCAGAGATCAGGCCCACTACTCCCCTTCTCCCCCAAAAAGCAGCATTTAACTATTATTTTTATTTATTTATTTTTGTTTTGTTTTGGCCAGTCTTGGGGCTTGAACTCAGGGCCTCGGCCCTTTCCCTGAGCTTCTACTGCTCAAGATTAGCAGTCTACCACTAAGACACATTCTTAGTCCTATTATTATTATTTTTTTTGGTCGGTCGTGGGGCTTGAACTCTGGGCCTGGGCGCTGTCCCTCAGCTCTTCAGCTCAAGGGGAGCGCTCTACCACTTGAGCTACAGCGCCACTTCCGGTTTTCTGGTGGTTTATTGGAGATAGGAGTCTCACGGTCTCTCCTGCCCGGGCTGGCTTTGAACCTCGATCCTCAGATCTCAGCCTCCTGAGTAGCTAGGATTACAGGCATGAGCCACCAGCACCCGGCTTAGTCCTATTATTTTTAATAGCAAAATCATACATTTTCCCAGAGATCAGAGGATTACAGTAGTCTTTTTCCCCCAATTAAGTAAGAAAGTAAAAAATATACATCTAACCTTCAGGGATCTCAAAGGAATGGATACGTAATAATGAATCAAAAATGTAAAATGTAGTTCTTATTAGAGATGAGGGGGAGACAGGTACATGCCTCTAATTGCAGAACCTGGGAGGGGGAGTAAGGAAAATCAAGACCCAGTCAGTGAAGGTGAGGAGGGCCTTAAATGATTCTCACTGGCCAATCTGAAAAGCACTGCTCTGGGGAGCTACGGAAAACAGGACTTTTAGTCTTGTCATAGTTTAATTACCAATAACACGTTCAAACTGTCTAAAGAAAAAGACAACAATTACTATACTATATATTATTACTATGACTATGGTCACTGGGAAGTCATTGGAAAGTTCAGTATAGCTGGAAAAAATTTTTTTCCAGACTGGAATGTACTCCATTCGTGTTCTAGCCTTCCTTAAGGGGCCAACTTGGGTTTCATCTCTCTGTGAAATAATCAACTGGACCAAAGGAGCCCACTGATATGTCCACAGTCTTTCCATAATCCTTAGTAGACATTTAATAGAAATTATAAACTGTGGGGCTGGGAAGGTGGCTCAGTGGTAGAGTGCTTGCCTTGCATGCATGAGCCCTGGGTTTGATTCCTCAGCACCACATAAACAGAAAAAGCTGGAAGTGGCACTGTGGCTCAACTGGTAGAGCGCTCGCCTTGAGCTGAAGAGCTGAGGGACAGCATCCAGACCCAGAGTTCAGGCCCCATGACCAACAACAACAACAAAAAAAATTAAACTGTACTATGAAAGGGTTAGGAGCAATGGGTGACAATGTTGTCAGACACATTGTATTCATATACTGTTTTGTAGAATGGGAACTTCTTTGTACAACTACTTAGAGATATAATAATAAAAAATGTAGGGGCTGGGAAGGTGGCTCAGTGGTAGAGCGCTTGCCTTGCATGCATGAGGCCCTGGGTTCGATTCCTCAGCACCACATAAGCAAAAAGAAAAAAGCCAGAAGTGGCGCTGTGGCTCAAGTGGTAGAGCGCTAGCCTTGAGCTGAAGAGCTGAGGGACAGCGCCCAGGCCCAGAGTTCAGGCCCCACGACTGGATCCCCCCCCAAAAAAAATGTAAAAAAAAATTAAACTGTACTATGAAAAGAGACACATCACATTACAAAGAAATTTCAAGGTTCAAAATGAGCCACAACAGACAAGTCTGTGAGATTCTCATCACCAAATAACCAAGCAAAAAGCTAGAACTCGGGAGAACAGCCGAAGGGGTGACATTGACCAAGATGTATTATAAACTGACGTGTTTAATTGAAAACCCTTTGCACAGCTACTCAAATTTTAAAAAACAAACCGGAAGTGGGGCTGTGGCTCAAGTAGTAAGAGTGGCAGCCTTAAGCAAAAAAGCCAAGTGAGAGAGAGACCCTGAGTTCAAGCTCCAGTGCACATGAATAAAGCCAATGCAATGAGCTTATATTTGATTCAGTAGGGAATACAAAAGCCTGTTTTTGATGGGAACAATATAATTTCAGTGTAGTAAAATTGTGGCTATTCATGCTAGGTTTGAAAGATCAGTGAGATGTAGTAATGCATGTCTGAAATGCCAGCACCGGAGGCTGAGGCAGAAAGATCATTAGTTTCAGGCCAACTGGGGCCACATAGCTACACAGCTGAGACACTGCTAAAAGGGAGATGATGGCATTGTGGCTGAGGTGTATAGGTGTGTGTGCACACGCGCATGCGCGTGCGCATGCGCTCATACATGAGCTCACACTAGTGATGCTCTGAAGAAATTAATACTGTAGCTTAAAATCAGTTTGTCATAGCACTTCTCAGATGGGCACATCCCATTTTGGACCAGACAGGGCGCTGCTGTAGAAGGCTGCCCCACACAGTGGCGGTTGTAAGCAGCATCCTGGTCTCTACTCATTATCTGTCAGCAGAACTCAACCTTCTCCAGTTTTGACAACCAAATGTCCCTGGATGTTGCTAAATGTCCCCCTGGGGGTAAAATTACTTCTAAATTACAGCCACTGATTTGTAAGAAAGTAGATAATTCAATCTTGAACATGTTAAGTATACGATAAAAAATAACTAAAGAAAGATATCTTGATAAGAAATGTAAATATGTAATTACAAAGCAGACATTAACTGTCTAGACAGA